AGAAGAGTGGAGATCTCCGTCCCTGTCAGGACTATCGGTATATCAACGAATGGACCGTCAAGAACGCCTATCCACTCCCACTGCCACTCTCCCTGGTTGCTCGGTTACATGGTGCCAAGTATTTTACAAAGATGGACGTCCGGTCTGGATATAATAATATCCGCATTCATCCAGAAGACCGATGGAAAGCTGCCTTCACTACGGAATACGGGCTTTTCGAGCCTAACGTCATGTTCTTCGGTCTTTGCAATTCCCCGGCCACCTTCCAGGCGTATATGAATAGAACGTTCCAGCAGGAGATCAATGAAGGATGGCTTGTTATATACATGGACGACATCCTCATATTCTCCAACGATCTTACCTCTCATCATGCACGCACCCGGCACATCCTTGAACGAATTCGACAAGAGAAACTTTTCCTTAAACCGGAAAAATGTACGTTCGATGCAGAAGAAGTGGAGTACCTCGGAATGATCATTCGCCCTGGATGCGTCGCAATGGATGATGCTAAAACGAACGGTATTCGGGACTGGCCTGCCCCTACCTCGGTCAAGGAAGTTCGGTCTTTCTTGGGTTTTTGCAATTTCTACCGAAACTTCATTTCCCACTACTCCGACATTGCTAGACCACTGATTGACCTTACCAAGAAGGACGTTAAATTCTCATGGACCGATCAATGCAGATCCGCGTTCTCTGAATTGAAGGAATGCTTTTTGAAGCAACCAGTACTTCGCAACCCCGATCCCGCCAAACAGTTCGCAGTTGCCACAGATGCATCCCTAGTCGCCACTGGTGCAGTACTACTCCAGACCGATGATAACGGTGTCTACCATCCATGCGGGTACTTGTCCCAAACATTGAACCCCGCAGAACGGAATTACCAGATCTTTGATCGCGAACTCCTCGCCGTTATTCGCGCGTTGACCGAATGGCGTCACTACTTGGAAGGAAATCCCCACCCCGTCATCGTATTCACAGATCATAAGAACCTTCTATACTTCAGAACGGCCCAGAAGTTGACCCGCCGCCAAGCACGATGGCAGTTAATCCTGTCATGCTATGATATTGAACTGCATCACGTCGCAGGAACTAAACTCGTCGCCCCCGATGCCCTGTCCCGCCGCCCCGATCACGGATCAGATTCTGCTGATGATAACTCCAACGAAACCCTCCTCCCCGACTCGATGTTTGTTCGACTTCTTGACGTCGAACTCATGACCACCTTAGTAAATCCTGACCCCTCTGATCCTGACCCCATCTTTACCGCCGCGTCCGATGCACTGGACGGCTTATCCCTCCCTCCTATGAAATCTGCCCTTGCAGACTGGAAAATCACCGACGACGTCCTCTATTATAAAGATCGCGCCTATGTTCGGCCTGCTGGTCGGCATCTCATTTTAGAACGCTGTCATGACCATCCCTCCGCCGGTCATCCTGGTCGTTTCAAGACCGAGGAATTGGTTAAACGGGATTTTTGGTGGCCCGCCATGGGCACATACATTCGCAAATACGTAGAGGGTTGCGCCCTCTGTCAGCAGATGAAGGCCGATACGCATCCGACGACTCCTCCCCTTGTTCCTATCCCTTCTGTTGCCGCCGCGCCCTTTACCCAGATCTCAGTCGACCTAATCACTGACCTTCCGCCCTGTTCTGGTTTTGATTCAGTCATGGTCGTGGTCGACCATGGGCTTACGAAGGGGGTAATTCTCATCCCATGTACTAAAACCATCACTTCCGAAGGGGTCGCCAGCAAATTCTTCAAATACGTCTACCGCCGATTTGGCCTACACGAGAAAGTCATTTCTGATCGCGGCCCGCAATTCATATCCAAGTTCTCCAAGGCCCTTGCCAAACTGCTGAAGTACGATGTAGCGGCATCGACCGCCTATCATCCCCAGACCGACGGACAAACAGAACGGCTCAATCAAGAGCTAGAAACCTATCTTAGGATCTATTGTCGAAACAACCCTGAAAACTGGGTAGAGCAACTTCCTATGGCGGAATTCGTCCATAACCATCGCAAACATGATTCTCGCAACGCGTCACCATTCTTTCTAATGATGGGATACGAACCACGAGCCCTTCCGCATGTCCTCCCCAGTTCCACAGTCCCAGCCACAGAAGATAGACTCCGCACGCTCCAAAAGTCTAGAGAAGAAGCACTCTCTTGCCACAACCTTGCAATGCAACGAATGGCAGAAAGAACTCATGGGCAGAAGTATCACCCGTGGAAAGTTGGAGATAAGGTTTGGTTATCTGGGAAGAACCTAATCACGCAGTTACCATCACGAAAGCTCGCCCCAAAACGATATGGTCCATTCCCAATCACCGCCGTCCTATCCCCCATCACGTTCACACTCCAGTTGCCACCTCAGTGGAAGGTTCACCCCACGTTCCACGCTTCTGAACTATCGTCCTATCACGAAACAGAGATTCACGGACCGAATTTCCTTGATCCACCCCCTGATGTCATCGATAACGAAGAAGAGTATGAAGTTGATGCGATCTTATCGCACAAAGGAACGGGTAAACGAAGACGCTATCTCTTATCATGGAAGGGATACTCATCAGCCAGTAACGAGTGGGTTCCAGAAGGAAATCTCGATAATGCCTCCGATATCCTCAACGCCTATAAAAAGGCCCATGGATTATAGATTCCCCTCAGAATGTCCTCCATTGAACGACTACGCCTCTGTATCCTCCGCATCCAAGAAATCACCGCTGCTATGAACCTCGCCGCCGAAAGAGAAGCGCACCCCGTAACACTCCAAGAATATCAAAACGCCACCGCCGCTGACTTCGCACGACACGCATACTCCCCCGCACCTTCACCGGTTTCTGACTCCACCCTTACCCTCACCGACGACTCGACTCTCACCGACTATTTTTCGGTTATTGACCAAGTCGAAACCAGCGCCTTATTTGAGTCCGCTATCACCTCCCAGCAGTACGCTATTGAGATCGATCGTCTCCTCGGGGAAAGAGGAGCAATCTCTAGCGGCCTTATAATTAGAATCATCAGAGACGCCAGTCTCATCGAACGCACCGCCGCTCTTCTCGATGATGAACGTCATCAAACTATTTTTCGTCATCTTCATATACGTATTCGCAACACCGCTATCCGCCTCCTCCCAGAAGAAACCAGAGACGCTATCAGAGAAGCCATCCACATCGTCACTGAGCGAATTGCTCTTAACCCCGTCGCGAGACCACCATCACCCCACGTTGCCATCCCCGTACCACAACCAATCCCCGTCGCCACAAGCCCTGCCGCCACAGTTCCCGCTGCCACTACCATGGGTAGTCCGGATGATAATATCCCTCCTATTGCCGTACTTGACGTACCGACTTCTCCTTCTCCTGACCCAGTCGTACGCACCAAACGACGATTCCCACTAAAACGAAGATCCTCCCGTCTCGCCGCTAAACGCGCTGCATCCGTCTCCCCCACCAAACCACCACTCAAAAGATCACGGTCACCGTCCCCTCCGAACCAATCCTCATCCGTCACGATCGTGAAAACGTCACCGGTCGACAATGTCGTATGCCGTAACTGCCACATCGCTGGCCACCGTCACAAGAACTGCCCCGCGTACTATTGCAGAGTCTGCAGAGAATACGCGCCTGGTCACCTATCGGTCTTTTGCAAAGACTTGAAAGGAGAAGCGGTCATTCCATTAGTATGGACTGACGTCGGTTTTTACGATGCGCTTGCTCGTTGGGAGATCGAGCAAGATGGTATTGCTCACGCCGAAGAGATGGCGCAATCCCTTACCATCACGGAGGAACAAGATGACCTCCTTCATTCCAACTACGACGCCGACCCTATTTACTGGGCCAACCAAGATATGTGAAGTCGGTGACTTCATCGCTAAACGAGGGGTAATGTTACAGTAAACGGTGACCCCCTATCATTTTCTCCTTATCCTCCTTTGTATTACGTCATGACCGCACGTTACCGTGCCATCATTAGACAGCCTCTGGACCGTATCCATGTATTACAGCACGACCGCCTCATGCCATCGCTAGCTGACGTCACTTTCCTTATCTCTGACTCGTCTCGATGACGTCACTTCTCTTATCTCTGACTCGTCTCGATGACGTACACGTACCGGCCCTAAAGTGGCTCTACCTATATAAGCACGGTCTTATACTTAGCTAGACCTCACTTTAATCTACTAGGTTTTACCCAGAACATCCTTCGCTTAAGACCCCCAATCTTAAGTGTCTGATACCGATATTCAAACCAGAGACACTCTCTCTAGTTTGTCTTACAGAAGCCTTACATTTGTGAGGTTACGATTCGGCGTTAGACGTCACTCTTATCGAGTGTCTATCGCCGCGCCTATCCTAGTCGAAACTACGGTCTACCGTAACACTTTGTACTTTTGAGCTGCTCATCATCCCCATCCTCGAAGCACGACAGTATGTACTGTCATGCTCATTGAGTTCATTGTTCCTATCTTTGGAGCACGACGGTATGTACTGTCGTGTCTCCTATCCCATTACCACCCACCTCGCCTTTTTTGCTGAATGATCAAGCCATCAACTCCTCTGGGTCATCCCATCTACCATATAGAGTGGGCAATGGCTAATCTGCCTTCGCTTACTGCAATCCTTTAGATCACGCTGCACGTTCCTCCATACATCCTCTGAGTCAGGTAAGCTCCAGTTGTTGATAGATCCAACCATAAATTAACCAACAAGTCCAGCCATCAACACACGTCATCCCCTCCACCATACATACAGTGGAGTGGGCAATGGCTAACTTGCTTTCGCTTATTGCAACCCCTTGGATCACGTTGGCCCTGTCTTCTACATCAGGTAACCAAGTCATTTGTTAAAATCCAACCCCATTGACCAACTGTTAAATGATCCAGCCGTTAACATCTGTCATCCCCTTCACCGTACATACAGTGGAGGGGGAATTGACTTATCTGCTGTTCCCTGCAGTTCACGTAAACCGTCTATTCAACATGCTACTATGCTACCCCAACTTTCTAAAATTGGAATGTCTCATCTGACACATTCAACCTTTCTACCTGACCTCCAGTAAGACCATCAAACCATTCACCATTGTATAGGGCCTTGGGTAATCCAGTGACTGGGTTCTGTACAGTCGTTGAATTTCCTGATGCGCATATTCTTTTCATTGGTTTGGAACCCTGGGGCATGAAAATTTCATCATCCAAGACTCTCTGGTTATCGATGATATTCAGTTCTCGCTCTATCCTGCGACACCATGCCATGTTCTTGACCCGGAGTACACATTTGACGTTGTTTTCTATATCACTTTCTTCTGAACTCATACCCCCATCTCCCAGCATCTTGATTAGTTTTTGAAGCCACTGCCAAGCTGGTAGGTCCTTGTCCTCACCATCTTTCTTCAGCTCAATAACTTGCTGCAGAACTTTTGCTCTGCGGAGATATTTCTATAGACCCATTAGTGTTACGGCGAACCGTAGGTCGACTAGGATAGGCTCGACAATAGATACTCGATAAGAGTAACGTCTAAAGCCGGATCGTAACCTCACAAATGTAAGGCTTCTGTAAGACAAATCAGAGAGAGTGTCTCCGACTTGAATATCGCTATCGGACACTTAAGATTGGGGGTCTTAAGCGAAGGATGTTCTGGGTAAAACCTAGTAGATTAAAGTGAGGTCTAACTAAGTACAAGACCCTGCTTATATAGGTAAGGCCTGCTTTAGGGCCGGTATAGTACACGTCATCGAGACGAGTCAGAGATAAGAGGAATGACGTCATCGAGACGAGTCAGAGATAAGAGGAATGACGTCAGCTAGCGATGGCATGAGGCGGTCGCGCTGTAATACACAGATATGGCAAGAAATAGTCTAGTGATGGCACCGTTAGATGCGGTCATGATGTAATACAAAAGGAAGAGCGAGAGAAAATGATAGGGGCAACCGTTACTGTAACAATTAGTATCCAAAGAGCCTCAAGATCATGCTGTGGACATACATTTTGCCAACAAGTTGTTTGATGAACTGATTTCAGATTTTCACCTCTTTTTGCAATCAACCTCCCCTCCACTTCTGCTGCAGTCTCCAAGCTGCCCTTCACTGTAACCTTTGGTTGTGCTGCTCTCCAGACCATCCACAGGCACTTGTAGCGATCTTCGAGTATCGCCTTATAATAGCCATCTGACCTCCAGAATGGCCACTCCTCTTCTACACTCCTCTTTTTCAATTCTTCAAGGAGAATATTGAGAATTTTTGCATTCCAGGGGGTGTTAAATCCGTGTTTGAGATCAAAGGCCAGATTCTGGGTGTTGGGGCCTGGGCCATCTTCATACTCATATGAGTACACATCTTCACGATCTGCTGGCTGATGCACAATAAAATCTGCATCTTGAGATATACTGAAGGTATCTTTGAGGAGATGCCAGATTTCACCCTACTTCATGCTTAGCATCAGCATATATGTCAAAAATTTAACTCTCACAAGAAGGAAGTCTCTTTTGTGGCTCAAATCTGCGGCCCTTTCTATCCTAATTTCATCATCCTGCTTCTTTTTCCTTCAAGGACTACGCTTTGTGGACGTCAAAATATCTTTATCGATGAGGATGCGCCTGAGTGCTGCCTCTATGCCTTTGGAGATCGCGTTTTCCATCACAGACATAGGGTAGACGTCATCAGGCTGAAATTGCTGTGGCTCTTGCTCAATTGTCAGTGATCATTCTCGATGCATTTCCATAGGGTCGTCAGTGTCCTGCTATGACATGAGTTTAAAATGAGTTCTGACCACTTAGTACTTACCTCCACTACAGATACCAGATGCATCTTGTGTGCTGTTCCATGTGCCTTCCTGATCTTTTTGATCGTCTTAAGGCATGGAGTCCTGAGCTGTGGTTTCTGGGGCATTTGGGGTGGCTGTTGAGCATTCCTTCAGGTGGGGTCTGTGCCGATTTCCGTGGCCGTGTGCTGTTGCCTACTGTGTCTTGTGAAGCGCTGCTCCATGTTAGTGAGCTTGTTCTCTTTTTCTACCCTCATTTTTTCTATTTCTAGTTGTAGCCTTCGCTCCATTTCGGCAAAAATGGCTCTCCCACATTCTTCTAGCTGCTTGACATCATTAGTGATTCCTGTGTTTGGTCATTCTTCCCCACCTCTTGATTTTTTCTTGTATTTAAATCTGCATTGTGTTGTGCCAGTTCTTCAGCCAACTACTTGCCATCATTAGTAATTCCTTGGTCAGTCATTCTTTCTCACCTCTTGGTCTTTTCTTGCACTTATTTTTGCTTTGTGCCATGCTAGTTCTTCAGCAACGTTCTTCCTCAGCAGTGCTTGCTGCTCCTCTTGCCATGTGTGAATTTCCTATTAACTTGTAAGCATGCATCTGACTGAATGCATCTGTTGCACTTACTTGCTTTTCCCACTCTCGCTCTCTCACAGCTGCTTCCCATTGCTCATTGAAATCGCGCATGTGGCACTCATGGTCTTCTTCTGCAATATGTCATTGCTCCTCAATGTGGTCTTGAGCTTCTCGGTGTATCTGCCAGTATGATCAGCAGTGTATTTTCAATGAGTTTCTCGTGCATACCACTTCAGTTTCCTCTATAATGTTGTTAATACGTTCTTGTTGTTCATACACAGTCTGGTGAAGTATCTGCGAATAGTTGACTTCACGAAAGCAATGCTTCCCAGATATCTGGATGGGCTTCATGAGTCATGATGGAAGCTGATTCATACTATCTACATACCACTTCATCTCTGGCCCTCTTTTCAAGTTGCGGTACACTGGCGGGAGGCTGACTGAGAGCATCCATGAAGTTGCCAGCACCATTATCATTGTCTTCGTCATCACCAAATAAATCCGTGTCATGAGATGTTTGTATGTCTTCTTGCTGAAACTCAGGATGTTGCATGTCAACATCAATGTTATTGACACTCATAACGGGGCAATAATTTGTCATCAGTTTGCAAACATCATTCCTGGGTCTTTTTAAGTTATGTGCATGCATTTTTGTCTTGATTCTTTCAGACGTCTTGTTATTCCAACAGGTCCGGGTTCATCTCCATCACTTTCAATTATCTTTTGCTCTATTTGCTCTTACAATTACCTTGTACAATTACCCTTGACAACTAGCGCCGCAGGATTATCATTGCAGTATTGTCATGCTTTGGTTTGGCTCCCCGCTTTTTTTTGTGTCAACTACATCCGAAATGATTATGGTTATTGTCTTTTGACTCAGCATGTGAAGTTATTAAAAGACGGATTGCTGCTATAGCCTGCTTCCATTGCCCACTTTCATTGCCCACCTCTTAGATTATTGCCTTGATTGAACTATAATCAGATGGTAAACACTCGCACATATATCCTTCCAACATCTGCTGTAAGTTATTGCTTACTACCTCACACCCATTATTTACCTTCAAATCAGACCCCGGAGCTTCACCTGCAGTGCAGGCTATATTCAGCATTGTGGACCAGACCCTGTCAGGTCACCATGTTGACGCGTTGCTCTGGCCACTCACACACTGCTCAGCATTTTCCTGTTCCTGAAAGTCTTCTTGAGGAGGCTACTGTGCAGCCTTATGTTCACAACTGTTTCATGAATGTGTGCGAAGGGAGACACATCCATTGATTCTGCATCTTCTTCAAGTGACATCTTTGTCTCCGAGCCAACGTGCTTCTTAGTACAGATGATCATAAGTTCCGAGGCGATGCAGTTGTTATGAGGGTTGGAGTCAACTATCCCTCAGTTGTGAACATGTGAGGCAGAGATAATGCACTTGTTGACTTTATAATTCACCAGTGAGTAAACTCGATGATCTATTAAGCCTACCATAACTATCTTTTCAGCTTTGCACAAAGCATAAGTAGTTGTCCAAGAGCTAGGCTCCCACGCAATCTTACTCTTGTGAAACCCCTGAGCACTCGTACCAATTGTCGGTTAGCTGCAAGGTGTGGAGTAGTAGTATAATTTAAAGCATTGTTACATACCGAGTTTCTCAGCTGGACTGCAGATATATGTATAGAATGCCATATTGTTGTAGTACAGTGCCACAATGATCTTGACTAAACATTTGAAAGCACCAGCTTGAACTGATACTGACAGGTTCTGGGTAGCTTCACAGACAACTTGCATGATGATATAGAATGCATACAGCACATAATAATGACAGAGACACCTAATGCAGTCAGGGTATCACTTCCTGGCCTTGCTCTTGCTCTTGCCTACAGCCATTTCTCCCACCTTTTGTCTCATGCGTCCAGACGTGTATTTCAGGTGTGTCATGATCAAATCGTTGACTGGCCACAAGTTGTTATAATTGTCAAGGTCTGGGAAGTTGTTGAGTGCCTGTCAGAGATGATTAGCTCATTGACAATATCGAGACTCAGAGAAACTGTTCACCTTGCCATGCACAACTTCCAATAGCACAGGACTTTGGGCAGAAGCACATTTTGTCATGTCAAGGTGGTTGTCGATGAGACTATGCATAGACCTCTTATGAATTTGTGAGTTAATTTGCAATACTAAGGGTACAATGACAATTTGCAAACCTTGAATTTTGTGTATGCCTTTGGATTCCAATCTAAAGCTTCATGAAGTGTATAACCCCCATGCCCCGGACGCCCAGGTTCACCAGCAGGTTTAGGAATCTTTGAGTCTTCTGATAAACTCATGCTCGAAGTTGAGGAGTCGCTGTCTGAGAAAGAATCCAAAGCGCCTGAGGAATCTGAGGGTGAAGGCATTTGAGAATGGGAGTGTGTGGAAGTGGCTTTCTTGGTGTATGGAGAGGTAGAGTGATCAGAATGCTTGCGCATCTGCTTCGCAAGCTTGAATTCAGGGGCGGGTGTAGACAATGAAGCCCTTGCAGTGGAAATGATACTAGCTTTAGGAACTAGGATTTCATTGGTGATAAGTGTAGTTAGGCGACAATTGGCATTGCCAAACAGCTCTAGCTGGTCTGTGAGCATTGGGGGAAGAGGTGGTGGAGCACCAGGCTCCGAGTCATAGAAAGGTGAAACAATGGTAGTACTGCACATGATAGAGAAAGAACCGAGTAGCTACCTGGAACTTAAGGACAGTTCATGAGAGTAAAGTATTCAACAGATTACCATATTGAGCGAAAACAATAAGGGGCTTCGAAAATGGTAACCAAGAATAGCACTTGTAAAGAATAATAATAAGAATAATAGGGCCATAGAGAAGAATAAGAAGAATAGCAGAATAGCACTACACAAATGGCATTGACAATGACTAGAAGTTACCATGGAATCAAAAAAATATGGAAACAAATATGGTAACAATACAAAAGTATTTGAAAACAAATGAGAAGTACAGATAAATACATTGTGAGTGGGTGACTACAGCAGATTATATCATAATGTCTTTCCTTGCATTGTTCAACAAGTCAGTGCAACCACTGTGTTACAAGCTGCTCGCCCGTTTAACTGCCTATAATGGCTCTATCCATGCACTTGCGATTTCTAATGATGGACACCTGCTTGCATGTGGTGGTAAGAAAGAAGAAACTTGGTCATAGACAGGGCTAACAAACAAACAGGAACCGAGGGAATCAAACTCTGGGATATCACATCGCAGAAAGAACTCACATCTTTGTCCAATCATCATGAATCAAGGGGAACAGTCAGTTGCACAATTTGGGCCACAACTATGAAAACCACAGCAGAAACCCTCTGCTATGGAACAGGCCTGGGTTATATTGTATGTTTGCGACGCAGTCTCACAGATGTAAGAGCCTAGGTTTGCTGTTTGACTGTCCATTGATGCCAACAGGACAAATTCCAGGAAATATGCGCCAGGAGACTGGGATTGGGTTTTGAGATCACATGCTTGTCATGGCGTTCAACTTCCTCTGACGGCAACCTGCGAATTGTAGTTGGAACTAGAGACAAAATGGTTCAGGTTCTGATGCTCAATACAAGCTCGCAGCTCCAGCCTGTGTTCACAGTGTGACTTGAAAATATGGTGCCCAAGTCGGTAGCATTTGCAGATAACCAGAGCATCTATGTGTTCGGGCTCTATGATGGCAACTTGTCAGTCCTTCCACTGCATACTTTCATTGCCTGATGCTGAGAGCCAAACAGCATGAAACTGAAGGATGAAGATGGCGACATAGTGCAAGAAATTAGCTGCAAATCAGTGATGTGAGAAACTACCGCTCTCAACCTGGGCGCATTACTGACATTATATAGTGGTCATGCTGTGGTGTACTCCAAGCAGGGCATGTTTGTTGTTGATAATGCAACAGATGGCTTTACATTATATCGCCTTGAAGGTGATGGTGAGCCTGTTCAAACGTTTGCAACTGGTTTGCCAAGTGTATCAGTCCCGAAGCAAGTGGCATTCGGGGAAGACAGCAAGGTAGTTGTGGGAGGAAGTGACCATGGGCTAGTATATATATTTGATCGGAAAACAGGGGAGACACTTCAAACCCTCCACCACACGGACACTGGCCTTGTGCAAACAATATCCATAAGTATTAAGACTAGTTGGAAAAAATGTCACTGACCTGGTTTAGGCACGCGATCTCAATGGCCGCTGCACAATTGCCAGCACTTCGCCCATGCTAGGGCGCGGGAAAACTACAATCAAGATATGGGCATATGACTACACAGTGCCGAAGGTATCCAAGGCACCCTCAGGGGATTACTGGTCCCTGTCGCACATACCGGTTATGTTGACACAACTACTGGCACTGCTATCTATGAGCATCTTCCTGCTGATAAATTATAGAGACAGCTTTTTAGTAAGTGGGCCAGTTGGTCAGCAGGGATCTAACTGATGCACCTTCAGCATAGTGCACTGAACCATGTACATGGGTACATGACTTCGGCAACAATGATTAATGTGGCTGATGACTTTTCACAGCATGTCCAAGCTGCCATGATATTTGACAAGTATGTAGATTTCCAGAAGGACGATAAGGAAGGGCCAACCAAAGGATACGTCAAAAATGACATTATGATGCTCCAGGAATTAGTGGCAAAGATCATGGAGCTAGCTCAAGAAGTGGACGGAGCGATTGACAAAGATGACCATAGGGACAAGCACAATACTAATTACCCATGAGCAGTGAAAGGAGATGAAGAGACGAAGGACCTATCTCTTGTCCAGTACATGTAGCACACTAGTTGAACATAGACATAGGTTTTGCATAATGCCCTCCACCACATTGGTAGATGGACTGAGTCAATTCCCCCTCCACTGTATGTACGGTGAAGGGGATGACAGATGTTAACGGCTGGATCATTTAACAGTTGGTCAATGGGGTTGGATTTTAACAAATGACTTGGTTACCTGATGTAGAAGACAGGGCCAACGTGATCCAAGGGGTTGCAATAAGCGAAAGCAAGTTAGCCATTGCCCACTCCACTGTATGTATGGTGGAGGGGATGACGTGTGTTGATGGCTGGACTTGTTGGTTAATTTATGGTTGGATCTATCAACAACTGGAGCTTACCTGACTCAGAGGATGTATGGAGGAACGTGCAGCGTGATCTAAAGGATTGCAGTAAGCGAAGGCAGATTAGCCATTGCCCACTCTATATGGTAGATGGGATGACCCAGAGGAGTTGATGGCTTGATCATTCAGCAAAAAAGGCGAGGTGGGTGGTAATGGGATAGGAGACACGACAGTACATACCGTCGTGCTCCAAAGATAGGAACAATGAACTCAATGAGCATGACAGTACATACTGTCGTGCTTCGAGGATGGGGATGATGAGCAGCTCAAAAGTACAAAGGATGAACTCAATGAGCATGACAGTACATACTGTCGTGCTTCGAGGATGGGGATGATGAGCAGCTTGACAGTACAAAGTTCAAACCGTCGAGCAGTCAACGTCAATGTTATGTAACTATTTCCTAATATGGATGTTTGTGATTGTTGGGTGCTTTCATCACCAAAGTTCTAAGTCCCTCATCTTTATGGAACTTGGTATTAGTAACTATTACTATAGGAGGTTCGACAGTTTGTACTGTCAAGCTCCCATTCTCCTTGTCGACAATGACCCTTCCTCACCTTCTTCCAGGGCATGACTGTATGTATAGTCATGCCCTGCATTCTCCTCTTTTATCATCACCAGACTTCTTGTCGCAGCAACATCCTAACTCTAAGTCAACATCTGTCGCTTCCTGGTTCGACATCTGTGGCAGCCCTATCCTTACTTGTTGTGCTGCCTGGCGTTCTCTGCCTCCATCACCATCATCAACATCCCAACTCCAAGGTTAACATCCATCACTCCCTAATATTAGCTGCTCCACTTCTCTTCAAGTTCTTTACTTCACATCTCAAGCCACATAGTCAAAATTCTGTTGTTAATTTTAATTTTTAATTTTCTCCACTCATCCCAGTCCTGGCATTGTTCTTTTTTCCTCCGCTTGTCTCAATCCACACAGGCCACAGGCCACACCCCTGGTATTGTTGCCCCTGATATGGTAATTGTTGGTTGAAACTCTGCTATGTCTATATTAGATGCACCAAACCTTCTCGCATTTTGTTACCTTCTTCCTTAATCTAATGTAACAGTTTGTACTGTTGTGGTAGTCTTGACTTGCGATATTATCAATATCTCTGATCTTGACCTAATGTAACAGTTTGTACTGTTGCGGTAGTAGTCTTGACTGTGACTTGACTGTGATACTCTTTGCGTCTCCTCACTTCCATGAGTAACAATCTCTGTGTCATTGTCCATGATGGGCAGGTTTATACCTCTCTCACTGCACACTCCCTTCCCGATGTCATACCTCATGAGCCTCCTTGGGATCCTTGTGAAGACTATGATAGTTCTCCCGATGATAGTAATATGCCACTCACTACTTGCTGGGCATATGGAACTCGTCCGTGGTTTCCCCTTGTACCTTTGAATCCTAGCTTCGATGGGCCAATCTTTGGATGCCTCAACCACTCCAGATTTTCCCTCCTTACAGAGGTAGATACATCAGGAAGGCACATTCTCCACCACGATATTCAGGCAAAATGGGTCAACTTAGAGCAGAAACTGCTCTGGTGCCAGGAACATTTGGGTGCTGGATTATTGACTCCATGGGGGACTAAACTTCCACACCCTCCGACTACCTATGGGTACCAACGGTGGCATACAGACACTAACCTTGCTAAAAAGGTTGCAATAAGGTCGCATGATGCATTTCTATGTAAGTCAACCAGTTTATTCATCGTTCGTGATTGCCTGACGGATTTCCAGTAATTGCTGCCACCTGCTCATGGTACATCATGTCACGTCAATACCAAGGTGCCAATCAGTGGATGGCGATCTTAACAAGTGACCCCCAACATCCCATACCTGCTGAGTGTGTTCTTGAGTTGTTGTGCTCATTCGTTGGAGATCTGATGACAAACATGCCACGTACGGGAGCCTTGATCTCTTCCATTCACTGTCCTTGGCAAGTTCAATTGCCCATGTTTGAAAAAATTTTGCTTCCGATTTGGGTCTGCATTTCTGGGGATACTACCACCACTGTTGATTTTACCTTGCATCATTATATCCCATCCCCGGCAGCTATCACCCATGTGACTGAGGAAGCCCAATGGAAGCAGATGCCTGACACTTGGGGTCAGCTGGATGAAAATGCGTGGGGTCAACCAGATGATAATGTGTGGGGTCAACTGGACAATAGTGTGTGGGGTCGACCAGAGGACAACACTCAGAGTGTCCTTAACTGGGGCAATAGCGCCCTTGGATGGGGTCAGAACAGTGGGACACAGCCTGTGTCTGATGTTCCTGAGGCACATGCAGACTCTCTCTTCCCAGTCTCCGAACCCCACTCTAGACAGAAACGAGGAGAAGACTTTAAGGCATTCTTTGCATGGCGCCGTCAGGAGAACAAGAGGAAAGAGGAGACGGAGACACCAGCTCAACGACAGTCGCATCAGAGCCATGAGCGGGCAGCCATGAACCACAGCATTCCTGGCAAATCCAGCACAGTTGTGGTGTTTGAATGGCAACCTAATGATGAGTTTGGCGGCTTTCATCAATGCATCCGTCTCACAAAGGCTGAGATACCAATGACTTGGATGTCATATAGCAAATCTACCAGGGTGTATGACTCGTTCCGTAACGAGTGGGATTTATGCAATGCATTGGATCTTACCAGCATTCCTGATGGTGATTGGGAGGAAGATGATTTCCTGCCTGCATCTGCTCCTTCTGAACCTGCCCCTGCTCCCCCTGCCCCTGCCCCACCCTTGTCCAGTTTCTTGAAAGACATCAAAGCCTACTTCAGTCATCATGAGGTTGCACCCTCAACACAATACACTCGTAGTGTTGAGCGATTTGTCTCCATTTTGCATTTTCATCTTGGATATCACCTTGCAGCATCCACCACTACACCCCAAGGCAGATTGACTACATTCGATGATTGGACTCGCAAGACACAGTGGACTCACTTAACCAGACTCATTGGCGACAACCCCACGGATATCACGTCAATTCCAGACACACAGAAGCATGTCATCACATGTTTTATAGGTTACCTCGTCACCCTCCCTCAATCTCAGTTGTCAGGCATCCCACCTGATCTCTGGGATCTGGGACCTGACTTGTCCCTGTCAGTCTTGAACACACACATTCAAGTTTCCTATGTGCAACAACCCCAGCAGTGGCTCTACATCATCAAGTCACTGTCATCAAATCTGGTGCCCTGGAAACTGGCAGTTCCTGACACTATTACAGCTGTGATGTGCCTCCGGTGTGACTGGGGCTCAGATATCACCAAGATCACATGTAACCTCTTTGAAAAAGGAATCACTATAAAGACATTGCAGCCAATCTCAGTTCCACCTGACGCTTGACACCCACTTATGGAACTCCATACATACTCGCTTGGACATGTCTTCCCCCCTGAGGATCGCAGGCTCACCCGTTTTAGGCCTGTTTTTGCTGACTACATCGTGTATGAGCAGCACTGTCACGAGTTCATGAACCAGCCTCATGCAAGAGCAGCACTTCTTCATGGTGGCCTCATATGGTGGCTGGCTTTACATATCCTTGGGTTCGATGTTCTCCCCTCTGTTCTCAATGGCATTTCACAGGAAGCGGTACCATTTGGCCTCATGCTGGACATCAATGGCCAGACTTATTTTGATGATGAGCTGTCAGAAGAGGAGGTAGATTTCATGTGCAGGACATATTATCTGCATACCAGTAAGTTTCTCTTGTTTACGTCAACAGAGGCACTTATGTTTGAATAATAATCTAGACAACGGGAATGTTGAAATTGTCTCCTGGTGGCCCAGGCCCCAGGCCTGGGCTGCCTCAGGACTAAACGTGGGGTTCTGGTCCAGTCAATGTGAATCTTGGTTCCAGTCATGCCTGGACAACATTCGACGGGGCATTTCATGAGAGCAACATAAATTCACTGATGATGCCAATGGTCCAATGACTGGCTCGAAGTGGAAAGGCTCGCTCAAATTCAATGCGGGAACCAACAAAATGATGAAAAATGTCAATGCGGCGTCTTGCAGTTTTCTTGCCACCAAAGCAAGTGGTAAGAATAAATTGGTTGTTACTTGTGCATCTCTAATCTCCTGCTCAGCTTTTACAGAGAATTCGCACTAGGCACACCTGTATACAAGTTGAAATGATTTTGTAAGTACATTCATTCACCTCGAGAAATCACCAGTGTCTAACTACTGTCAAACAGGATTGATTTTTAGTTTCACTCTACATTCATGTACATATATAATATATGAGCTGTTCACCCTGTCATGCTACCAGTTTTCAGTTTCACTCTACATTTGTGTACATATAATATATGAGCTGTTCACCCTGTCTTTTCTAAGTTCAGAATAGCTCGTCTGGTCCCCTAATATATTTCGCATCTCAAACTCAAGTGGGCGATGACGTTGTAAGTGGGCGATGATTCAGCTGTGAGTGGGCAATCATCAGGCAATCGGTTTTATCTGGAGATAAAACTTGATGATTTATTTTCACGTTTTATTGTCAGGGGGTACTTTGAATTTTAACGCCTGTCTAAACGACAGTCTAAACTTCATACATGAGCAGATGTTCAGTCACGTGCTAAAATTGAAGTTTTTTCGAGTCTTAAATGTGAAGTTTCATTTCGAAGTTTATGCCAGCATTAAAGATATATTTATATTTCTTATTGTCATTGACATTCAGACAGAAAATGTTCACTGATACTTTATATTTCTCTTGTCGTGCAAGACCTCTTTAACATTTGAAATTTTACATCCGCTTAGACGACAACCTAAATATTAAGTATTTTCTTGACATTTCGCACGACATTCAAGCCAGTCTTAAATATTCGAATCCCCGATGTGTATCTCCTGCTTCGGCACATCTCCCTTGTTGCGAGTACCGGATATGTGATTAATTTCATTTCAGCTTGGCAAGATTCCACACGCATGCCCGCGTTCTCGATGTTGATGATTGTCCCCCGCACAACGAACTACTCGCATTACCTGCATATCCATTGTTTTATTATCCGTTGTGCTATCTTAATGTCAACTCCATCTACTCCCCCGGGTCTATATCCCCGTCTTTGCTGCGATGCCCATCCAGCATCCTTGATATAGATACACCTGCCACTCTCGTTTCCTCTTCTTACAGATTCATTTGACTTCTATATGGACTCATCAAGCATAAAAATGTGGTGTTGTTTACAGGGACTAGAGCGCCACGCCCTGCAGTGCTATACTTGTACTAGGCGCTGCACGCCACGAACTTTCGTTTGGTTGTCCATTGGTAGCCACCGTGTCACATACCGTCGATTCTCACTAGCAGGAAAAAGCTTGATAGGTTGTAAGTCACAACTATTTCTCGTCAAATGCAGCTCAGATGTATATACTGTACTACTTTGCAAATAATGAAGAATTTATGTAGCAATCTCACAGCTCCTTGTCAGTCCTAAATTTGAGCGTGGTAACCATTCGTTGATAATTAACTTGATCACTAACTAATGGGAACATCAACTAGCAATAATGGCGACACAACTAGACAAGAATGAAAATCACAGCCCTCACGGGGCAATCACAAGGCGAGGAAAATTCCGCACTGTCAACTTATAGGTCATTCTAACATCTTATCATTCATCTCAAATTCCCCATTAACTATGTGAATCATTGTCATGTCGGAACAAGAGGCTATTGTTGGTCTCCGGTGGAACGATAGTGTGGCTGGTTCGTTAGCTCCTTTTAACTGGTTTGTGAATGAATCATCGTGCTGAATATCGGTTCCATCAGTGCTCTTTACCGTGAGGTCCTATGAGTACCGTTAGCCTTCGTGAACCTTGCATTGCTACTGAGCAAAGGACTATCTAGTGCTTCTTTTGGACGAGGTATAAAGAACTTTCTTGCTGTCGGTCAAGTTGATCTGTGTTTAAGCCGTACGTTTCACTGAGTTTGTTTCACAGCCAAGTCCTAACCGTTGTTGACCTCTCTCATTCAGCTGCAAGTATAATTCATGTCTTCAAATTGAACTGCAATTCCCTCATCATGCAATAGGCTACGACATTCTTGTTGTACTGAAATGGGGTGCGGTCTGTATATTTTTGCTTTGCAGAAGGTAAGTTATGAAGTCGGCAACTCATCATGCATACCGATTTTTCATCCGCAGCTGTTCTCATCTGGCGTCTCATTGCACAGTCAAAGAATCGGTGACTCTGAACACCAAGTACTGCACTTTTTCCTTCAACATTGGGCCTATGCCTGCGATCTATACATCCATCCCTATTGTGTGCCATGATGTCTTCCTATTTGTTCTCGTTGCTGCCACCCTCGTGACACACTTCAAAGAACAAAAGGAATCCAAAATGGGGCCTATATGGTAGTGATCATCCGATATCATACCATTTACTTGATTCTGTAGGTTCCTCTTCGTCTAGTGGGTTCTGAAAGTGTTAATTGAGTCTCGCTTAGGAATTTAACAGACCAAGTCTTGATGGTAACATTGTGGACTCACATTCCAGTATGATATGATGCTGCCAAAATTATACAGATATCAGTTAACATGTATTTTGGAAATCAACCCGTCAACATAGTACATAGTGTTTCATTTTCGCTTGACTTAGACACTGAGTCGTTCACTACGCCAGCGGAGTTACCATATTAGGTAACTCCACGCACGATACTTTCGCTACACTCGCTCTGCGTCTTTTCCCAGTCTCTTATACTCGACTGCAGAACTCTTGAGTTCGTAATCTTTAGCGCCTGTCGTACATCAATGCACACTCGTAGACCCCAGTGATGCATTTCTCAGAGCTTTTCAGTGATACGATGCCATTTATTCTCGCGCCCCGTTTTATTATCAGCATTCGGGACACGGATGCCCAGGACGACTGCGTGTATGTCAGTACGACGTTCGCAGATTGTATGTTGGACTTGGCAGCCGAGGTTCGAGCAGCACTAGAGGGACCCTGACGTCCCATTAACCTGGCGTGCTGGGGTGTCTTGCGACAGTGTACTCCGCGACCAAAATTGAAAAGGTGGAGTGACACTCGAGCACTGTTGGAATGTAACATCACATACTCCACTCCACTCGTCCGTGGCGTATAAGCCAGGCTGGTCACGAGCCTAGTAGAGTGGATGGAATGAAACTCGAGCGGTGTGGGTAACATCACATACTTATTGGTAATTGAACCAGCAGGAGTGGCCCTGAAACTTTACATGGGCATTATGGGAGCAACCTCATTTGCTGCTGCGGAGGTTCGAGCTTTTGGCTGCAGTGATCATTGGATGCCTTCCTTGTCTATTTACGGCGTACGCAAAAATCTTACGTTATTGCGTGAATTGCAACGTTGATCGATTAATCTTTGGTGGTCGGCCTATACATGATGGGCCTGGTCCATTCACGGTCCTGTGATCCATACGTGCCTGTTTCTCATCGATTCCCTCGCGTTTGTCTCTTTTTAGGCTTCACCCTTTTAAAAAAAATCCCGTTTATTCTAATCAATAAGGGAAGTTCAAAGTTGAATTTGGAGCTGATTTGGACGTTGATTGAGCGTCCAAACCCACGTTCAAATCACGTCCAAGCTGGCCTCCAAATTCAACTCCGAACTCCCCTCCTAAGAAGCCTAGGCCTAATATCGACATCGTAGGCTTGCCTAACGTCGGCAGTACATATTATGGAGCTTCACCGTTGTATTTATAGTTCCACACACATTCAAGTTCGGTCTGGTTCAGTTTCCGTCTCCTAGCGTACCGCGGTGGCGTGTTGTGGGCAGAACTGGCAGAACTTGGCAGAACCATGTTCTACCAGTGTAGCAGGTGGCAGAATTAACGAACAATTTTGACGGCACTTCAAGTGTGCTACGTTGATATGAGACCGCTCGATAGCGAGTCCAAGTCGTTGCATTGTGGCCTGTGACCATGATCTCGTTGGCAACCTCAGTATCAATGCCGGTAAGTCGTCAATTTAGCTTGTCTTCAGTGATGTTCATTCTGCACGGATCTTGCCGAGTTTCAAACATCGTCCGTTGACATAGGCATAACAGTAGTCGCAATTCTATTCTTGCTTAGACATCATTCACTGGTAGAGAGCCCGCAGTACATCTTGAGTTCTGCCACATTCTGCCAGGGAAGTTCCGCCATCTGCCTGGCAGTGCCAGTTCTGCCCTGCCACATGGCAGAATGGCCCACCCTGCACTATTACATAAAGGTTTTTTTTATAAACTTCACCGGATTCTGCCGCACTTGTGCGCCTTCCCGCTGGCTAACTTAAGTTTAAACTCACAGCAGGTGTGTCTCCGGCAGCTTCGGTGGCCTCAAGAGGCTCCCCTACCAACGTAAGGCCACTTTTTCGTGCACTGTGCAGGGTAGTAGAGGCTGTTCAGTGCCTTAATCCTAAACAACTGGCAAAATCGCGACACCACGAAGTATTTGTCGCTTGAGCAAACACAGCATAGACACGGATAATCATGATTCACCGCCGACATTGTTGTCATGAGGTACGCCTAACTAGACAAGGGATATGGTTCGTTGCAGGTGGACCAATTTTGTTGAATTACCTTTTGTAGGCTCGAGTTGAGGTCGTATGCTGTACGTCATTATTAGTTCATCAATAGTCCTGTTGTAGCGCCTTTGGCGGTAAATTGGAACTTTGATTGAATTTTTGGACAAATCATTCCAACTATTCCCTTGTTCAAAGAATAAGTTTGGTATGTTCCCGTGATTAATGTTAGATAGAGGTCTTTGCTGATTTTTTCGCTGTCCTTAGCCTAATTTCTACTCCTTCAAAGTGTACTGGGTCATATTCTATCAAGAGAGTTGAACTATCTAAGCGCTGGTACGTTGCGGACGCTTGTACAGCAATCTGATCCGACTTATTGAGACCTCGTTGTACTTTCTATAAAGGCACTCTTACCAAGCACGGAACAAGGTGGAAACACGTTGGCCATGACAGCCATGAAGGGAACCTAGCCAAGGTGCAACAGCCATTTTCGTCAGTTGGAGTGATGTCTGCTCATTCATGGCTAACTACTGAGAATAGCAATTCGCGATGCCGACGAGAGGTTCGGGAAAACTCGGCACAATATGTACAACTTAATTCGACCATCACAGCCCTCAAGACGCAAGAGAACCCTACACCTTATAAGTATCGTATGTGAGTCATCAACGATTAGCGGCTCATCAATCTCTTCAGATCCCCCACTCAATTTGCGCAATCTCATGTCGGAACAAGAAGTCGCTGGTCTCCTCTGGAATAACTATGTTTCCGGTTCGTCAGTTCCTTATAACCGATGTGTAAGCGAACCATCGTGTTGAAACATCGGTTCTAGTGCCAGTGTTTACCCTGATGTCCTATGAGTACCGTTAGTAACCTTCCGGAGCCTTGCACTGCCGCTGAACGAAATATTTTCCAGTCCTTCTGTTGGACAAGGAGGTAATCACGATCTTCTCTTCTGTCACTCGAGTGCTTATCATTGTTATAATCGGCGTAGGTTAAATATGTCTGGGTCAGCCTTACACCATATCTGCATAATCATATCAGCCCGGAGATTTACTGAATCTCTAGGAACGACCATGGTCAATAATGTCACTCCTGTACCTCGTTGTAAGTTTTGTCCTGTCAAGGGCGTTTTATTTTATTTTATTTATTTGCCACGCTAGGTTCGATATTTTGGTCTTTTCCTGGCACTGTACGTCGTTGTGGCTTCTTGACATGGTGCATATACATACTGACACTCGCATTAGGCTGTGCGGCTCATGTATGTAACCCTGTGCCTACAGAGCTATTATCAACTGACTAGTGCCAGGGGGAGGGCTGCTGTATATGCCTGAATCAGTTAGTGTATCAATGCTTTCTATTTAAAGAGTTTGGGACTAATACACATCCTAGCCGTAAGTCCTAAGTTCGTCTTAGAGCCAATTCTCACTCGTCGTTGTCCTCTTATACAGCTGCAAGTATATCATTTTCAACCCGAAGCGTCTTTACTCACCATTCAGTTGAAATAGGCTATGGTCTTCTCGTTCTAATCGAATGGGGGTTTTCAGTGTATTTTTGCTTTGCGGAAGGTAAGTTACACATTCTCGCATCTCGGTACGCATCCCAATCTTACATCTGCAGCCATTCTCATATGGCGTCTTTACGCACTATGCAACCAATCTAAGCTCCTACTTTATGTTCTAGTGGGATTGTTTTTGCCCATTGTCGCCCTCTCCATCGGGACGGACATTTATTTATACAGTCGATCTAACGTGTTCTCAGGTGAATTTTTACCCAGATGAAGTTGGCTGCAAGCTGACCCTGTCTCACTGCATAGTGAAAGAAATCATAACTCCGCATGCCAAGTACTGCACTCTTTCCTACAACATAGGGCCTATGCCTGCGATCTATACTTCCATCCCCATTGTGTGCTATGATGTCTTATTAGTGATTCTCGCGGTTGCCATCCTCGTGAAGCACCTTAAGGAACGGAGGGATTTCCGAATGAGGGCTAATACCTATATGGTTATGATCGTCCGGTATCATATCATGTACTTTGCCCTGTAAGTCCCCCTTCATCAAGTGAGTTCTAGAAGTACCCATTGATTCCCGCTAGAAATTTGACGAACCAAATTTTACTGGTTATACTATGGGCTCATATTCCGGTATGATGCTTTCAAAGGATTATACAGAGATATCAGCTAAACATTTACACTGTTAGACCTCGGCGATGAGTCTCTCGGAGCTTTTCAACGACACTGCGCCATTCATTCTCGCTCCCCGTCTCATCATCAGTATTTGGGATACACATGCCCAGGATGATTGCGTAGAAGTCAGTAAGCTGTTCGAGGATTGTACATGTTGGACTTCTCCTTCGAGGTCCGAACGGCACGAGATGGACTCCGTTGTCGTATAATTCTGGCATGCTGATTCCTCAGTATGAAAAAAAGTGATCGGGGTTGGATGAGGCATATTTATGAATGAATAACTTACAGTTGTGTAGCGCCTGATAGCCTAGTAATTATGTACGTATCATATTCCTTCCGGTGCAATAAGCACCCCGCAGAAGTCGACGCTTTCATAAAACTTGTATTTCTAGCTACTTAAATACAAAATTCTTCATATATATAGCATTCTCTCAAGCTTTAATACAACTCATTGAAGTTGAACGACCACGATTGAGGCAGAATTGAGTGGGATAGTTGAAAGTGCCGAAGTCACGCAGCGGAGTTTCAATTCCCGCTACCTTAGAGGCTGTTCGGCAACCAGATGTTGACCAACATTAATGGCAAATGTCATCTCGGCTTGGATTTCGCCGAAGTTCGGAGCTTGAATCATAGGCCGAATTCGGACTAACCCTAGCACACTGATATGGGCTGTAGGGTATAATACACTGTCGTTAGAGTTGTATTCTATGCATTCCTACACCAATGGATCCTCATTTGAGACTCCAGCATTTCATGCCCCAACATCCAGAAGTTCAATGCCACCTCATCCAACATTCAATCCTTCTAGTCAGCATCTTAATCAGCACTACAGCTAATATACTAGAGTCAGTATATGCCAAAGATCTGGAGCTGTATCATACATCTGCTCTCTCTGGCAAAACCTGGGTGATGGAGCTGTTGACTGGCCACCCAGAACAGATCCAATGTGAACTTGGCATGCATGGACATGCTTTTGCAGAGCTTATATCTGAGCTTTGTACCCTTGGCTATACCAACTCCAAGTGTGTTTTGCTAGAGGAACAACTTGTGATTTTTCTATATACATCTGTCACAGGACTGTCTGTCAGGCATGTTGGTGAACAATTTCAACACTCCAATGAAACAATTTCTTGGTAAGTACATGCTAATAGTTATGATCTGCTGATGTCTCATTGTATTTCCTATGTAGTTATTTTTGCAAGATGCTCAACATATTCTTGTCTTCCCCCTTCTACACAAACTATGTTTACTTGCTGGATGACTCTGTTCCTGATAATCACTCTGACCCTAAGTTTTGGCTGTTTGTCAAAGATACCATTGGGGCTATTGATGGTAGCCACATTCACACTTCACCTTGCACATTCAAATGAGGTCCCTATTGCAATCGGAAGGAATTTGTTTTGCAAAACTGCCTGTTTGCCTGTGACTTCAAGTTCAACATTACTTATGCACTCACTGGCTGGGAAGGGTCGGTCACAGATACACATGTCTATGAGGCTGCAGCAGGCCATGACCTTCATATTCCTGCAGGGAAATACTTCCTTGCAGATGCAGGCTTCCCTCTGTGGCCTGAACTACTCATTCAGTATCATAATGTGCGCTACCACCTTGCAGAATGGGGCTGCACAGGTTTGAGGTATGTGTACTGGTGTTATTCTTTCTACAATGTGCTGATTATTTACAGGCCAACTATGAAAGAAGAGTTATTCAATCTCTGTCATTCATCTGCTTGAAATGTCATCAAGTGGATTTTTGGTGTCCTCAAACAATGTTTCTGAATCCTCCATCTATTACTGCCATATGCTATGAGCATACAAGCTCAGATTCCAGCTGCATTGTGCTGCATTCACAATTTCATATGTTTTCATGATCCCTTGGAAGGTGCGCTACCTAAAGCAGACTATTTGGACCTGGACACTCATATGCATGCCACAAACTGGGAGCAGGCAGCAGAAGAAGCACACAATGATCTGCATGTGAAATGTGATCTCATTGCACAAGTGATGTGGGTTGAGTATCAGTGTATTTTAGAAGAATGACAATGATGCATTGGATGATGAGGATGTTGAGTATGAACTGGATTGATTCTTACAAGTAGCATGTAGTTGTATCTGATCTGTTTCAATTGGTATGAGAAATGTAACAAGTGTGTCAGAAAAAGGTAAAGGTGCATCGGAAGACTGCCATATTTAGACATTGTGAAGGCACCTTCCAGCTGTATTGCATCCAAGATGGCATGGCTGAACCTATATTTGAAGGTCCTTGAAAGGCACATCCCATGATTGTGGCAACTTCTGAGACTGGCTCATGTGTTCCAATGTGCTCTTATTGATGTATAACTCTTTCAATAGACTGAATCCAATATTATCTACCTTGTCAACCATTCAGTTGTTGCTCTGTTCATAATTATCTATATTATTGCAATGACACCACCAGGATATCATTATATATTAAGCTCATTGTCCAGCAACATTGTGCAGGGTCAATACTGTACTCAGTCTTTTTCGACTTGCAGGATCAAATCACATGAAAACAGTTACCTGCAGAAGCGGCAGAAGAAGAAGGACAACAAGGAGTTTGCTTTACTTGCAGCACAGGCAACCAGTAAGGCCCAAAAATAAGGTATGTTTGACTTATAATACAATGTGTAGTTTAATTTACTAATTATGGACTGTAACATTTGGATCAGAATGTTGCCAAGATAGAAAGTGACATCTGGATCACAAGGTTCAGCTGATGTCTCATCAGGCGCCATCTGGTGATAATGTGCTTCCTGCACCCACTGATCTTGCCTTGATAGGTCCAGGAACACATGGGACTGATCATAGTCCAGGCAATGCAATGAGCATCAATGGCAATTCACTCCAGCCACATATGGTGTTTATTTCATTCTATTTAAACTAATCATGGTTATAATTCAGGTTCAGACCCAGATTGCAGCATGTCAAGCAATGGTCCAGTCATTGTGCATGAAGATCTGCTTCTGCCCATTGACATCATGGCCTTTGTCACACCTCTTGATGCTACCCATCCTGATTTCGATGCCTTAAAGACAGAGTATCATCCTAATGCTTGTCATGAGCCTGTAATCAAATGTTTTTCTGCATTTGGGCATGCTCATGCTAACAACATGAGGCCATGCATTGATGATGAAGCACCATGGATTCCATTCAAATCTTGTGCAGACTTCGAGTTTGCTGAAATTGCACATCAAGCTACTCTCAACAAAGATCAGACGGACTGACTGTTAAAGCTGGTTTGGAGGATATTAGATGGCAACACTAATTTTACTTTAAGATCTCATGCTGATCTGTCGAGAGCTTGGGATCTTGCAGCAGGCCAGATGACTCCAGTGAGTGTAATATAATCATATATAATCATGTATCATTTGTAATATAAATGTTGTTTCAGTTTGAGAAGTATATTGTTCCTGTCCAGCATAAGAAGGAGGTCTTGGAGTTTGAGATGCATGCATGGCCATTATGGGACTGGACAATGGATTTGCTTAGTGAACCATTATTGGGACCGCACTTTGTATGGGATGTGTAGCACTTGTATAAACATGATGAGACTGATTACAAGCACTTTATCCATGAACTGTAGACAGCTGACCACTGGTGGTATATCCAGGTATGTCCTTATTATCATGCCACCACCCACACCAAACTGATGTTGTTTACTACTCTATTATAATAGTTGTCATTACCTAGTAATGAAGCCCCATTTGCCATCATACTATATGCAGACAAGACCCATTTGTCCTTGTCTGGCGCAGTCAAGGGCTACCCTGTTATTGCTCACTGTGCCAATCTACCAGTTGACATCAGGAACCAAGATGGAATTGGTGGTGGATGAGTAGTAGGCTGGCTACCTATTGTAAGTATTCACAAACTTGATTTGGTGCTTGGTGTGGCAAGCCAACTCCTTCTATCGCTAATAAATGACTGTTTGATAATAGGTCCCTGAAGATTCTGGAGGAGATGGAAAACTAAGCCATACAAATCTCAAACACATCGTCTGGCATGAATCATTCTTCAAGTTACTTGAGTCCATCATCTTGTATGCAAAGACAGGATTCATGCATGAGTGCCATGATTGCATCACACATTGGTTATTCCCTTTGATCCTTCTACTTTCAGCTGGTTATGAGGAGCAGTAAGTCTTTGTAGGTTAATGTTTCAGTCATTTTTACATGTTTAATGGCAGGTGCATGATGGTGCTAATATGGGAGACACACTGCAACTGCCCATGCCCTGTCTGCCTCATCCCCTCAACAAAACTATATGACCACACCATGATGTACCCTCTCTGGACTACTGAAGAAGTGCAAGCTCATGTTCAGCTGTACTTTGATGACTGAGTTGCTGGAGAAGAAGCTGTAAGGATTAGCAATTGTTTGACACCGGAAATAGCTGTTTCAATGCTTACCTTAACCACCATCAGTGCACCATCAACATTGATCTCATTCTTCATCACTATCACCCCATTCTCAGCTCGCTGTCTCCGAATCTGTCAAATCCACTATGCAATTCTCGTCATTATGTCCATAGCATACCCATTTAGATTAACACTCACTCAATCATTTCATACTCTCTGTCTACCCTACCCTGTCAGGAGTGATGCCACTTCCTTCAGTATCTGTCTTCACATAATTGTTCAGCCTGTCAATATCTGAGGACCCTTAGTATTTTGATGTATAAGAGTAGCTCATGTACACTCACTACGACAGGCAATCATACTAGTCTCCCAGTTTCCATCTTGCACTTGTTATCTAAATTGCATTGCTATATCCATTGTTTATCATCTTGCACTCAGCATTATAGTGCACCTGCGGTCACCACACCCCTTTGAACTCACAGTGAGAACCATCTAGGTTCTTACAAAGTGCTGAAAGAACAAGGTTTGAGACCTGTCAAGGTGCATGTTTCTCATATCTGTCTTTTGGGTGATGTTATTAATATGAACCATTACCAGAATGTGTTTTGGAGAGTTCCAAATTCAGACCCGCATGAAATCATTTTGCAGGATTCACTTCACTTGTGGTATATGTGATTATTTGGTAGACATAAGTTCAAAGACCTTAAGAAACACATAGAGGACCTGGGGCATGAAGCACTGAAAATGGTTGATGATCAGTGAGTCATTAATCTGTTTGTATTTCTGAGACATTTCATTTAATTATGAATTGAAGGTTTGATGCCTTTCAACAATGGCAAAATCTGAACCATTTTGATCATGTCACTAACATTTCATTTAGCAATGGAAACAAATTTCAAGACATCTCCAAGGTGAATGATAGTTACATTACAATCAGTTTCATTTGACATAATTTCTTTGATAGCAGATTTTGTATACATCTCACAATGTACTCACACATAGTAAGGACAAGACTGGCTATGGGCTCTTGTGGTGCATTGCAAGCTATCTTGAACTTGATATGTATATTTCACTTGATGTGCACACTATTGATACCATTGCAGCTGGGGAAGCAGAACTACTGGTATATCAAAAGCTCTTAGAGGTAACATTGCTTTGATTTTTAGCGCTATTATTAACTATCTTTACTGGATGACTTAGGAGTATCTTGATCTATTAGGTGATGAAAGAATGAAGAATTGGAACTTCCCAAAGGTACATGGTGGGAAGCATATATTCCACAATGTCCTAGAGAAAGGTGCTTCCTGGAACTTCAGTGCTTGACCCAATGAGAAGCAACATAGCCCTATCAAGCGCACATATTTGCACCAGACCAATCACAAAGATGTTGCTAACCAGGTATCATAATATTTTCAGTTTTCTAATCAGGTCTTTACTCAATGTGATTTGATCTTTCAGCTTTTGAAATTGAATCATATTTCCCTTGTCTCTGAGCTCATCCATAGTCACATCAACCACCTTGATGAAGAACACCTCAGATGCATTGTATCAGAGAGAGAGCTTGAAGATGATGAAAATGAGATCAAGGATGATCAGATGTTTGCAGGCCACATCCACCTTGGTTCCCCACAGCATCTCATAGGTTTTGCCCTAGTAGAGGAAGCATATAGTTCAAATTGTGCATTTGCACACTTCCAGAAGAAGTTCACCATATTCCTCAATAACTTCCTCCCTTCTAACAATATACCATTGCCTAATGGTTTGACCTGGCTAAGACCAGCAGCTGAGGATACAATCAGTTGATTTTGTTCTTATTCATGAAGTTTTGACTATATTTATGGACAGCTTCAAGAATACTGCTACCTCAAAGTAAATTACAAGTCCTTTGTTGACTAGAAATTGGCCACCAACTACCTTAGATGTAACCCTAGTTTCCATGGCCATGAATGGCATGATTGTGCACTGATACATACCCATGACAAGGATGACAATGACCAAAACATTTTTGTCCAGTTGCTGTTCATGTTTAAGTATGTTGTTGGTGAGTAGACTTTGGACCTTGCTCTAGTTCAGCCCATGGACTCCCCACTCAGTATATGACATACTGTAGATCAGGATCTGTGCTTCACTTGTCTTTGCACACGACCTGCAGCTTCATCTGAGTTTATTTCCCTTCATTCAATCATTTGGGGCACTCTGCTCATCCCTGACTATGACAGCAATACAGACTTTTTTGTTATTGACTATGTGGATACAGATATGTTCCTCTGTTCTCAAAGGAAATTCTTTTAGGTTAGTTGAATTGGTTCACTCTTACTCCTTTCCCCTACTAATCACTGACTGCAGCACTGGGAGAGGTGTCAACCTCAGTGCATCTTCAACAAGACTGTCATCATGCATTCTTCCCATGAGCTTCCATTGTCTGGTGGGGATCCTCAGGCCACTCCTTTGATGAAACCATTATCATGTACTCTTCCTGTGAACTCCCATTGTCTGGTGGGGAACTTCAGGCCACTCCTTCAATGAAACTGTTATCATACACTCTTCCCACAAACTCCCATTGTCTGGTGGGGATCCCTAGGCCACTCCTTCAATGAAACCGTCATCATGTACTCTTCCCATGAACTTCCATTGTCTGGTGGAGATGTCAGACCACCCCTTCAACAGGCCTGTACGACCAAAACCTAGGTATTCCTCTATTGGTGTTCTCTTGGGCAGATGCCTAGTTCCTTTTGTTAATCTCACTTGAGACCACTCCTGTGATGAGGCTGTCATCATGTACTATTTGACAAGGCTGCTATCACATATTCTTCGCCAAGGCTGTTATCATGTGTTTTTCACTTGCCCTTGATCTGGTATCATTCGAGCATTGACAATTTAATGTACACATCTTAATGCAATCTTAACCTGCTTAAAGGTGGGCTATTACCTCAAACTAATGACAACTTCATTGTTCATCAATGCCTCATTGTTGCACATACAGAATAGCACATTTTCTCACTACCAAATGCACCATGATATACTACATAATAAAATGGCGTGTGACATGTGTTCAGAACTTATATAAGGGACAGTGTAAACTGAATTCAGCATGCACAGCTCAAACCCTCCCTTGCTCTTGCTATCTTAGCATGTCTCAGCAACATGTACCAGAGGATATCAAAGTCATGGAGAGTGGCTCCACTGCAAGCTTTGATTCTGACTCTGACAACTTGTTATCAGATTTGGACAAGGAACTCATGAAAGTCCATACTGCTGTTGCGTCTCCACTGGATGGTGCTTCAATTGCAGACCTTCATAAGGCAAGTGCTGTGTTATTATTTTCCAGGTGTGTTGCAGGCTCTAAGTTGGTTATTCAGGTGCTCAAAACTGCACAGAAACTTCTGTTGAACATGCAAGGCCAGCAGTGGGAGCTCTTGAAGTGGAATACGCTTCTGGAGACTTCAGCAGCCAATGTTACAAACTAGGATAGTTCTAACAACAGACAACTTGATAAGAGTCAGAACCTCTGTTGAGATTTCTACACAAGACAATAAGTCAAGTGTTCAAGGTAAGCTAAGGCAGAGGGAGTGCCTCTGACTTAAGATATGGTTCAGATGACTTAAGATGGGGGGTCTTAAGTGAAGAGTGTTCCAGGTAAAACCTAGTAAGATTAAGTGTAGTATCAAGGTGTACAAGGTAGACTATGTATAGTGAACACAAGTGCTTTAGGGCAGGTGTGGGATAGAGGACAAGTCAGAGATAACAAGAATAGGCACCTAGTGATGGCAATAGTGATCATGGCATAATACAAGTGTAAGTCAGAGATAAGTCTAGTGGTGGCAGCATGCGGCATGTGACATAATACAGTGTAAGAATAAGAGAAAATGAATAGGGGTGTATGTTGACTGTAACATTACCCCTCATTTAGCAACAAAGTCACCAACTTTAGTCATCCTGGTTAGCCCAGTAAATTGGGTCAGCATCATAGTTAGAATCTAACAGATTGTTCTGCTCTTCAGTAATAGTGGTAATGGAAGATCTGTCAATAGATATCCGACTGGCAATCAGGTCATTATTCCATTTATCATTTTCAGCTATTTCTTCGGTGCAGTAGATAGCATCCTGCTTGATTTCCCAATGGGAAAGAGCTTCGTGGAAACCCAGATCAGTCCAGATCAACGGGATAACCACTTCACCCTTCAAGTCTTTACAAAAGACTGTCAAGTGACTGGGTGCATACTCTTTGCAGACTTGGCAGTAATAATCAGGGCATTTCTTGTGACAATGGCCAGTGACATGGCAGTTACAGCATACAACATTGTCAACAGTTTCTGCTTTTATGGTGGTAACGGTGGAGGATTGTGGTGGTGGTGAAGGGGATTGGGAATGTTGTTTGCGGTTTTGGATAGTTAGTGAGATGGATGGTTCTTGCTTGATTCAAGATGATCTATGTCTAGTGGGGTATCAGCAAGTAGTGGGCATGATGGGAGTAGGAGTAGGAGAAGCTGGTATGAAAGGTACAGCAGCAGGATTGAAAATATTATCCATATGCTCAACAGCAGGTGATGAAGGGATTGGCAGTGGGATGGGGACTGTGATATGCAGAGATGGGGGTCTAGCAATGGGGTTTGTGGTGATTTGTTCGGTAACGATATGGATAGCCTCTCTGATAGCTTCTTTAGTGCTAGAAGGCAGCAAACAGATTGCAGTATTGTGGATGCATATATGAAGGTGGTGGAAGATGGTTTTGTGACGATCATCATCAATGAGCTGGGCTGTCCACTCAATAAGACTGGTGGATCTAATGATGCTAATGAGAAGTCTGCTAGAGATGGCTCTGGCTTCTCCTAAGAGTTGATCTATCTCATTGGCATATTGTGGGGAAGTGATGGTGAAGAGAGAGTTAGTCTTGATTTCGTCAATGATAGTGAAGTAATCAACGAGAGATGAGTCACTGGAGAGAGTGGTTTCGGTTATGGATGGAGATGGGGTGTTTTCAGAGGTGAGGTTCATTGCAGTGGTAAGTTGTTGGAGGTGGAGTAGGCAGTGTTGCAATCTTTTGAAGGAGGAGGACATTATTTCAGAGTTATAATTGATGGGTGTTCTTATATGCTGAAAGGATGTCTGAGGCGTTACTGAGATTTCCTTCTGGGATCCATTCATTACTAGCAGAGGAATATCCTTTCCAGGATACTAGATAGCATCTTTGTTTGCCTGTGCCTTTATGTGATAGGATGGCTTTGATTTCATATTCTTCTTCGTTATCTATGACATCTGGAGGGGGATCATGGAAGTTAGGACTGTGGATTTCGGTTTCATGATAGGATGATAACTCAGAAGCATGGAATGTGGGGTGAACCTTCCATTGTTCTGGTAGTTGGAGTGTGAACATGATGGGGGATAAAATGGTGATGATAGGGAAAGAACTGTAACATTTTGGCACAAGCTTCTTTGAGGGTATCTGTGTAATCAGATTCTTCCCCAATAGCCAAACCTTATTGCCAATCTTCCATGGTTGATACTTCTGCCCATGCATTCGTTCTGCCATTTGCTGCATAGCAAGGTTGTGACACAATAATGCTTCTTCTCTGGACTTTTGAAGTAAGCGGAGTCATTCTTCTGCAGCAGGTATGGTGGAGTCAGGAAGGGTATGAGGGAGGGCCCGGGGTTCATATCCCATCATTAGGAAGAAGGGTGATGCGTTATGAGAGTCATGTTTTTGGTGGTTATGAACAAATTCTGCCATTGGGAGATGTTCTACCTAATCTTCAGGGTGATTGCAACAGTAGATGTGGAGATAAGTCTCAAGCTCTTGGTTGAGACATTCAGTCAGTCCATCAGTCTGGGGGTGATAGGCAGTAGAAGCGGCAATATCATATTTCAGAAGCTTAGCAAGGGCTTTTGAGAACTTTGATATGAACTGTGGGCCTCAGTCAGAGATAACCTTCTCATGCAGGCCGAAGTGGCGATAAACATAATTGAAAAACTTCTTAGTGATGCCTTCTGAAGTGATATTTTTCATGCAAGGGATCAGAATTACCCTCTTCAAAAGGCCATGGTTGACCATGACCATAACAGAATCAAAGCCTGCACACAGGGGAAGATCAGTGATGAGGTCAACAGAGACCTGGGCGAACAGCGATGAGGCAATAGAGGGGATAAGTACAAGTGGGGGAGTCATGGGGTGCATGTTGGATTTCATTTGCTGGCACAAGGCACAACCATCAATGTATTTGCAAATGTAGGAACCCATAGAGGGCCACCAAAAGTCCTGTTTCACAAGTTCTTCAGTTTTAAAACAACCCGGTGTGCAAACACAACAATGGCTAGACACTTGTTAAAGTGCCTAACCAAAAATATTGTTGTAGGTCGATGCTCTGCCTAGCTGCTACACTTGCAAGCAAGAACATTTGACCCTAAAGGGAATTGCTACTGAGAATGGCCGATGATACTAAAGACCCAAAAGTGCGCAGAGTGCGGGAATGTGGAAGTGCGGTTGATGAGTGGTCAATGAATGGTTGATGAGCAGTTGATGCAGAAGTGTGAGATGCTAGGGTAGGGGGTAGGGAAGTCTTATTCCAGGTATAAGGTAACCAATAGGGGCTAAAAGCGCACACTAATGGTGACTGCTCCTAAGTAAAACCTAAGGGAAGGAAATACCACAGAAGGGAAGTAAATATGAAGTAGTCACTCTAGGCACTTTATACTAGCTAAACCCTCTCAGAGACAGAAGGGACAGGACAGACAGGCAGTAGGAATATGTAAAGACATGTAATAAGACTGCAACACTTGTTACAACACACAAGGCAAGACAAAATACATACCAATGAGGTAGGATGGACAATAGACTGACACGGGACATTTGTAAGGTAGTCTGAAGGTGCAGGAAATTGACTGCAGGTATGCACGCAGCGTGGGAGTGAATGCATGGGTCCACAGAGCACAGGAATACACGTCTGGAGCGGGTTGAGTGTGGGAAAAGCGGTTGATGGTTTTGTAGCTTTCCATCACCTATATCAAAAGATGGCCATTGCAAGCCTAGCAGGAATATGATCATCACACCGGATGACCAGCAGTGGCATGGTTATGACAATGCTGCAAGATCTGATGCCAACTGGCAGGGCAGACATAGGCACAATCTTTGTAATATAGGATGTCATCCTTAATTGTCCAGTCAGAGAGTGTGGACTTCATGGGAGGAAGGGATAGCCCATCAAGGGCATCTGCAGTGGTGCAAAAGATAGGGTCAGGGTCTGTGGGATCTGGGTTTGCAAGAGTGGTTGTTAGCTCAGTATCTAGAAGTCACACGAACATAGTGTTTGGTAGCAATGTGACATCTTCATTATCTTCAGATCCAGTACCGTGATTGGGATGGCATGACAGAGCATCAGGGGCAGCAAGTTTAGTGCCGGCAACATGATGGAGCTTGATATCATAACAGGATAAAAGAAGCTGCCAATGAGCTTGGCAGCAAGTTAACTTCTGTGCAGTATGGAAGTAGAGCAGGTTCTTGTGGTTGGTAAAGACAATGACTGGATGGGGGTTTCCTTCTAAGTAGTGACACCATTCTGTTAATGCACAGACAACAGCAAGGAGTTCTTGATCAAAGATCTGGTAGTTATGTTCCACCAGGTTCAGGGTTTGTGAGAGATATCCACATGGGTGGTAAACTCCATTTTCATTGGTCTGCAGCAGCACTGCACCAGTTGCAACAAGTGAAGTGTTGGTAGCTACAGCAAATTGTTGGCTAGGATCTGGGTTTCATAAGACAGGCTGCTTCAGGAAGCATTCTTTCAACGTGGTAAACACAGAGGTGCATTGGTCAGACCAATGGAATACTGTTTCTTTCTTGGTGAGGTTGATCAGGGGTCTTGCAATGTCAGAGTAATGAGGAACAAAATTGCAATAGAAGTTGCAGAACCTGAGGAATGACCGAACTTCTTTTACTGTAGTAGGGATAGGCCAGTCACAAATACCATCAGTTTTGGCAATGTCCATAGCAACACAACTGGGGCAGATAATCATCCCCAAATATTCTACTTCCTGTGCATCAAAGGTGCATTTCTCTTGTTTCAAGAATAGACATTCAGCACAAATCCTTTCTAAGACATGATGGGTATGTGCATGATGAGCATCAAAGTCATTGGAAAAGATCAAGATATCGTCCATGTAGATGACTAGCCAACCTTTGTTGATTTCTTGCTGGAATGTTCTATTTATATATGCTTGGAACATGGCAGGCAAGTTAAAGAGACCGAAGAACATGATGTTAGGCTCGAAAAGGCCATATTCCATAGTAAACACAGCTTTCCAACAATCATCTGGGTGAATCTGGATATTATTGTAACTGGATCAGATGTCCATTTTCGTGAAGTATTTAGCACTGTGTAACCGAGCGACCAAAAAAAGAGGGAGTGGGAGGGGATAGGTGTTCTTGATTGTCCAGTTGTTAATGTACCAGTAATCTTGACATGGATGAAGGTCACCACTTTTCTTTCCTACAAAGAAGAATGCACTGGCTTGTGGTAACTTTGATTCAGAGATAAAACCCTTCTTTACATTTTCATCAATGAATGCTTTGATGGTGGTTGTTAAGGTCGCATGCTCAAGGGTGTCGGATCACAAGGGCTTGGTCTCAGCTCGTATGCTGTGCCCCTTTCCTGAGTATGTGCCCTTAATTTCTGGGGGCTAGAACAGTCATCTGGAGTTTCCAGGTTTTGACTAGGGTGGATAATGGACATCCAGATCTGAAACGTGAGATAAATCTGGTGGACATCCGGATGTTACCTGGGCAAGTGGATAAGACTAATCCGGACGAAGTCTGGACTAGAAACTAACAGAGGATGGACTACCCTTAAGGTAGAGTTGGAAATGTAGTCTAGGATGCAATCCTAAGACTTGGAATATGACAAGAGACTTATCTTGAGTCCAGAGGACACAGGAATGAGCAGGAACTAAGATAATATTCGAACTGGAGTATTTCTGAGAGTTACAGGAGGTTTATATACTGTAGGTATCATATAGAAATCAGTCAGCAAACATAAAGGCTATGTACAAAGCATATGCAGAGTCTATTAGTAAGTAGGATGGATCACAAATAATGAACACTGGAAATGAAATGTATGTAATGGATCAATAATCAAAAGGAAAACATGGTTAACCAGAGTCCAGAGACAGGGGCAGTCTAAATGGGGTTGGGCGCTGATATAGGGTTTGGATTCTGGAAGGGAGATAAAGATAGATCAGATCATTTGAGATCCAGATCTCAGATCCGGATATCTGGAGAAGTGGATTTAGAGTTGAGAGTCTGGAATGGCATATGACAGTGGTGCGTTCAGCTACAGATAATAGATAGACCTTTGATGTTTTCAGGACAAAACCAGGTTGAGTTTTGATGCAGTGGTCAATACCAGGGCATTCTGGTGGTAATTGGTTAAGACCATCTTTGGCAAAGATGTCAGCAAAATCATGGAGATAAGAGGGGACAAGTTCTTCAAATGCTTTCTTCTTCTGTTCAAGCCTGGCTGCTAACACAAACTGCTGGGCTTTGTTACTGGTTTTGATGTATTTGGTAGGGTGTGACAGGAGTGTGACTGTGGGTTTCTGTTCCACAAGACTAGTACCATCCTTGGTTAATGGGGTGTCCATGGAAACAATGGTGATAACCTAGAGCTCAGTTACATTGACAGGGTACTCAACCAAGAATTCATCATCATCAAGGTGGTAGGTGGCAAGCTCATGTACTGGAGGTGCATAGTCCTGGGTCCAAACATCATCTTTGGTGTCAAAAGAGTTGTCATCATCATTAGGGATGGGGTCAAGGTTTGGTATTACTGGGGGTGCTTCTTCATCTGGGATTTCTTTGATGGTTGCACAAGGGAGTGGTTCTAGAGGTGCTTTTGGCTGTTCTCTAATGGGAATAGACTGCACAGGAGGTGCCTTCGGCAGCACTACAACTGGCATTTCTTCTTTCTTAAGATGGGAATCTTTCCACGTCCTATCAACAGGTTTCTTGAAGCACTTTGGTCACCCCATTTTAGATACCTCTTAGGTTGATTGTTGTCTATAGAGGTTTGTACCTAAGAGGTATGTTTTCACTGGTCTCCCCAATGTTCCATGGTCCTTCCCTATTGTTTTTGTGGACCAAAAGAGGATGTGCTGCACATGGACCATAGACCATTGGGACCATGTCATGGCACATACCACAGGGTATTTTGGACCACATATCTAATGGATTTCCCCAAATATATAGGAGTGTCTGGGGTCACAAACCACCTAAATTTTCGATTTTTGCAGTAATTTTCTGTTGATTCTGATGGTGAATAGCATTAGACTACAATGAATGTTTGTGTTATATCTACCATATAGAATCATATAATGGCTGAATTTGTGAATGCAATTGTACATTGCTCAATTTAGTGTCTTGCTAGGAAGACACCTGTACATTCTGAAGTCTGGTAGTATTTGTGGTCGTATCTGTTTAGTTCTACTATAATTCAACCAATCTCTTCACACTGACAATACAAAGGATACACTGTGACAATCAAGCCTGCGCTAGGCTTGTATGATTGCATTACCATAGTTGTCTATGTGTTACCGGCATACCTGGACCTACCTTCCTTATCTGTCACTCAACCGAGCCTCTTTGACTGGTTGTCATATCCGCATATCTGGATCTCAGATCTGATCCACATCTTATCCCCCTCCAACATCTTGTCATCCAATCTGTCCACTCATCTGGTCCGGTCCACAATTCATCCGAATCCACAACCAGCGCTCATCTCCTTTTGGTAATCCCCTAACTCCGGTATTTTGGTTATCTGTATATCCATCCCGCTCCCTGATCTGTTACCTATGCTTCATTTCCATTTCATTATTTGTGATCCATTTCTACTTACCAATAGACTATCCATATGCTTCGTACATAGCCTCGGACCCTGCTGATTGATCATTCTGTTAGATACCTATAGTATATAACCTCCTGTAAATCTCTGTAACACTTCAGTTTGAATATCAACTTAGTTCTGCTCATTCCTGTCCTCTGGACCTGAGTACTGCTACTCTTGTCACCCTCCAAGACTTAGGATTGATTCCTATAGTCTATCCACATCCACCTCTGTCTATGACAGCCATTACCACTAGTTTCTAGTCTGGACTCATCTGGATTAGCCTTACAATACTTATCCTGCATCTGGAAGTCATCTGGATCCGCTACACTACCCATCCAACCCTCTGGATGTGTTAGTCTTGCCTTCCTGAAATAAGGGGCAATACTCAAGTAAGGGGCACAGCACACGAGGTGAGGCCGAAGCCCTTTGGATCCATTTAGCCTTGAGTACAACCTTAACACTGGTCTGTACCCTATGTCCACCCATGTCCTGTCCATTGGCATGTAATAGTGTGGTATAGTTGTTACATGTCTAAGTGCTGTAAATAATGTACCTTTGTCGGACCCCTACCAGAAGTACTGAATCATGGTACATTTGACCTCTGCCTTACCTTTGCCTAGGCAATTTCGTCCTTCCTAGCTACCTTCACCTGGATGCCAGGTTTACCAGTAGTATCTTTAGTCATGATCCTATGGTAGAAAACAACATTGACAAGAGTGGATATATGGAGGACATCAGCCATGGAGGCAAGAGCAGAGTATTCGCCAAGTGAGTGTCCAGTAAGGATATTAGACAGTATAGACTAACTAAGGCAGACCATATATCAGATAGGGCAGACCACAACACCATCATAGACTAATCTGGGAGGACCATATGTCATGTAGGGCGGACCACATGTTATGTAGGGCAGACCACAAAGACAATATAGCCTATGTAGGGTGGACTGCAACACCAGTATAGACTAAATGGGGTGGACCATATGTCATGTAGGGCGGACCATATGTAATATAGGGCAGACCTGCAATAACATGATCAGAATGCTGTATGGTACGAATCTATGATGTCAGTCCAGTACCCCTGCCAAGAAGATGATCAGAATGCTGTACAGTACAAACCTATGAGACCGTATGAGATAGTGTGACATACACTGAGTTACAGAGACAAGATAACCCACCCCACCCCCTTATTAAACACCTTTTCACTTTCCCAGATCTCCCCCCCTCCCTATGTCAGTCCAGTATCCCCACCAAGAAAAAATAGATGATGATTGGAATGCTGTATGGTACAAATCTATCATGTCAGTCCAGTACACCCACCAAGAAAAAATTGATGAATTGTGCAAAATGCCCCTTATTTCACACATTTTCACTGTCCCAGATGACCCCCCCTCCCTATGTCAGTCCAGTACCTCCGCCAAGAAAATCAATGATGATTGGAATGCTGTACAGTATGAATCTATGATGATGGTCCCAGACACCACGTTTGATTTTTCCCGAAGAGCAAGTATGTGGTTTACCTTGGTACTATACATTTTCCACACAAGTCCATAGCATTCCCATGCAAATCCATTCCAGACACAGACCTGCTCCTGCTCCCCCCTACTGAGAAAAAATACACCAGTTGTGCTTATTGGTATATATTCATTTTAATCTATTGGAAACCCCCCCCCCTTCAGCAGACTGATCCAAATAGAAATACTCAATATCTACCAGGCAGACACCATGTGTAATTTTTCCCAAAGAACAAGTATATGGTTTACCTCAGTACTATACATTTTCTGGACAAGTCTGTAGCATTCCTATGCAAACCTGTTCAGGACCCGGACCTTGGCAACTCATGTGGATAACTTCAACCAGTGTGAGTCACTCTCACATGACACTTTTGCATGAGGTCTACCTTACTACATTTTCACTCAGTCAACGAATACATGTGTCATGTAGCTACATGTAGCTCGAATGTACTTCATTGGTAACATGATTCAAGAGTATGAAGCTGAAACTAGAGAAGTATGAGTGAGCAGGGTCACAAGACATAGACAGATTGATATTGAAGTTTATAATGTTGCACAAGTGCAGATGTAATGTTGAAGAATATTACTGTGCGAACCACACACAGTATTGTTCCTCAACATCAGGTAAGTCTTGACAATTGTGATGTAACATAGATGACAAAACACAAACCATGAGTCATAGATTAGAACAGCATGTTTGCATAGGCATAAGAATTTTAACATGAGTCACATAAGTCACAACAAGCAAAGTATTATACTCAAATTCATGCTCATCTACAGGAGCAAATAAATGGCAATCCAGGACATGAGCAGGCTGAACATGTGAGGCATATTGGCACAAAGATGGAGAGCCCTCAGAGTAGGGCATGACTGACGAATGAGATGGCAAGTGTGTAGTGTTTTGGTTTGGAGGTCCCATGCATGCCTTTGATGAAGTGCAAACATGTGGCTTAGGATGGCTAAGGAAAGAACAACAATTAATATAACTAGCACCATAACATATAATGACAATTGAATAGTAACATACTGATGACCAAGAGTAGACCTTTGATCCATGCTTGTCCTGTCCTGCAATTTGAAAGGTATGTTGAGATTGAAAAAATAAAATAAAATAAAGATGTAGATGACATATGTGCATCCTGGCCCATTACCTATCATCCACCATGGCAGTCTCGATGTCATTGGCCTCGCTGATAGTTTCATAATCACCATGAGGTCATTTCCGATTGTCAGACTTAGAGGCAGTAGAATGGCGGATGTTTTCATGCAGACAGGTGTACTGGGATCGACCATGGGCTGCATTTGAACCTTGAGGCATAGCAGGCAAAAAAGGAGAAGATGGTGGGAGATTATCATTTGCCTGGGAGGTCACTGTTGTCAGTGAAATCATCATAGTCTGTATGCCTAGGGACAAATTGGTTGGAGCACAGAGCCCCAGAAGTGGAGTGCAAAGCCCCAGCAGCAGAGCACAAAGCCCCTTGGTTTGAGTGTGGAGCCACAAGGTTAGAGCGTGGAGCCCCAAGGTGAGAGTGCAGAGCCCCCGAGTTGGCGCGTAGAACCATACCACATGTACAAGAAACCTGCTGGTAATAAGTACAAAGATCTTCAGTTGAATCATAATTTACCAAGTTAGGATGCGAAGCCTCAGAGCCTGAATGCTCTGCACTTGCATCTGAGGTCGGAGTTTCTGCATGAATCATCTTGCCTATTTGCTTGTGAGTAATGTGGGGAGGGAGGTCCTTAATGAATTTCTCTGAATCTTTGAGACAATGTAAGATGACACCATCTGTATTGATAACAAGAGGGATTTCGAACACTTTGCCAGTGTATGAGGTGAGGTCTTGCAACTGAACTGTAGTTTGAAGATATTAATTAGTGGCTGTTTCGAATACAGGAAAATGGGAAAATGCATGAGGACTCCAACCCTGGATAGATAAGAGAACATCTGGCACCTCCACAACCACACCCTTTGTTCATTGATGCTCATTAGACTTCTTGGACTTGCCTTTCTACTTAGCCATCTTGCCTTTCTCTGCATCACTATCATCCTCATCCTCATCTTGGCCCAACTCAGCCTCATACATCTCACCAAGATGAATCCTCAAATATGGACCCACCAGGGCATGTAACTGACTTGTGGATAGTGCTTTGAGGTCAAAATCAGTGCCAGGGGGTGGAACTCCAGTGGGCCAGTCATAGATGCATAACCTTGTCGAGTACAGGACATCAAGCATTGTCATCCATCTACTATTGGAAGTCTTTAGCACATGACCAGCTTCAGCTATTAGCAAAATGTAAGTACAATGACAGTATGATCAGGTGAGAGATACCAACTGAATGCTTCGGTGATAACCATGGGTGCAACCATGCAATTTCTATCCCTATCAGATTTACTGTTGCGTAGAAGTGAAGCATTGGCGACTGGGGCAGCCGGTGGAAGAAAATTAATATTCTTGCCTCCTGCTTGCGCAGCCTCTAAGTCCTTGTACCTGTAGTATGTTAGCATGATGTAGCCTTTAACTAAAAAAAAAACCCACTTAAGAATTGTCGTGATCTCATCTATCATATGCTTGGCATTGACTCATTGAGTGTCAATGAGGGCCTTTACAATATCTGACCCTGCAAAAAAGCCAGAGGCCTGGCAGCCAGACTCCTCATCTCCTGGGTAAATCACAATACCAGCGACATGAATTCCATATGTGCAGTGCTAGTACAAAGCCTTCAGAAGATTGCATTATCAATGAATGTTAGTTACCAGTAAACATTAGTTACCAAAACAGCACTCACTGATTTTGCAAACATTTCATGGACTGCCATCATAAGACTGCATGACTCTTGAGAGGATAGATCATCAGGAGTGGCAATTGCATGATCAAAATGCTCTTGGATTTGTTTCCATAGAGCCGCATTCTTAGGGTCCTTGTGTGAATAGGTATGATAATGCTCAGCCTGCTTGGCTTTCCATGCCTGCAAGCTTGCTGAAAGGGTATGAACATAGATTGGAACAACCTTCAACACAATAACATACCTGCTTTGGACAGGTGCAGCACAGTTTTAAACCAGGCCTGATGCTGATTCCAAATGGACTCCTTGCAAGTTGCTTTCCTAGCTAATCCTGCCTCCATCAGAATAACCTGCCAATGTTTCCCAAATCGTTTGCCAATGTCAGTCGCTTCCTCCTGGACCCTCTTCCCAAAATCATGCACTGCCAAAATAGCTTCCTTAGATAGTCTGCCCACTTTGTGCATCATCTTGTCCCCATCTTCAAGCTTGTCTTCTTTGTTGCAACCCTCAGAATCATCATCATTGTTGTCTGCCTCTGCCTCTGCCCACTGCTTTGCCCTTCTGATGTCCCTCTGTAGACAGGCTGGGGAACCTCATGGGATCTGCATTGTGCTCTGCTTTCTTTCATTACTCTTCTGTTGCAGCCCAGTCACTATCAGAACCAGAGCTCTCTACAAATTTCCCCTTGTCAGAAGGTAAGTATGACTTCTGAGCACTGGATCTGCACGGGTGATGGGCTATCAATGTTACAAAACACATGAGCAGTGTACTACCAAATATATAGTGAAACCTACCTGCAGCATTCTCCCTTTCATTTGTTTGGATCACGCTGTCAGTGTTGAATGGAGCTTTTATAACTTATGTTGGTGTATGTCCTATGAATTGTATGAGGAAACTTACATGCATTGATCCTCCTTTCATTTACTGCTGCATGACCATTGGGTTCATTTGAGGATGAAACTGTAGTATGATATGTTTGGTGATTTCACTTACAAAAAAAATGTAACATGAAACCTACCTGCAACATTGACCCTGTTGTTCATTGCTATGTTGCTGCCATGCTCACCATTGGACTGAGCTGTGATAATGAAATAAGTTGATTGTAAACCATGAACGATATAACAAAACTTACTGGCTGTTGTCTCCCTTTTGTTTGTTGCTGCAGGACTGATACCTGTACCTGTGTCACTCTCATTGCGGGGAACAGCACTGTCATCCTCAAGAGAAGCTGAGGGACAAGAGTTATTCAAAGTAAAAGACAAAAGAGAAAACGAACCTTCAACTTGCTGTGTATCATTATCCATGTCATCTGCAAAATCATCAGCAGTAGTCAGAAGGTGGTAAGAATTGGTGAAGTTACTGTCAGGTAACTGGTTCTTGGGTTCCTCACTTGCATTATTGGACTTGTTCCTGATGAATGAGCACCTGGCAAAATTGGAAAAGAAAATGTCTTCCTCAGCAGATGATGTTAAAGGGTCAGAATGTTTGGACCTTGGAAGGGGATGAGGCTTAGGCTGAGTACAAGGTACCTAACAACAAGTCAGTAGATGGCAAAATGACAGTTATAGGCTTACATTGGCTGACTTTGGAGCAGAACGAGAATGTGCTTTGTTGCCATCCTTTGATGTGGAAAGCTGGTCAGCTCGAAGTGGGGCTTTTGACTGGTGTCCAGAGCAGGTAGTAAGAGGCATATTTGAGACTGTTTCTCATAGTCATGAAGATATGAAAAAGGTATGATATTGTTGAAAGAAACACGAAGTTTCTCCACAGTTTTATTGCACCGACACAAAGTCAGGTGAGAATATGCAAAAGAGGATTTCAGATTGTAAGAGCAAGTAAAAAACTAGAAATTGAGGGTACCTACAGATTGGATAGCATTATATATACCATCACAAGACCCTAAGGTGGTTAGTGGGATTTATATCGCCAAGGAAGGATTCTATTCACTTGATAATGGTTGCAGTATAAAATACCTGATTTTTCAAATGTTCAAGATGAACGGACATCAAGAAATAAAGTTACAATATAGCTTGCCTGACAGCCAAATAAAGTTGGTGCCACAGATCACACAGGATATGTGACAGTAATGAAATGGAGCCAAGAGGTTGGTAAGAAGATCTGTGATAACATTTAACATTAGACCCTACTCTAGAACATGCAGTAACCAACCTATTTCCAATAGATCTGCATTTAGTACGAGTCCCTACAGTAGAACAAGCGGTAGACTGACCATTTTGATACAATGAAGCTCCAATTGAAAGGTTCCTGAGGGATAGAACACAAAACTGACTGATGAAATTGAAAATGAATGTTGCATCAGGGATTGAGTGAATGCATTAAGGAAAAGACATTAAGGAAAGTCAGAAGAGGGAGTAGAGGAAGAGAATTAAGTATGCACTGAACTGAGATGCTTGATGGTGAAGGTCAACCTTTGAAGAAAGGATGAGCGGTGCAGACAAACCAGCAAGTGAGGTATGAGGAAAAGGAGACCCAAAAAGACATTAAGGATTGTCAGAAGAGGGAGTAGAGGACAAGAATAAAGTATGCACTTAAATAAGAGGCTCAATGGTGAAGGTCACAGCAAGGACGAGCAGTGCAGACAGATTCCAGATGCAAAGCACTCCTGTGGACAATCTTCAACCCTACTGGTGCAGCAGTGAGTGAGCAGCCAGGGCAATCTTCCAGACACATAGTCTAGGAGTGTTAGATCAGTGACATGGAGTCAACTGATCAATTTAAGTGAATGGCATGAAGCCAATTCAAAATAGATGGAACCAGAAATCCAGGTGGGTTGTTAGTCGGGGCAAAGGATAAGGGTGGTAGGATGCTGAAGGAGGATGATGGGGACGACAATGGAGATGACAGAGACGACAATGGAGATGATGGAGATGACAATGGACAATGGAGACAATGGATGGGGGAGATTGAGTAAGATTCATATGGGACTTTCCCACATTGAACTTGCAACTCACATTCAGTCAGAACTTCATTTGGGATTTTCCCACTTCATGATATTTCTCTTTTGCTACTAACTACTGTCACTGATCCTCTCTCTTCACTCATCCCCATGTCTATCATCCCCCAGGATATCCCTCAACTCTGGCCTGCATCCATCTGAACTGGCTTTGTGCCATTCACTTCAATTGATCAGTTGACTACATGTCACTGGTCTAACACTCCTAGACTACATGTCTGGAAGATTGCCCTGGCTGCTCACCTGTTGCTGCTCCAGTAGGGTTGAAGATCATCCATGGGAGTGCTTTGCATCTGGAATCTGTCTGTCCCACTTGTTCTTTCTTTTACCTTGACATTGAGCATCTCACAGCCGGTAAGGTATTCACTTGTCTTTCATTTACTTTTTACTGATTTCTTCTTACATCCTAATCCTGGCATTATTGCTCTCTTCCTGGCCAGCAACTCAAACTCCTACAACTACACTCCACAACTGACACTAGGTATGTCTCCTTTTTCAATTGTTCATTGTGTTGCACAGTGAAGATTTGTAGTACCCATCATGCCTACTGCTCTGACACTATTCAAAGCAAATACTGCCCTCTCAGACAGTACATGTTTCTTTATTTGTCTGTCATGTGCTGATGCCAAATTTTCAAACAGATTGGTTACAATCTTTCGATGCTTGCGCTGTTGCTGTGCAAGGCAATCTGGTCATCATGACTCCCAATATGCACTTCATTCCAGAATTTCATCACTTCGACGCAGAAATCTTACAAGCCTGCACAGATGGTTGCTTTGGCGTCATTGACTGCTTCCAGTGGCCTCAGGCTTATGACAATACATTTTGCCATGCCGCTTGCATACCTCAAAAGGAGGCTTTTCCATCTCCTCACCCACTTCATTGGGCCTGGTTCACCCCTACCTGGAATGACCTTGAGTCCATTCCTGGGAATTTGTTTCCTGTGGGCACACTGGTGTTGGATAAGGTTGATGGATTGCAAACCCCTTTCAAACTGGCAGAACAACAACTCTGTGAGTATAGACAGGCTCAGCCAGACAGAGGCCAAGTTATATATGGCCGCCTTTTGTCCCTCTGCCACACTGTTGCACACTTGAAGTCGCACCCCCTCACTTTTTGTGATCTTCTCATTTTTGTCACCAATGCTCAGCATCTCTTTCTTGATATATACTCTTACATCGACAGGGTACTTATAGCTCAACCTCTCACTACTTCAGGCCTTTGTCATGTTGTTTGGGGTGATTGGATGGGCGCTTTTGTACAGAGTAGCGATGTCTGCAAGAAGTTATTCTGCACTGGTATCCCCATTTGGTATGTTCGCACAAGTGCATACATTCCCCTGAACATGAAGGTCATTGAACCTGTTTTACTCACCCATCTGGATCACATCATCATTGGCATGTACACAGAGGGCAGCAAAGTTCACCCATTCAAAGTGATATACTGCAGCCCTGGTGGTCATCATCATCATGTCCACGTTCACTGCCTATATGCAGGTACAACACACCTAGACCCCAAGGCAGACAACCCTCAACCATCGTCCAGCTCAAATTCCGGTCCTAAAGTATCTAGTCATGGCAAGGTGCCATCTTGACAGAAGAGTAAGCCAAAACACCAGCCATGTAAGCACCTCTTTCTTTTGTGCACATTGGATACTCACTATTTTAGACTCCATTGAAGCTCGCCCTGCATGTCCTGCTCAGTCAGGCGAATCCAGGGACAAGTGGCAGGACCCTGACACTCCTTACCTTCTGCTGCCAAACCTGCATTGGGAAGCAGCAATGAAAATTGCAATTAAGGACCAGTCACATATTCACACGCCCTACATTATTGATCAGGGGTATAGATTCCTTGAGCCTGCTCTTCTTATTGGCCCCAAACTGCCTGAATGTCTGCAAACATATCTTGCCAATTGGCTTGCATCTCGTGCACTGTGGGTAGGCCATGTCAACCACAATCCTCCATGCACTTATCCCACTCCTCAACTCTGGTGCGACTTCCTTGGTAGTGTGCCTTCTGCCCAGCCACAATCCCATAAGGCTGACAGAAAGGGTCTTATGGCCACCAAGAAGTGGAAGCAGGTGATGTGGGAGTTGTTTGGTGATGATTTTCTAGAATCTCAGGGTGATGTATTTTTGCCAGATGGAGTTGTTGAGTTTCAGGGTGAAGAAATCTCTGTCAGTAGTCTTACTAATCCTTCTGCACTTCTAGCCCAGAAGGTCACATGGGAGCTGTTTGAACTTGGCTTTCAATATGAGTTGTGGGATCTTGATCGTCACTTGGCACAGAGAGAATGGAAGGATGATCCAGCTGGTCATGAGCAACTCCTCCATGGCGTCTTCCTGGGTGATGCTGGTCTAGTGATGTGGTCAGAGCCATTTCTGTCAGAACATTACAGGTTGTGGGATAATACCCTGAAGGGCTGTCTTCCTTACATGGAGAATTTCCGCCAACTGCTTTGCGATTGGGATGGTGTGCCACCTCTTCTTATGACCCTGCTGACATCAGACAACTTCACAGATACAAAGTCTTGGGAAGTCAAGTGTGTGGCTATGGCATTTTATGTCCAGACATTTTTTGATCATTTTGGCAGGCCTCCCATTGTACCCCATTCACTTTCCATGCAATCATGATTCCATAGTTGTCCTGGCATATTTTCTGTTGTTTGTTCTTGTTACCTTACAATGAAATTGATGCTGTTGTGTTCCTTCTAGTAGTGCGTTCCATTATTCAGCTGTGTATCATTACCATCAGTGGACTACAATATTACTCCAGCATTATGATCTGTATGATTTATTTTCTTGTTTCTAGATTTATGGCTTCGTGAGATCAAGATATGTAATTAAAATTCACTGCATGCTTGTTTCAGACATTGAGCCAGAGACTCATCATAATGGCGGGGTGGTGAGTTCACTTCGTGTTCTATGCTATGACAACAAGGATCATTCTTTCTTTTGGAACAACTTAGTATAACCATGTGAGGATCCAAATAATGAATGATTTCACTATCACACATAAGTTACGTGATTCCTCAGCCCAATGTGATTGTTTTGATTTTCCACTAGTGATCTTACTTCATCCATCAACCTCCACCACCACTGGTTACTATAATCAAACTTCCCCAGACTGTGCGTCTGTGGGCTGAGTTTCCCTGGTTGACTTCATGTCACAGTTTCCTGCCTTGTTGACTTCATGTCTTGAGGTATTGCACAATGGCAGTCTGCCGTCCTAAACCTTGACATTGTAAGGCAACAACCCACCATTCATCACCTCCATTGATGCATCAGCCAACTACTAGCATTTGCGAACCTCAGATGCTCAATAGATGGAAATGTCCCCATGAGACAACAAAACTCAACCTCTATCTTCCTGGCCCACCACCTATCTTAGTTCTGCCAGGATGACAACATCTAGCACAGCAAAGGCTATGTCATTCATCATCCATATGTAGGATGGAACCCAGACAGATGGATGATGGACCTGTGTTTCCCTTCAGCGACTCAATACATTTTTCCAATGACACTGGTCCCCATCATCTCACCAGCTCCCAGAAAAGGGCTAATCAATGGCACAGATGGTCTGAAGATGTAATTCCGCACATGATAGTGCCCTATCTATCATACATTCAAGAGACTGTATCGCTATGTCATGCCAACATGCCAGCAATACGTCATCAGACTGATGGAGAGTGCAGAACTGGGTGCAAAACTTGTAGCATCAAAGTTGCATGCGTGTTTTTTGATGGTATGTCATCATTTTTTTCTCTTCTAACTTAAATTTAATGTACATTACAGCTTTCAAGGAAATCACCATCATCGCCTGCCCTTGTTCGCCTACCCTGCTTCAGCTTCTTCATTGTGGGTTTTTTCCATGCATGCCTGTGGCACCCTCCCTGGCGGTTGACTTACGACTTCTTGAGTTCGTCTGCCTTCTTTTTCTTCATCAGTCCCACAACAAAACAGTGTGGTGTGATGCGCTGGAGACATTTCTGGACAGAATGCAATATAAGTTGAGGCTGAAGGTAAAAAAATTCTGATCTCATCATTGCATATCCATGCTAAACCTTCCTACAGAATAGCTTATGGCATCACTTCAGCAATGCATTCCACTAGTACCAGGTCTTGATTGTATTGGCTCAGGACCACATCTCTATGCTCGTCATTGGTTCCCAGCAAGATGGTGCTTGCATGGACCAACCTAGTGATTATCTCCGCTCACGGTGCCCACTCTGTTTTGGAGGGAATGATTGGCAACACGAAGCAAGAGATTCTCTTCCTATGTGCATTATTTCTTACTATGCTACCACATCAATTAATCATTTGTAGGCCAGATGTTATTGTTTGCATTGACATGTGCTTTACACAGAAACACTCTGCAAATCCTCACGGTGCTACTGGCAGTGATCCTCCTAACCCGACACCATCTTTCTTTCTACTGACAGACAATGTGAAAGCAATGGAAGATTTTGTTGAAAGGTGTCATGGAGACAGATGGCAAGCAAGGACCTCAAGGGCAGAACCTGATGAAGATAGCTATGAGGAGGGCATGTGCATACCAGTATCTGTCTTGAACAGATGTGGTGACTCCTTCATTGCTGCAGACGAAAAGTGGGAGAAGGCAAGTACTCGTTTCTTTACCAATACTGGCCTCATGGCACTGGTTTGTAGACATGACTGTGTCCTATGGATTGTGAACCTGACATCTGCAGGAGAAAAGCAACATTATGCACTTGCTCTCTTGGACTGATTGTTCAAACATATACCTACTCAGATGACCATCGGGCTTTTGTATGATATCAGATGCCAGCTCAAACGGAGCTGTAACAAGTGGAATTTCTTAGATGATTCTACTCTATCTCACATTGCATTTGCTGTTGCTGTGTTCCATGTGTATGGTCACCAGTGGGTGTGTCAGATCATCTACCACCCTAGGAAGCAAGAGGGATTCAGCTTGTCTGATGGTGAAGGATGCGAACAATTATGGAGTTTCCTCAAGCCTCTCATCTCTTCCCTGCATGTTTCAGGGGTATGTATGCTCTTTTTAAATCAGTCTATTAATCTCACTCTTCCGCGAAGTCTAATCAGCAATGTTTCATTTTCAATATTTAAATTCATCACTTAGACTCGAAATCTTTGCAAGGATTTGGACACTGGCTCCATTGGCATTGGATCCACTGTCAATTTGGGAGGAATGATGCACTGGACTGTTTACATGCATTGGAGTTGGACGAGAATATGCTCCATGTAGAGTGGAAGGCCCAGGTTGATCACCAGATGCGACCCACACCACATATGTAAATATCTAAGTGTGCCTACTGCTTAACTGAATGTCATGTAGGACAATCTAGAAATAAGGCAGCGGGGGTGATCACCATTATCCTAGCACTAGAGAAGACACTACAAACTCAGGAGGCCTCCATATGCGAACTTGAGATGCAACTCCATGTTGTCCATGTCCCTAATATTGGGGAAGTCAATCTGCAGCTTGTAGATGCTCAGTCCTGGTATAAAAAAACCGCTGACACTCTCTGATGTCATCGAGCAGCACTTGGAATGGAAGACAAGGTCAACCTGGAGAAGATGAAGAAGGATATATACCTTACAGTTCACTTGAATGCCCACGCAATCAAAACTCACATACATGATCGCCTTCATCAGTGAAAGTTTGAATTGGAGAGACTTGAGAGATCATACAGAGCCACAGTCAATGGTGTGTTGATAGTTTTATTACACTGATACATCTCATAATTTTACAGCTGAGCGTAAACTTCATGCAAATACACAACACTCAATCAAACGCCAAGAGCCTGGCATCCTCAAATTAATTACTACCTACAATGGTTTGTGCTCGCAACTATGGTCTCTTATTCAACAGCGGCGAGCACCCCCTTCTGCTGTTCCCCCTCATATCATCCCATGTGATGGCATCTTTCAGCTCAATGTTGATGATGACATCTGGCAAGATGTTGGGCTAGATGATGACCCTCTGAACCCTCCAGCATGGCTATCAGATGACAAGGTCAGGAATGGTATCTGGTTGCAACTTGAAGTTGACCGGTGCAATGAGGAGGAGGCTCGACTGATGCAGGAGAGGGCCATCCTTCAAGAATGGATGTTAGCGGAGTGGGACAGTACACAAACTGCCTTGAATAAAGCAGGTGCATCAGTGTGCAAATGTTATGAACAGTATCTAATTATTTCACAGTTGCAGATCCAGTGATGTCTTTCCACCTTGGGTCTCATGCAGATGAACTTCTCAACATCTGCATCATCTGGAAAAAAAAGGTTCAGTGTATTCCATGCACATGGCCTATGATTGCGAGTTGGGGACCCTCAGACAAGGCTTTGGTTCAAGCTGCTTTTAGTCAGGCATGATCATCATTTCAGGATGAGGATGATGACGACAAGAGTTTGGAAGAAGATAGAGAGGGTGATGGAGAGAGTGACCTGGAGTATGGCAAAATTGAAGATGAGGAACTGATAAATGCTATTGAGGAGATTGCATTGGCAGATGAATATAGGTATGACCAGAATAAGGAGCTCATGGATGACCTGGATGACTTGGATGACATTGATAATGACTTCATGCCTTCTTCCCCTATAAAATTGTTACACAAGCGGCACAACATGTAGAATGCAGTGAATTTTTAATACAATATTTTCTGTCACATCCCATTTGTTAATAAGATATTCATTAACTCATGTGTGCATATGACAGACAGAAAGAACTCACATACCATTTTGTGCAATTCATCAATTTTTTCTTGGCAAGGGTACTGGACTGACATCATAGATTTTGTACCATACAGCATTCCAATCATCATCAATTTTTTCTTGGTGGGGGGACTGAACTGTCATCATAGATTTGTACCATACAGCATTCCAATCATTCTTGGTGGGGGTACTGGACTGTCATCATAAATTTGTACTGTACAGCATTCCAATCATCATCAATTTTTCTTGGCAGGGGTACTGATTGACATAGGAAGGGGGGGCTCTGTAATAAGGGGCACTTTGCACAATTCATCAATTTTTTCTTGGTGGGGGTACTGGACCAACATCATAGATTCATACTGTACAGCATTCCAATCATTCTTGGCAAGAGTACTGGACTGGGAACGGGTTTGCATGGGAATGCTATGGACTTGTGTGGAAAATGTATAGTACCAAGGTAAACCACATACTTGCTCTTCGGGAAAAATCAAACGTGGTGTCTGGGACCATCATCATAGATTCATACTGTACAGCATTCCAATCATCATTGATTTTCTTGGCGGAGGTACTGGACTGACATAGGGAGGGGGGGTCATCTGGGACAGTGAAAATGTGTGAAATAAGGGGCATTTTGCACAATTCATCAATTTTTTCTTGGTGGGTGTACTGGACTGACATGATAGATTTGTACCATACAGCATTCCAATCATCATCTATTTTTTCTTGGTGGGGATACTGGACTGACATAGGGAGGGGGGGAGATCTGGGAAAGTGAAAAGGTGTTTAATAAGGGGGTGGGGTGGGTTATCTTGTCTCTGTAACTCAGTGTATGTCACACTATCTCATACGGTCTCATAGGTTTGTACTGTACAGCATTCTGATCATCTTCTTGGCAGGGGTACTGGACTGACATCATAGATTCGTACCATACAGCATTCTGATCATGTTATTGCAGGTCTGCCCTATATTACATATGGTCCGCCCTACATGACATATGGTCCACCCCATTTAGTCTATACTGGTGTTGCAGTCCACCCTACATAGGCTATATTGTCTTTGTGGTCTGCCCTACATAACATGTGGTCCGCCCTACATGACATATGGTCCTCCCAGATTAGTCTATGATGGTGTTGTGGTCTGCCCTATCTGATATATGGTCTGCCTTAGTTAGTCTATACTGTCTAATATCCTTACTGGACACTCACTTGGCGAATACTCTGCTCTTGCCTCCATGGCTGATGTCCTCCATATATCCACTCTTGTCAATGTTGTTTTCTACCATAGGATCATGACTAAAGATACTACTGGTAAACCTGGCATCCAGGTGAAGGTAGCTAGGAAGGACGAAATTGCCTAGGCAAAGGTAAGGCAGAGGTCAAATGTACCATGATTCAGTACTTCTGGTAGGGGTCCGACAAAGGTACATTATTTACAGCACTTAGACATGTAACAACTATACCACACTATTACATGCCAATGGACAGGACATGGGTGGACATAGGGTACAGACCAGTGTTAAGGTTGTACTCAAGGCTAAATGGATCCAAAGGGCTTCGGCCTCACCTCGTGTGCTGTGCCCCTTACTTGAGTATTGCCCCTTATTTCAGGAAGGCAAGACTAACACATCCAGAGGGTTGGATGGGTAGTGTAGCGGATCCAGATGACTTCCAGATGCAGGATAAGTATTGTAAGGCTAATCCAGATGAGTCCAGACTAGAAACTAGTGGTAATGGCTGTCATAGACAGAGGTGGATGTGGATAGACTATAGGAATCAATCCTAAGTCTTGGAGGGTGACAAGAGTAGCAGTACTCAGGTCCAGAGGACAGGAATGAGCAGAACTAAGTTGATATTCAAACTGAAGTGTTACAGAGATTTACAGGAGGTTATATACTATAGGTATCTAACAGAATGATCAATCAGCAGGGTCCGAGGCTATGTACGAAGCATATGGATAGTCTATTGGTAAGTAGAAATGGATCACAAATAATGAAATGGAAATGAAGCATAGGTAACAGATCAGGGAGCGGGATGGATATACAGATAACCAAAATACCGGAGTTAGGGGATTACCAAAAGGAGATGAGCGCTGGTTGTGGATTCGGATGAATTGTGGACCGGACCAGATGAGTGGACAGATTGGATGACAAGATGTTGGAGGGGGATAAGATGTGGATCAGATCTGAGATCCAGATATGCGGATATGACAACCAGTCAAAGAGGCTCGGTTGAGTGACAGATAAGGAAGGTAGGTCCAGGTATGCCGGTAACACATAGACAACTATGGTAATGCAATCATACAAGCCTAGCGCAGGCTTGATTGTCACAGTGTATCCTTTGTATTGTCAGTGTGAAGAGATTGGTTGAATTATAGTAGAACTAAACAGATACGACCACAAATACTACCAGACTTCAGAATGTACAGGTGTCTTCCTAGCAAGACACTAAATTGAGCAATGTACAATTGCATTCACAAATTCAGCCATTATATGATTCTATATGGTAGATATAACACAAACATTCATTGTAGTCTAATGCTATTCACCATCAGAATCAACAGAAAATTACTGCAAAAATCGAAAATTTAGGTGGTTTGTGACCCCAGACACTCCTATATATTTGGGGAAATCCATTAGATATGTGGTCCAAAATACCCTGTGGTATGTGCCATGACATGGTCCCAATGGTCTATGGTCCATGTGCAGCACATCCTCTTTTGGTCCACAAAAACAATAGGGAAGGACCATGGAACATTGGGGAGACCAGTGAAAACATACCTCTTAGGTACAAACCTCTATAGACAACAATCAACCTAAGAGGTATCTAAAATGGGGTGACCAAAGTGCTTTTATCAAGAACCTTTTTCCCAAACAATGCATGCCCAAGGGTTCCAACAACATTCCATGGAAGTAAGCGCCACACTACCTTCTGGTTTTTCATAGTACTGATGGTGTATTAGAAATGCTGAAAATCACCTGAAGGATGAAGGCATCTTCAGCCCTGATAAACTGGCCTGGCAGGACTGCCCTAACCTGGATGCATTCGCTCATCATCTGGAGGGCCAGTTTGGCAGGTTTGTTAATGCTGTTGCAGAGATTTGTGGTGAAGCCTTAGAATCTGGTGCTCCATGTCAGTGTTTGACAACCAAATACAGCATGAATGTACTTGGTGGCCACCAAGCAAATTGAAAACCAGACCTTACATTGATAGATCAGAATATGAGTGCTGACTAGAGATGTGTTCAAAGTTTTGGTGAAATGAAGTCAAAGAAGAACACTGCTGCCAGCTTGAATGAGCTTTGCGATCAAATCAGTGGTATGAAGTCACTGATAGTTGTTGATGAGAAACTTAGACATAATTTTGCAGTCAAAAGCGCCATTCTCTTTGGATCCCAGGACAACAGAAACTTTGTTATCACACTAGGTTTCACTAAGTATAACATGATTGTCTATAGGTACATATGAGTTCATGTTAAAGTGTGTATTAGTCCAATGAATTGAATGGATCTTTGTATAGGTACAATCATGGCAGTTTGATGCATTCAGCAGCAATCTCCATCACCCATCCCATTGGTTGAACATGTTTTGCCCATGTGGCATATTGTCTTGCATACTGTCATCCCCACTGGCTGGGATATGATATTAGCACCCAGCTGGCACCGTGCTGTGGTCTTCAGTTAATGGCTATGCAATGTATACCAGGAGACAAGACAAATGTATTACCCAAGTCTTGCTGATTAAACTATGCCATGGACACTCAAATACATCTCACAGATAGTCTATTTGGTCGCAGATTGAATGTTTGCCAGGTCCATCATGTGGAAACCAAGGAATCATTCATTGTTAAGGATACCTGGCACAACGTGCATTGAAAGATGACAGAAGGTCAGATCCTACATGTCATTGCTGGGATCACACATATTCCAGAACTCATGGAAGAATACGTAGTGTTGCTGCCCCATTTTTCTTGTACAAGCACAGCTTGTACACTTGCTTTGATAGCATCTGAAGCCCACAGTCATGAACCAGGGCACCATTTTCATGCTCTCATTCATGTCAGGCTGTTGATGAAAGCACATTCTATTCAGGTGATTTCACAGTTCCAGAGCAGGGCAGGGTTAGCAAAAGCCCTAAGAGATTGCATCATTGGTGAGTTCAGATGCTGATTCAATGAATCATCTCTCTAACTTATCCTTGAAGCACATAGAGAAGTGTTTCAGACCTTCAAGGTATTGCACCATGACATCCACATTGGTAATTTATACATCAAAACCAAAACTGGTAATGATGCTGGAGGTGAACTTGGAGATTGGGATTTTGCAGACTGTCAAGATCTACACATAGTACAACAACGTCTCCAACCTCTCAACTGTGCATTCCCCAAAATGGCTGAGCCCATCATCCCTGCCTCCAGCCCTATGTCCACAGTCTCCAGCTTGACATCAATGCCCTCTTCTCCCAAACCATTCCAGCTACACAAGACCCTTTGCCCACAGCTGTCAAGGGTGCTGGCACAGGCACCATCATGGCAAACACTCACCACAGATAATGAATCAGATCCTGATGCCCAACAGATGTCAACATCTGATCCTTGGGACCAATTCAGGTCTTAGGCTGGCGCTGCTAACCCAAACATTGATCTAGCAGAATGGATAGTGAGTAGAGTCCCACCCAAGTTTCATATAACTTTAAGAATTGAGTCTTTCCAAGGAAATGCCATCTGCATCTCAGTTTGTTTGATGTATGCAGCTGCCATTGAATGATTTTGCCCTCATGAAGTCCATGATGATCTTAAATCATTCTTCTATGTGATTGTGATCATCATGGTTGCCTTCCATGAGGCCAGCAAGCAAAAGTCTGCTGAGAAATTGGAGGAGACGATACTGGCAGATCATTGGTGGAACCAGCAGCACTGGAGATCATCTGCAGAGTGGAAGGTTACCACCATGAAGCAGGATGCTCTATGGAAATCATGCATAGCACCTCACATAGGTCCTTATTTTGATTGTTTCAAACCTGTGGTGGACAAAATGCATAAGGCATTATTTATCAGTATGATACAAATGCACAATCTTAATGCAGTGAGGAATATACTGTTTCTTGCTGTTGGGTGTAAGCTAACTTTGAATGCCTTCCTTAGATATTGGACAGTGGCATCACCTATGAGGAGATGATCAGGTTTCTTCTTGAAATGGTCAAGATAGTGCAATGAGAAGAGGAACACTCAGATAGAGGCACCCTAGCCATAATGGAGGTTGCCTCCTCCTCACCATGGGAGGAATCACATGCCAGCTTGTTCTCCCTCCTGGAAGCAGAGGTCAGTGATGACATTGACCCAAGGAGCATTCCGGAAGATAAGCTAGCCCTCTAACCCACTGATGCAGCATCATACACACCCACCAAAGTGTTAAAGATCTCCTCAGTGCTGAACACTGTGGCAGCAACAAGTGAGCTTCCTGAGGGTGATGTCCAGCCAGAACCCATAAATGAACCTCCTAGTAGAGCTATCATCAAGAAAACTTCTCATGCTCACCCCACTGCAACCATTTCCACTGGCATCCTGCCTACCAAGGAGAGCACCATCACTGATCCTGTTGCCAATTCCGCTTCCAATATTGTGGCCAGTTCCTCTAAACACAAGGCTCCCAAGGATGTCAATAACCACACAAGGAAGAAGTCTTGTGCCAGTGAGAAGAACTCACTTGCTGATGAAGGTGGGAAGAAGTCCATCACTAGCAACCAGGTCAAGAAGTCCCACACCAGTGATGGCACCAAGAAAAAGTCCATTGTCATTAGTGCAGCTGGGAAGAAGTCTGGCACTTCACATCCTCATTGCAATGATGATGAAGATTATGTCCTGGTTAAGGCATCAATATCTGGGAAGAGAAAGAACTGAACAGATAATCTATGACATCAGTTTGAATTCCTTTTAAAAGTATCATCAACTGTTATCAGTCTGAACCTCTTGGACACACACTAGGCTGTGCAGAGGATATCTTTATACTATGTTGTTGTATGATACTTATCCCTTCATCTATTTAAGCTGATGAATATCTCACTGATACACATCATCCTCATCCCCATCACCAGTGCCCATTATTTACCATTGAGAATTTGGACTTAAAGTTAGTTTTTGGCTGTTGGTTCAGAGCATGTGATCTCCCATTTCTTCCTTGGTGGTTTTCATTTAGCATCTTGCCTTGTCAAACTGGTCAGATTATCCTGGAGCAAGGTATACATCAATCTCTTCATAAATTTTGGTATCTCACATTGTCACTGGCACTTTCAAGTTTCCCTAACTCCAAGATTGCACATATACAAGAATATGCACTGCTCTGCTTAGTATGTGGCCACGCACCAGATGCCTTTCAGATCAAATGTTTGATAAGATATACCATGCAATAATGTTGTGCTATTTCCCACACTCACCTGTTACCACCATGGCCCCACTACATGATCTTGAAAGCCATATGTGCCCCACATGCGGAAGATGTGACTTCAAAACTTCCAAGGGCCTCCTTTCTCATATGGGACAGGCAACAGGGTGCCAATGGTATCATAAAGGAAAGCTAAGGGATCTTGGGAATCCAGGTATGTTTGAACACACTGTGATCCCAGATGCTCTGGTTGAGGAGGGGGAGGACATGAACATGGATGAAGGGGATAGAGGCATTAATGAATGGGATCCTGAAGATGCTCAGGAAGCATGGAACCAAGAGTTATTTGACCTCATAGCTATGCAGCCTCCCACAGATTGTGCTCCTGCAAGATTGGAATCACCAGAGGTGGAAGAGCCCATTCAAGGTTCATCAAGGAGGGTTCTAAATGTTGATGAAGATCACTGAGTAGTGGTAAAGCACCCAACTGCTGGTGCTATTATGAGGGAGGACAAAACCTTTGTTGAGAGCTGGCATCAGCACATCCTTGGGGACCAGCTTCAATTTGAAGGCAATGGCAATGTTGATATGGAGGGTATTGCTTTCCCAAAATACTTACCCTTTGTGTTAAGAACCATGTTGCTCAAAGGAGAGAGAGACTGACTCAGAGGGGCTTGGCCTCAGCTTGTACGCTGTGCCCCTTACCCGAGTATGTGCCCTTCATTTCGTATGAGGTCCGATGATGGTCCGACGAAGTCCAGAGGACTTCTGGAGGCTGGCTACTCTGCTGGAGAGTGCTAGAGGACTTCCGGAGGAGCGCAGGAAACGTCTGGAGGAGTGCAGGAGAGTTCCGGAGGAACACAGGAAGTGCTCAGGAGAGTTCCCACTGCAAGGTAATACTTCTACAGGAAACAGGATGGAGGGATAGGAGGTCTGAAGGTCCAGAGGACAGGAGGACAGGAGGACAGGAGGACAGGATGTCCGGAGGTACAGAGAGCAGGATGTCTGAAGGACAGGAGGATAGGATGTCCGAGGGTTAGGAGGACAGAATGTCCGAAGGACAGGACATCTGGAGGTCCAGAAGGAATAGGGGCTACATTGGATGAAGTCCGATGTAGAAACAAACAGAGGTGGACTACCCTAAGGTAGAGTTGGAGAGACAGGGATTGGACCTAAGTCCAGAAAGAGGGTAAGTGCCAGAAAGGCGGAGCTCCGGCCTAGGGAATCAATCCCTAGGCCTGATGGGTAGGACAGACTTAGCTGGACCAAAGTCCAAGAGAGGATTGGGCAAGTCTAAGTTGATATTCAAACTGAGGAACTACAGGAGTATCTACAGGGGTTATATACTGAACAATATCTGAGGGGATCAGTAAGCAAAGGAGCAAGGCTATGTACGAGCATGTGGAAACACATTAGTAAGTAAGTCGGAACATAAGTAAATGAACTCAGAGATGAGGACTCGTACAAGGATCAATAAGCAAGACAGAACAAGAGGTAACCGAAAGCCGGAAGGCAGAGAATGCCTAAATGGGGATAGGTGCAGGATATCAGACAGAGGGTGGAAATAGGTCTGGAGTTAATATCCGGAGGTCCGGAGATCTGGGGATCTGGAAGACAAGGTGGATACAGGACTGGAATACAAGAAGGTGGATATAGTCTGGAATCTGAGACGAGGTGAAGTCTGGATGTCTTGCTGGATGGAGTATGCATAAGGTGGACAGGATAGGGTTGTATGGATCAGGCTAGCAGCGAGGATCCGGAGGTCTGGAGCTCAGGGGTAAATCAGGAGCGTAGTCGATCCTGCTGAGGTATGGAGCACAGTGGAAGGGGATCTGGGAATGAGCTGGATATGAAGTGGGGTCCAGATGTAGGCTCGGAAGGCGTGGGAATATGATGGAACATGGGTCCGGATTGTGGGATATGACACTTTGCTTCTGAGGTTGAGTGGAGGATAGCCCAGTGAGCAACCAAAGAAGGCGTTGGACATAAGTCCCCTGACTACCTGCTGTCCACTCCAGGGGTGAGTAATATGTGCCTTTACTTATCATGCTCACAGCTTAATTCCAAACAGGTTGTTGAGAACCTCAGCTTATCATTTCACAACTCACATACTATGCATCAAATCATTAATACTATTCCATCACATTCGCTTTGGCACACCGCCTACCTGTCCTTTCCAGACAATCCAGAGGAACAACACATGGTCCAGTATAGGGGCCCACTAGAAGCCATATGCACTTTACTGGGGAATCCTGCTCATGCAGAGACCATCATCTACAAGCCTTGCAAGGTTTTCTCTGATGAAAGCAAGGAAAATCGGATTTATAGTGAGATGTGGATGGGAAAGTGGTGGCATGCACTCCAGGTAAGCTGATATGAATTCAATCTACATACAACAACAGCAACTCACCTATTTCTAGGAACAATTACCAGAAGGCTCAGTGGTCACACTAGTGATCATAGCGACTGATAAAACCCAGCTAACCAAATTCTCTGGTAGCAAATCAGCCTACCCCATGTACCTCACTCTTGGCAACATCCCTAGAGCCATTAGGTGTAAGCCTTCCCAACAGGCATGTATCCTAGTAGGTTACCTCTCCATGGACAAGATATCAAACTCTAAACTCTCCAAGAAGGAGAAAATGTCCAGAATACAGTGTTTATTCCATGACTCTATGTGTACAATCCTGGAACATTTAAAGGAGGCTGGGCATACTAGGATGGACATGGTTTGTGGAGATGGAAAGGTCCAGAGGATACACCCTATTCTTGCCTGTTACATGGCTGACTATCTGGAACAGTGTTTGGTCACCTGTGTGAAGTATGGGACTTGTCCCAAATGTCAGAGCCCAGTGTCAGAGCTTGGTTCCAATACACCTGGAGAACTGCACACTCAAGCATGGACCATGGGAGTGATCAAGGATGCCAAAGCCAAATCTCACAACCTCCATAAATTTCACTCACTCTGTCAATCCAAGGGGGTTTCTGGTATGGTGCAGCATCCATTCTGGGAAGGATTTCCCTATTTCAACATTCATCTCTCCATGACCCCTAATGTCCTTCACCAGCTCTATCAGGGAATATTCAAACACATGGTTGCCTGGTGCGATTACTTCCTGCATCCCTCAGAATTAGATGCTAGGATCAAAGTGCTGCCACCCTGCTTTGGGGTTCTTCATTTCCAGAATGGATGGAGTGAGCTCTCCCAGATCTCTGATAGAGAGAGAAAAGAGATGGCACACATCTTACTGGGATGCTTAGTGGGAAAGGTTCTTAGAAGGGTCATACTTGCCTACCACTCCCTACTAGACTTCATCTATTTAGCCCAGTACCCCACCCATGATGATCACACCCTAGGCTATCTCCAAGATGCTTTGGATGTATCTCACAAACACAAGGCGGTGCTTATTGAGCTGGGTGTAAGGGACCACTTCAATATTCCCAAAATACACAGCCTCACTCACTATATCAACTCTATTCACATGTTTGGTGCTATGGACAATTACAATACCGAGGCTTTTGAGTGCCTCCATATCAATTTTGCCAAGAATGCCTGGAGGACTACCAATAAAAGGGATGAGCTCCCACAAATGGCTTCCTGGCTGGATAGGTATGAGAATGTGTCATCTTTCCAGCTATACTTGGATAGTCTAGGCAAAACACCTAACCCATGTGAAACTAATCCCTGGCCTCACATATCCATATCAAAAAGGCCCCATCATTATGGTCAATCACTTCAAGATATCATGGAGTCTCCTTGCTGCCCTGGACTGATACAGGACATAAAAAATTATCTTAATCAGTTGCAGAGAAGGGCTATAGGTGAAGGTTTGGGATATAATAGATTGGAGATGATGCAGCTTCCATTTGAAAAGCTTGATGTATACCATGGTTTTAAGTTTGTTTTGGAGGAACTGGGGGAGGATGCAGTGGATGACTGTGGACCAAATGACTGGGTAAGAGCATGCCCAAAGACTAGAGGCCCCCATGGTTAGGAACAGTTTGATACTGTTGTGGTGATGAAGACTGATGAGTGCGAAGGCACAGGCCTTCAAGGTAAGTTGATTTTGTTTACTTTTCTTGTTAAAATCTGATTATAGAATCCAGGTACAAGAATTGATAGACTACATTTATTGTTCAAGCTACCCCAACAGGTCTATGGTGCTTTTGCCTCCCCAGAGTACTGGCCTACAGAACCCCTGGCCTATATCCAATGGTATACTCCACTTAAACCTGCACCAGAGAAAGACCACCTTATGTATCAGGTGAAAAAGATGCCTCTAAGGAACAGTAACATGGCTCCAGCAGATATCATTCCTATCAGTAGCATATGTCAGACATGTCAGCTTATTCCTTATTTTGGTGCCAGAGGTGTCCCTGAAGAATGGAGATCAGAAAATGTACTAGATAGCTGTGATTGTTTCTTGTTAAATAACTGGTCCACCAAGTATGCATACCAAACACTGTATTAGGGTTGTAATCTCATATGAAAAAAATTTGATCATCACAAGGCGCCTTTGGAAAAATGAGTTCAATAATAGTGTTAAGGTTGCATGCTCAAGGGGGTCAGATCACAAGGGCTTGGCCTCAGCTCATATGCTGTGCCCCTTTCCCAAGCATGTGCCCTTAATTTCTGGGGGCTAGAACAGTTGTCCAGAGTTTCCAGGATTTGACTAGGGTGGACAACAGACATCCGGATCTGAAATGTGAGATAAATCTGATGGACATCCAGATGTTACTTGGACAAGCGGATAAGACTAATCTGGACGAAGTCCGGACTAGAAGCTAACAGAGGATAGACTACCCTAAGGTAGAGCTGGAGATGTAGTCTAGGATACAATCCTAAGACTCAGAATATGACAAGAGACTTGGCTTGAGTCCAGGGGACACAGGAATGAGCAGGAACTGAGATGATGTTCAAACTGAAGTATTTCTGAGAGTTACAGAAGGTTTATATACTGTAGGTATCATATAGGAATCAGTCAGCAAACACAAAGGCTATGTATGAAGCATATGCAAAGTCTATTAGTAAGTAGGATGGATCACCCATAATGCATATTGGAAATGAAATGTATGTAACAGATCAATAATCAGAAGGGAACCATAGTTAACTGGAGTCCAGGGACAGGGGAAGTCTAAATGGGGTTGGTGCTGATATAGGGTTTGGATTCCAGAAGGAAGATAAAGATAGATCAGATCATTGGAGATCCAGATCTCAGATCCAGATATCTGGAGAAGTGGATTTAGAGTTGAGAGTCCAGAATGGCATATGACAAATAGCTACTATATTTATTAAAGTGGTTAAAGCCATGGATGAAATGAGTGTTGCTATAGAGTTCTTTATAGAGCTATATTAGCCCCAAAAGCCGTTATAGTTGGGCCTTTTTGGACCCCTATCTATATAGCCCTCTAGTGCAGAACAGTTTTTCCTGATATGCCATAAACTATCCTACTTCAAGTCTGCTGGTTGGGAGGAGGGATGGATTGAGACCACAGAAAGTCTGGTGCATGCTGAGTTTAAATGGTACTACTTGGATATGGAGATTGAAGGTGATGCTGATGTTGAGATAGAACCTGACATTGTTCCAGCAGTAGACACATCTTGCACAGTTCATTTTTTTTTACTTCTCTTCATTCTGTTTACCTTGACTGACCTCCTTAGAATATTTTTGATGAGATGCAAGTGCTTGCTCCACCCAAGTCGACAGACCTGGGAGATGAAGTAGACCATTACCTGTGTCATTCCCTAACTATTATGCAGCAACTAGTACTACGTTGTAGCTAACACCCATAATTGACAATGTTGATATAACATTGTGGTGTGAAGACAAGGAGGGACATGTATAGTATGGTAGAGGGTTTTAACTTTGAGTTCCACATTCAAGTCCAGCTGCATATAAGAATATGGTGAGAATGGCATGAGGATACAAGAATATGTACCATATTGTCATTTTGCGGTTATGTAGTTAAAATACAGTGATAATGTTGATAGAATCTAAGGTTCATGCAACATTCCCACTAGTCCATAATCTTTTTTTTCCCCCAGTGATACAGTGCAGAAGACAGTAATGATCTTGATGAGTAAGCAAATGACAAAATTAGAGATAGCAAGAAGGTTATTGAGTGTTTCTCATGGTCTCAAGCAGCCAGATGGTATAGGACAAGTAATGGTATCATAAGCAAAAAAAGTGCACTTGAAAACAATGAGATTTGATGTCTCAGGTAGTGGTGCTCATCATGCATGACAGTGAGCATGGCTGTGATGACATGGGAAAAGCCAGACAAGCATCAGCAAGAGGCATGTGGAATTAAGTGCATATTCCTGCTACCTTTAGGGAGTGGGTTATATAGCTCGCTATTTTCATGTTTTTGTGGTAGATTCGTCTAATTTTGGCGCCCCTTTTTTCCTGCCTCAGATAGTAATAAGCTGTGTTGATCAATTGGTCCAGCCCTTGATAGGCTTTCACAAATATCAGTGCACCCTTGTTCGTGTTTCCCTGTTTCCTGCTACCAGCATGACCTTGTTCATAGGCCACCTTCCTGTATCTGTTGTTTTTGACTTGAATTCACATCTTTCTTTTGTCTCTCCTTCCATTGCTCTTTCACTTGGTCGCTCAGGTGTGATCTCACGCTTTTCTGAAATTCTCATGGCCTCCTATGATGGCCAGGTGCTCACAACCAACGTTGAGTTTGAGGTCGCTCCTGGTCTCATTTCTGATGTTGTCAGTGGGAATAATTGGATCTCTTTGTGGCACATTGTTGGGTGCAAAGATGAGATTCCTGCTTTCAATCCTTATTCCCATTCTATATCTCACTCTCCAGGTGAAGGTGTCCTTTTTATTTGTTTGTTTTTATACTGATTTGGGTTTATGTCTTTAGATACTTCATGTCTCTTGTTACAACTATGTATGCCCCTATTCATTTTCTCTCTTACTGTGTATTACATCACAAGCTGCATGATGCTGCTGCTAGACTTATCTTTTGTTCACATCTTGTATTACATCACGATCACCGTTGCTGTCGCTAGATGACCTATTCTTGCTATCACTTACATATCTCTTATCTCTGACTCACATACATTCTCACATCTGCCCTAAAGCACTTGTAGCTCACTATAAATAGTCCTCTTGTATGCTTTAGTGCTTTACTTTAATCTTACTAGGTTATACCTGAAACATCCTTCACTTGAGACCTCCAATCTCTTGTCATCTGAACCGTACTTTAAGTTAGAGGCACTCCTTCTAACTTAGCTTATACTGAACACTTGACTTATTGTCTCGCATAGAATCTCAGCAGAGGTCCTGACTCTTATCGAGTCATCTGTTGTTAGAACTATCCTAGTTTGTAACATCTCTGGATTATTGCTCAAAGTATTTGTGCTGATCTAGCCTCTATTCATGATCAAGAAGAATATCGCAGGCATAGAGCTATCAGCATTTTGAAAATCTTTTGTAGTTGGGGCACCTATGAGTGTCTCTAAATCATCACAATCATTATTCTCTGATGTAGAATGCATGTTGAAGATTTCTCTGGAAGCCATAGCTTCTTGGCATGGTCTGTGTTTTGTGGGCACAAAGGATCAGTTGTTGGATAGGATCATTGATCACATGTCAAAAGGTGAGTGTGCTTTGCATGCACAGCATTATAGTGACTCATGTTATCACATAGTTGATGAGTATTGCACTGGCAGTGTGTCAGATAACAATACCATGCTGCATTTTTCTGCTGACAGTTCTGATGGTTTTTGTGACACAAGTGAACAGGTGACAGATCTCCAAATTCACCTATTAAATTCAATTCGCAAGACCATTGCACACAAGCCATTGTTGCACCTATTGTGCTGCCACAGTGTTGAGTACAATGATATGACAGTCTCTTGCAGCTCAGAAACCGCTTGAAGATTCATGTTGGTGGCCTTACAAAGGGCAAGCACGCATGCGTGTATCACACTAAGAAACAATGTGAGCATGATAGAATTGATCAAGAATGTGCACAAATTGCTGTGGATTGGCCACATGTTGTATCAGAGGATAGGAAAAGGTGCATCATTGAGATTTTTCAAGAACAAACGAGTTCAGAAGCGCTAGCTATTTTTGTTTGCTTTGTGTGTGCAGCAAAGTATAATGTTAAGGAGAGACAACTGTTATCTTTTAAAGAATTTGATGTTGCTCTCTTGAATCATCCTGATAAGCACCTACATACAGTGGCTCAAAAAACTGTCTGCATGTTTGACATTTTTCACTATCTATGATATTGTGTGAGAACGAACAAATGCCTCAAGAACATGGTTATACCACATTGTAGTATGGCTTCAGGGCTTTCATTTGAGCCCTACACCGTGGAAATCGGTGGAGATATGGTGGAGATACAAGGCTCACAAAATGGTGACTCATGCAGACAGTTTTTTGAGCACATATTAAAACTATATAAATCATCATTTATGACACCATAACAATCATGCCACCATTAAATAAATTATAAAGTGGTGTCATTATGTCATTTTAAAACCATATCTAACTATACAAACCAAAAATTTCCATATGTCATGGTTATATTCACCATGAAAGCCACCCCCCCTGCTCAAAGAGATAATATCCTCTCTCTTTCCTATTCTGGCCTCTCTGCTTGTCAAATTTCCTCTAGAACTGGAGTATCCAAGTCCACTGTGGCCAAGTTCATCAAAGAAAGTCACGCAGACAAGGAAAACTTCTGCGAAGGGCGTTCATCCAAGCTCACCTCTACTGATAGGAGGGCTATTATTCAACATATCACTACAGGAAAGGCTGATAATGCTGTCCAGGTCACCTATTACATCAATTCCACCATCACATTCCCTGTCTCTTCACACACTGTGAGAAACATTCTCAAGACAGCTCATCTCAGGTCAGTAACAAGGAAGAAAAGGCTTTCCTCTCTATCACACATATGCAGAGAGGACTAGTACCCTTCTTTTGTCACATATATACCTTGCCATCTGACCCAATCCTATTTATTGTGGTCTTATATGATCATATAACATGCTTCCAGTCCATGTAATCCAATTCTGATGGGCTAAGGCAAAGGTTAGTCATCTCTGTTTATGTGTGATAGAGAGAAAAGCCTTTTCTTCCTTGTTACTGACCTGAGATGAGCTGTCTTGAGAATGTTTCTCACAGTGTGTGAAGAGACAGGGAATGTGATGGTGGAATTGATGTAATAGGTGACCTGGACAGCATTATCAGCCTTTCCTGTAGTGATATGTTGAATAATAGCCCTCCTATCAGTAGAGGTGAGCTTGGATGAACGCCCTTCACAGAAGTTTTCCTTGTCTGCGTGACTTTCTTTGATGAACTTGGCCACAGTGGACTTGGATACTCCAGTTCTAGAGGAAATTTGACAAGCAGAGAGGCCAGAATAGGAAAGAGAGAGGATATTATCTCTTTGAGCAGGGGGGGTGGCTTTCATGGTGAATATAACCATGACATATGGAAATTTTTGGTTTGTATAGTTAGATATGGTTTTAAAATGACATAATGACACCACTTTATAATTTATTTAATGGTGGCATGATTGTTATGGTGTCATAAATGATGATTTATATAGTTTTAATATGTGCTCAAAAAACTGTCTGCATGAGTCACCATTTTGTGAGCCTTGTATCTCCACCATATCTCCACCGATTTCCACGGTGTAGGGCTCAAATGAAATCCCTGAAGCCATACTACAATGTGGTATAACCATGTTCTTGAGGCATTTGTTCGTTCTCACACAATATCATAGATAGTGAAAAATGTCAAAACATGCAGACAGTTTTTTGAGCCACTGTAAAGGCCATGTTGTTGATGAACATTATATGTACCAAGATTTGACAGAATCCAGTATTTGAGAGAACATCTTTGATCATGTTATGTATGAAAGCCAGGGGTTGTCATTTGAGAATGGAGAGACCGAACACCCCACTGGCATATATTGTTGCAGGGACTGTGCCTCATTGCTGAAAAGGGGAAAGACGCCACCATTGGCTTTGGCAAATCACAATTTTATTGGCCCACTTCCTTCTCAGTTACAGGACCTTACAATTGCTGAAGAAATGATGATAGTGCTGTGCAGAGCGAAATGCTTCATTTTGCATTTGCGGGAGGAGTCGTGTCACATACCAAATGCTCAAAGAGGCTTGAAAGGAAACATGATTGTTTTTCCACAGCATCCATCAAAGGTGTTAGAAGTGCTGCCTCCACCAGTTGAAGAGATTGTGACACCAACCTGCATCTTATTTGTTGGTTCATCTCCACCCACTGTTGATTGGCTGTGAAAGCATGCAAAACCGCTGATTGTATGCAGAAAAAAAGTTAGGTCGGCTTTGATATGGCTGCGTGAACACAATACACTCTATGCTGATGTGACCATCGATCATGGCCATTTAGATTCTTTGGGCAAGGAAGACATTTTACCAGTTCATATTGAGACTGTTCCTGTAGATGATCAATGAGCAGAGGATGTACTTATTTCGTGATATGACAGTATTAATGATTGTGAAGGAGATTCTTTTCATGATGTAGCCCCTGAGCTTAGTGATGTGGTCGAAGGATGTGTAAACACTTTGCCTGACACAGATGTTTTTCAGCATGTAGTGGTGACTGATGTTGATGGTAATGCTCCATCTCATGAGCTTCATGCGGCTGCCCTCTGTCATGTGAAACAGAAAGGTGGAGGCTTCATTCAAGTTCTGCATGGACTCAGTCCTATGAATGAATATGTCAACCCTGATTTACTCCTGAAAATTTATCCTACTTTGTTTCCATATGGTCTTGGTGGATTTGAACATCCTCACCGTACATGTCCTCTATCATTTAAACACCAGGTGAAGCACCTTTTTAATTTAGCAGACAAGCATTTTCAAGAGCATTACTCCTTTTTGTTTGTGGTGTTTAATATTTTACAGTGGAGGACATCATTGTTACATACCAGTTTAAAATCAAGTGCACCTCATTTGCAAAGATATCAGATAGTTTTGCAACAGTATCATCATCAGCAGTTCACATGGTTGCTGAACATGTTTATAAGGGTGATTTGTCTACAACCTATACTCCCAAAGAAGAGAAAGTGCATCACCTGTTAAAGGAAGTGAATGGTGTCACCTCTCATGTTCCAGGAAGTGGCTCAGTGCAAGCTATGATGCGCAACCAAATTTAAGGTTTGATGTTTGACAAAGGCCTGCTGAACTTTTATATCACAATTAACCCCACAGATGTGTACAATCCTATTGTTAAATTTTTGGCAGGATCTGAGATAGATATTGATGATATGCTCCTGAACAAAGTACCTGACTTTTGGGGGCAATCTATTCTGGTTGCTCACAACCCAACAGCCACAGTGAAGTTTTTTAACTTGTATATTAAGTCATTTCTTAGCACCATTTTAAGATTTGATAAGTCAAAAGGCACAGCTGTTGAGGGTATCCTTGGTCATGTGAAGGTGTATTATGGGTGTGTCGAGTCTCAAGGTCAAGGCACGTTGCATTGTCACATGATGGTGTGGCTGGAAGGTGGTCATGATCCTAATGAAATTAAACAACATATCATGGAAGCAAAAGATACAAATTTTTGTGACCAGTTGTTGGCATTTTTAGATGACACTATATCAAATGACATCCCTTCTGAACCAGATCCTGATATCTTAGTCCCATTGATGGTGCATCATCTGTGTTCAGTGCATGGCGTCTTTCCAATCTCAAATGAGGAAGATCCATGGGCTACAACAGTGCATCAAAATGACTTGCATCACTTGGTGAAAGCTTGCCAGACTCACAAACACAACCTCTTGTGCTTCAAGTATTGGAAGAGACCTCCCCATCCATGAGAGTGTAGATTTGACCTTGATGAAAGCCACTATTGTGGAAGCAGCTACATTGATGATGAAACAGGGGAGATTTGCTTACATTGTTTAAATGGCATGGTAAATAATTTCAACTCATCAATGTGGGAAGCTGTACATTGCAACATGGACATTAAGTTCATTGGTTTGGGTGCACCAGCAAAAACAATATTGTATTATATCATGGATTACATCACCAAATCTCAATTGCAAGCTCATGTTGCATATGCTGCATTAGATCTGGCAAGGTGAAAGCTATCCAAGTTTGATCCTGCAGATGATGAGATAGCAATTAGGGCAAAGGAGCTGATTAGGAAGAGCGCTCATGCTATGATTTCACACCAAGAGTTGTCAGTATAGTAAGTTGCGGCTTATCTGATGGACTTTGGTGACCATTATACCAGTCATGAGTATAAAAACCTCTTTTGGACTTCTTTTGAAAACTATGCTGATGCCATCATGCCCCTTCCTAAGCAGTTGCATGATGAAGGATATGGAAAGGTTGGAGTGTCTGAGGATGAAGAAATGCATTCAACAGAAGATGCAGAAAATGACTGGGAATGCTTGTTGCAGTTAACAGCAGATGAGGATATTTTGCAAGACATTGCAGATGGTGCTTTGGCCAATGATGAGGTTGCTTTGGTTGTAGATGATGACATGATATTGAATCCTAGAGCAAATCAAGTGGAAGACTATCAATTAAGAGCTTTAGCTCTTCATGAAATGTGTGTATGGGATTCTGTGGCTCAAGTGGAGAAACAAAAAATGAAATGGATCCAAGGTGATGCTGGCACGGATACACCTGATGAAGAAGACATAGAGGAAGAGGGACTTGATGATGGTCTAGGTTTTGATTACATGGACATAGACAATGCTTGCACAATGAGTTCTGTTAGAAATGAGAAAAACAAATGCAAGCATGACGATCAGATTTTGATAGAAGACATCATGAAGGATAAGTCATGTTCACATTGATCCTTTGAGTTGTGTGACAGCCACTCTGAGAGCCAAACACATTGTCTCATCATACGTCATCCAGACAGGCGCTATGTTCCTGTTCCAATAGGTCCATCACTACTGAGACATGATCATCTTGAGGTGAGAGAGAGATATTGCTGGATGATGCTTATATTATTCAAACCTTGGACCACAATCAATGATTTGTGTGGCATGTTTGAGACGTGGTTGGCTGCCTTTGAAAATTTCAGTATGGATTGTCTGCTGAACAAAATTTTCATTATGAAACACATGCAAATCTTACATGAATGCAAAGATAGCAGAGATGACCATTTTACAAATTGTCATCAGTGTTCTTCCAATTGATCAAATCATGTTTGCAGTGAAGTCCTAGAGCGTACAACATATGCAGAAGAATCAGTAGATAATGAGCTGAATGAGGAAGATATTCTTTCACACATGGAGTGTATCAAACAGAATTTGTCCATCAAGAAATCTCAACAGTGGGATGTGACATTGGACTGTTTGCATCATATGGAAATAGCAGGCCGATTTTCTATTGCCAAAGATTTGGCACTAGCAATCAGTGTCAATTCAACAGACAGCAATATCAATGAAGTGGATAAAAATAATCTTTCACTGGAAGATGAATGGCAGAATGCTTATGAGCTCAGGAGAGAGGCATGGAAACAGCATGTCATTGAGCATAATTGTGATGTGCAACCATTGCCTGAAGAATCGTGTGCACCAGATGTTGAGATGTCTTCTGGGAATGATTTCTGGGTGGCAGTTGGCAACTTTTCATCACATACCATACCAGATGTGGTTCCATCGATTGTGCAACATGCCAAACCACTTGTGGCGGAACCTGTAGCAGTTGATATATGTATCAGCCATGATTTTGGAGTATGGTCTAAACAAAGAGCAGGCTCACACATTTTCTCTGATAGCAGATCATTCATTGACACAGAGCCCAGAGCTACTTCACATGTATTTGGGTGGCCCTGGAGGGACAGGAAAGTTGCATGTTATCACTGCTGTGACAGAGTTCTTTAATAGGTGAGGTGAAGAAAGGCAATTTTGCTTGACATCATTTATGGGAGTTGCTGCTTGCAACATCACGGGCATGACACTGCACTCTGTATTAAGTTTGAATCAACAAAGGAAGAAAGGCAGTAAAGGAAAATCCAAACAGGATCTCATTGCCATGTGGAAGAACATTGATTATTTGCTTGTTGATGAGGTCTTGATGATCAGTTGTAACTTCCTTGTTCAAATTCATGAGGCTCTGTGTGAAGCAAAAGAAAACTCTGCTCCTTTTGGAGGAATTAGTATTGTGTTTGCTGGTGATTTCGCACAACTGCCACCTGTTGGGCAATGAGCTTTGCATCGTAAGGTGATCACATATGCAGTCTCCACTGTTTGGGGACAGAATAGCATGTTTGGTAAACTACTATGGTTGTTGGTCACTATTGTTGTTTTACTCAAAACCATCATGCAGCAAAGCGGAGATCATAATGCACATTTTGTTGAAGTTCTTGAGCATTTGAGGACTGGTAGTTGTTCTGATGATGATTATGAGTTGTTATCTAATAGAATGATATCTAAAGTAAGACTGACCTGGGCATTTGGGGAGTGGCTTGATGCACCCATTATTGTGTCTACCAATGATGTGAAAGATGTTATTAATGAACAAGCGACATTGTCATATGCAGAATTCACACACCAGCCTGTACATTGGTATCACTGTCTTGACAAGCATAATGGTCAATTAATTGACTCCTCTGACCTACATTCCCATTTAATTGGTCTACATTCAGGATCAACTTCTCAGCATCTTGGAAAAATCCCACTTGTCATTGGCATGCCTGTAATGATTAGTCAAAACTTCAATGTCAATGTGGGAATTGTGAATGGTTGTACAGGAAAATTGAAGAGCATTTGTTTTTCAGTTGATGCAAATGGTGATCACCATGCTACATCATGTGTCATTGATACTCCATCTACTTCAGGCAAGCCCCTTCCTCATCTTGAAGCTCATCAATCTGTTGTTTTGCCAGACACAGTTGACATGTCATTTGAGAATCTGTTCAGTGGAAAGAGATGCCACATTAAGTGCACTCAACTTCCAATTTCGCTGGGTTTTGCCATGACTACTCATAAAGCACAAGGACAGACTATTGAGCGCACCATTGTGGATTTTGAAGGCTGCACTGGAACAGAGGCTCCCTATGTTATGCTGTCTCATGTGACCTCACTAGATGGATTACTGGTGCTCCATCCTTTCAATAAAAAGAAGATTTGTTGTCGTCAGAGTGAGGATATGCATATGGAAACCAAACACCAGGGTGTACTTGCGCAGCAGACACTTATCGACCATACAACAGATGAAGATGAACGGTCACAGGCAATATTACATTTGTGATCTATGTTAGGTTGTGCAGACATTGTCAAGATCAAGGCAATTGCATGTGAGCCATGGCAGTCTGTGATGCAGCTCTCCAGCCAACTGCACAGTATACAAGCAGAGATTGACACCATTGGTATGGGACGTCCATGAAAAAGAAAGCTTAGTCAGGAACCAGGCATTGCAGGCAGTGTTGGACAGATGGCCAATAGCTCAACCATAGCAAAGCAAGTGCCCTGCAAAAAATGATGATTGAATTAAACAAAACAACTTGAGATGTTGTCGGCCTGATTCCCACATCACATGCCCTTGGTCACCACATAGAATATTGTGCACAACTTGACTTCACTTGTTCCTCCTGGTCAGGCCAGATATACCTTGATGGCACACACCCAGAGTTAGAGCACATTCACTCTTCCAACTGTGTAGCCCTCCCTAACATCCACTCCATCCCAACCCCCTCCTTCAATGACCATATCCCAAGTCCCAAAAATGCATTTTGTGCACTTCTTACTTTCCTTCTTGCAGCTGCTTCATCTCCTGCTCTCACACAGGACATCCATGCTCATTCCGATGATTATTTGGTGAGTATGACTATGGTTCACTTGTATGGCTTCCTTTCTGATGAGGCTGAAAAACTCACCATCACCGGTGCACATGGAGTTATTGGTGAAGTCAACATTTCTGTTGTCTGGATCCAGGTACTCTCTGAAGATGGCACTGTGCATCTTGAGCTTGTACATCTCAGTAGTATTCATTCTTTGATCTTTCACCCAATATTGACCATGACATACTTCAAAGTCAACTTGAAGAACAACTGGTATGAGACCACAGTCTCTGCATCTTTTCCCCACCGTATTGTGTCCATCATGGACTGGGCCAGTGATAGCCTCATGCCTTTTTACTTCCTTGAATCTCATTTTGGGGATGCTCAACTTTTTCCCCTCTCCTCATTCATGCCTGCAAACTTTAGTGCCTTGTCCTGCTCCATCAACAAAGTTGGTGGTCACTTTAGGAAGGGCAAGGTTGTGGCAGATCTTCACAAGAGCAAGGCCACCAAGGAGACCACCAAGTGGTTGAGTGGGCCTCCCATTTCTCCCTTCCTCATAGCATATTACAATGTCCCATACCAATGCAATGGTGACTGGACTCTTCTACACAAGCAACTTGTTCTACATCCTAACCTACTGGTCTGTTTTACTTGCACTTATGTCTTATTTTTTCATATGACAGATTGTGACAGGAATGAATCCACAGAAGAGGCTGGGAACTTCCAGCAGTACATCTTTGAGCACAGCAGTGAGGAATCAGATGCTGTGATCATGAATGCACAGGATGGCAGTGGGTTCAGCAATGCCAATTTCATGACACCTTTCAATGGCCAGAATGGGTGGGTTGTTATTTTTCTCCCTGCCCAACATTGTTCAGCAAGAATGTTTTTGTTGGTCATACTGACATTTGCTTTAGTATCTTTTGCATATCACAAACAATTTCTACTCAATGTGCTGTGAAATCACTCACCTCTTCTACTTTGCACTCCTGTGACGCCATGCCAATATCTATTTGTGTTAATCGAGACTGCTTATCTAATATCTTTGGAGCAAACAGGAAAAAAATGCCCCTTTCCCTTTTTTTGTTGATTATAAAAAGCAAAATACCATCTCAGTTTGTGTTGTTCACTTCTTTCTTGTACTATGGGTAGGTCTTTGCAAAAATGTTCATGGATGTACTTATTGATCTATTTTGCAGCAGGACTTATTGTTGATGTTTGGATCCATGTGCTTCAATTCATGGACCTCCTGGACATAGTCCGATGTTTTGCAGTCAACTACTTATTCTCAATGCTCAGTCATAAAGTGATCAATGACAGGCTAAACTGCATCCTCATGCATACTATTGGTGATGCAAGTAATCACCTGCATGCCATCCTGGACAGTACACACTCTGTTCTACTAGGAAGTTCTGCACTCGACATTGTATTGTATGGTACATCGCCAATACACCAACATGAATTGCACATTGCTACACCATGCTATGCTAAACACATTCTTGCCACCTTTTTTGAATGCCTTGGATTTGCTGATGGTGGATCACCCATGTTCTATACACCGACATCTGCCGTGGTGGTGTACGATTATGAATATATTGAAAAAAATGGCAAGAAGGTGGCTCTCATCAATAGTGCTACAGACTCCATCATGCCAGTGGTTCTTGCCCATTGCTTGTCAACTGACTGCATGTTTATTTTGTCCAGTGGTCTCTTTTGTGGCTATCTGGAGTTACTGGACAGCCAGGTCACATTTCTGCCTGTTGCTCATCCCAGATCATCTAGCGCTCAGTATTTTGCTGAGCGCGAGTACAAAGTGAAGACTTGCAATGACTTTTGGACACTGCCTTGTGTCAGGAAATGTCCAATGCTGTGGTGTCACATGGATGAAGGTCTTTTTGTCACATGGCACAATGGAGTCACCCCTGCAAAAATTGCAGAAGGGCAGGACCTTCAATGGAGGTTGACAAGTCATTGTGTGAATCTTTCATGCTGGAACAACATTTTCCAAGATCCTGATCCACATTCAGGTGCATATACTGTGTGAAGTATCGAACTGTGAATCAAAGAATTGATCAGCTGTAATGTGGGTTAACCCAAAACACTCAAAAGATGCATGGTAAACTGATAGTTGTCAGGTGGGACTACCTCATGTTATGGGATTACTTTTTGGAGCAGCCATGATGCGACCATATCCAGTACCACTTTATATTGATAAAGGTAGCACTGTCCTCAGGCATATCAATGACTTGAATGTTCATCCATTCATTCGCAAAAGGGGCATGGAACCAAACAACATCATTGATTGCACTATGACAAGGAATATGATGGTAATGAATGACTGTGCATTCACTGTTGTGCGCAAACATGATCATGTGTTAGACACCATGCCATCAGCATATCATGTAGGTCCTTTTTACAAGGACAAGAGGTGATATCTCCCTCTCACCCCACCCTGTGGTAACATGCTCGCCATTATGCATGACCTCACAGAAAAATGTGTACCATGACATATCTTGCCATGGGAAGTCCAGGAGGTTGCAGAGTGCATTATCCAGTGAGTTAGGCTTTTGAGACCTGGGTACAGCAGCTTATTCCATTGACAGAGTTGACCAAATGATGAATTATTTGATGGAATCATGCGTAAATGCCTATGAATCGAAGCAGCATAAGAAGTGCATGATATTGCTTGTATATTTACATTTTGGCAATGTTTAATTTTTGGTTTGATTTCTCACAAGAACAAGTTTCATTGTTTGACACCAAGCATCAAGTAAGAATTCACAAGTAACATCTTGGTAAAAAGCCATGTGACAGTTGCAACTCCTAACTATGATCTCATCACCCATGGCAGGCTCCTAAATGAAGTCTCAGTGAGCATAAGTGGCCCCTATCATTTTATCACCTTAACTTCTACCATATCATGGCCAAATGACACACAGCCATATATAAATGTATGTTGGCCACAGCTTATCATACCTAATGGTGATGGCTCATGACAGTGTTTTGACTCAGTGGCCTTGTCACCTAAATCAAGCCAACAAATCAGCATTTATCTCAGTCTCCCAGACCTTCACAACTTGTCTTGTACATGCAAAACTATGCACCGCATTGTTGAAGGCATTCACAATGAGGCTTATCTCAATTTGCTCCAACCTTATGCTGCTGGATCATTGACTGAATTTGACCACATTATTGCTGGTAGTGGCACAGTGATTATTGGGTCTGCAGCTTTATCACTAATCTCCCATCTGGCTTTGTGGCATCTGAAAGATCTCAATTTGGCAGTGCCAAGAGGCGCTACAGACCAACTACACCACTGGTTATTGAGGAATGAATTCCACACAATCCAACAGGCTCAAGAACCACCTATCGCACTGTCTGTAGATGACTTTGTGAACTCTCATTGCACATTCTATCATTCATCACAATCTCACCTTAAAATCAGCATCACTGAAAGCATTGATTACAGCATCCTTACAGTGGTTTTGACAGGAAGATACACTGTAGAAATGTGTTATGTGACTGGGGGCGGTGTTTTCTGTGCCCATCCACAGCTTACATTAGACCACATTGTGCTTGAATGCAATTCACCTACCATGCAAAAATCGGACACTGCAAAGGCACAATGGTACATTGACATGGGAATGCAATACTTGCAATCTACCACTCAATGGAAACATGGGTGCAGCCAAAATTGTCTAACACCCTGGCACAGTGTCAATGACAAAAGCCAAAGCCTTCTCATTGACTGGACTGACAAGGAAGGGGGAGATTCCAACTTTACACATAACACCTCATGGTACACCCATGGGCAGCACCACTATTGGTGCTTCAGCACTGTTTGTCAAAGTGTACAATGCACTTTTCATCTGCATAGTCCTGAACTTCCAAGGCACAGTCCATCAGACTATGAAGATATCCTGCATACAAAAATCACTTTAGCAGGTAATCCAGTACATTGACTAGACATCTACCAAATGTATTCGCATACTAAACCTGATCACATACAAATAGTTAATCGGGGGAGGACATTGAGGAATCTTTATGCCACTAGCTGTGGCAGGCCATTCTTAGTGCCTATACCTCTTCTGGTCAACACTCGTGAACTACACACAACAGATCATCTGTACACACACTCATGGGTAAATGAATTTGGACGTGATGCTATGTTGATCCACCCAAACATGATTAGAAATGCATATTTGACCCACCCATCAAACTAAAAGCCATTACTGTTCAGGTTGGTCATATGTCATGAAAATGGTGCTGAAAGCAGAAAGAATTACTCCTTATCATCACTTGGAAGTGATATTGTGGGATATGGAAACACATTTATGCTGTATGGAAATGTACTGGTGATGAAGACACATCTTGACAATCATGCAGAGGTCATGGTGTCAATCCAGGAGACACTTGATCACAGATGTAATCCTGGGGTGATGTCATATAAACTTTGCCTTGGCAAGATATCAAACTAATACATCATGATTTAGCACCTATCACACACAAACACTGACAGGAGCAAAATTTGTGGTAGAAGCAGCATAAGCAACCAATTCTTCCTTGAGGTGCACTATCCGCGAAGTTATTAGCATGTGAAACTTTATTGGTTGACTATTTACTTACAATAAATTATGTGGTTTGACTATTATGCCTTGATCCTCTCCAATTTAGTATGACTTACTAGTAATGATGTTCCAGAACTGCTTAACCCCAGAATCATGGCTTTAGCCTGGCCTCAGGCAGCTCTGGCTTGCAACATAATCAAAGCTTGGGCGAAGCTGCTAATGACACCCAGTAAGAACTGGTTGTGCTTGAAACAGCCAGGATATGCTGAAGGCTGAATTTCTGCTTTCCTCCTGTGGCTGTTTGTGCTGGTTTGTAATTTCATATCACTTTGCATCAATATACATTGCGTCGTATACACATTGCATACATTGCATTGCACAATTGCACATTGCACACACATTACAGTATGTGCAAGCTATGTGATCAATATGATGTAGTGTGGCTGTATCTTCGCATCAACTTAGTAGTATGGTACTTGGCACTACTAGTACCAGTATCTGGCCAATGTGCACACATCCAAGCTCTACTCACCTTGCCAAGTAACTGCATCAAAAAGCATAATTAGGTCGTGCAGGACAGACATCAAAGTCTAGATTTGTCACACAACTTCAAGGTGAGTACATCTTCCAAATATTATAATGAATGCTGGGACTATTTTATATAGAATGTACACAAGTTCTAGTTTCAAGCAACTTGATGATGCTCCCTGATATGTCTGTGTCTGCAGCAAATATAATCAAGGCCAGTCTCACATGGTTTTGGCCATGACATGGTGCAGGCACTTAGAAGAAGCCAATACCAAAGATGAAAGAGAAAGGATGTGCACAGGCCAAGCACTACATGGACACAGTATACCAGTTTTTCCAGCTTTACCTGAAGAGAGCAGTGCACCAGTTCTACCTCCAAATGCTTGTCATTTGGATGCAATTCATGGTCTTGCTAAATGAGTGTGAGAGAATGTGGAATCATCGCACAAAGTTGGATGCTGTAAATGAGCCAAACAGACTGAACCCAGTATGGCCCAGGTATGTGTTCACCACTACAGGTATCTCTGTGTACCTGTTTGACATAATTTATAGGATGACAAGCTGTTTTCTTCCACTGGCAATGAAATCTTTGGTTCTGGTGACCAGAACCCTTCTGCTCCTGGTGATGAGCCTTTTGGTCCTGGTGACCAGAACTCTTTCAGTCCTGGTGACCAGAACCCTTCCACTCCTGGTGATGAGCTATTTGCTCCTGCTCACAATGACCTCCATGCTCCCAGCAACCTTCCTGCTCCTGGTGACAATGAGGTGTTTACTTCCACTGATGATGAACCTTTTGGTCCTGGTGACAATGAGCTTTTCCCTCCTGCTCATGACAACCATCCTCCTGCTTGTGACAACCATCCTCCTACTCCCAATGACCCTCCTGCTCCCAACAATCTTCCTGCCTGTGACATCCCTCCTGCTGATAATGAAATTCAGATTGATATTGGGCCTAGAATGAGGCCTAATATTGATATTGACCAGCTCATCTGGAGTGCAGCACTGCCGAAAATGCAGGAAACCATGGAGTTTGTGCACCTACTCAGGAATGCCTCACTGGAAGATCTGATTGCAAAGCTGGGTGAGGATGTCCCAGACACTTTGAACACTGTTTTGATCCCCACCTTGTACACTTTTGATGCTGTGTTCATCATGTTCTCCCAGTTTTATTTCATATTTTCATTGCTTTCAGTAGTGTGTTAGAGCTGTGCTAGTGCTACAGGCATGTTTTATATCCCAGCACAATCAAACAATATCTGAGCATAATCATATCACAGCCAACATGAGCACATTCACCCAGGGAATCAAATGCATGCTCTAATATGCACTGGTATGATTTTCATATGTGAATGCGAAGAAAAACATACATATGTGCTGATCAATGCTTTTTCCTCAACTACTACCATAAGCATATTCTGGCACACCCTGGCTGTTTTGAGCACAACCAGTTCTTACTGGGAATGACAGCTGGCACATTGAGCAATAAGGGTGAGATGAAATGAGGCACCTGTACTGTGTTCATTAAAGGAGAGAGGTTGTCATATCCCACAATCCGGACTCACATTCCATAATATTCCCACGCCTTCCGAGCCTACATCCGGACCCCATATCCAACTCATTGCCAGATCCCCTTCCGCTGTGTGCTCCACACCTCAGTAGGATCGACTCCACTCCAGATTTACCCCTGAGCTCCGGACCTCTGGATCCCCACTGCTGGCCGGATCCGTACCACCCTATCCTGTTCACCCTATGTGCACTCCATCCAGCAAGACATCCAGACTTCACCTCATCTCAGATTCTGGACTATATCCACCTTCTCATATCCCAGTCCTGTATCCACCTTGTCTTCCAGATCCCCAGATCTCTGGACCTATTCCCACCCTCTGTCCAATATCCTGCACCTATCCCCATTTAGGCATCTCTGCCTTTCCGGCTTTCGGTTACCTCCTGTTCTGTCTTGCTGATTGATCCTTGTACAAATCTTCATCTCTGAGTTCATTTAGTTATGTTCCGTCTTACTTACTAATGTGTTTCCACATGCTCATACATATCCTTGCTCCTTTGCTTACTGATCCTCTCAGATAGTCTCCAGTATATAACCCCTGTAGATACTCCTGTAGTTTCCTCAGTTTGAATATCATCTTAGATCCTGTTCTATCTGGCCAATCTTCTTCTGGACTTCAGTCCATCTGAGTTTGTCCTTTTCCATAAGGCCTAGGGATGGATTCCATAGGCCAGAATTCTGGACCTTCAGATTTGTCCCCTATGTCTCTGTCCCAAGTCTAGGGATTGCTTCCCTAGACTGGAGTCTTGCCTTTCCAGCACTTACCCTCTTTCTGGACTTTGGTCCACTTCCTATCTCTCTGACTCTACCTAAGGGTAGTCTACCTCTGTTTGCTTCTACATCGGACTTCATCCAATATAGCCCCTATTCCTTCTGGACCTCTGGATGTCCTGTCCTTTGGACGTTCCGCCCTCCATACCTTTGGACATCCTGTCCTTCTGTCCTCCATCATCCTGCCTCCTGTCCTCCTGTCCTCCTGTCCTCCAGACCTTCGGACCTCCCATCCTTCCATCCTGTTTCCTGTAGAAGTATTACCTTGCAGTGGGAACTCTCCTGCACTCCTCCAGAAGTCCTCTAGCACTCCACCAGAGTAGCTAGCCTCTGGAAGTCCTCTGGACTTCATCAGACCATCATCAGACCACATATGAAATGAAGGGCACATACTCAGGTAAGGGGCACAGCATATGAGCTGAGGCCAAGCCACTCTGAGTCAGTCTCTCTCTCCTTTGAGCATGGTTCTTAACAGAGGTGAAACAATTTGCTAATGCAAAGGAAGGTTGATCATTACAGGTCTCTCATGGATGGAAAGGTTTTGATGCCATATGTATGACAGATATCAGTGATTACCAATGATAGCAAATTGGGTCAGCTGACGTAACAAGGCTGCAGTATATATAGCAATGCTAAGTGTCCCTTAAACCTCAAAAAATACTGTGAACTGTTTTGTACATGATGCCAAACAAATCCTGCTTGACTTCACTCTGTAAAGAGCTCAGAGAAAATGTCTTAGACTCTCTAGACCTCGCCGAGCTATCTCTCTTTGCCAGTGCAGCCCCTATTTTACATATTGGAGTCAATGAGTACCTCCAAAGGCAAAGGCTGATCATATTTGCGTGCTATGTTAGCAATATCCAGCAGTTCATGGAATTGCTACAAAGCACAGGTGCTGTGATCTCTGGGTCATCAGCCCTAAACATCGTGCAAGCCAAACAGGGCGCAGTCAACATCAATGACTTGGATGTCTATACCACTCTCCCTAAATTTGAACAACTTCTCAACTTCTTTGAAGAATCGGAAGGTTACAAGGTCACGGATCATTTCTGTCATCCACCCCCTGGTCCTTATAACAATACAGGGATAGCCAAGCTCATCCGACTTCAAAAAAGGACACAAAAAGTGGACATCATTGTCACAAACTTGACTTTGGCAGCAGCACCCATTTTTCAATTCCACAGCACAGTCATCATGAACTTCATATCAGCAGAATGCATTTTTTGTGCTTACCCCATGTGGACGCTCAACATGGCTGGTTTGATCCACCCGAGAATGTACAAACAAGATGCCACTAACCTCACAACCATCAGTGGCCTCGCCAAATATATGAAGAGAGGATTTAGCCTATATTCAGAAATCACAGAAATTGAGCCACACTTTTCTCACTGCATAAAAACCCACTACTGTCCACACATAGTGCGAAGCACCAATGACAACAGCAAGGTAGCTTGGGTGTTCAATGACACAGCCACACACCCTAGCACTCCACACAGCGCAGCTTACGTTGATTCTAATGCAGTCATCTAGTGTTTAGGAGGGGATCAGTGCACAAATGAAAGTGTTTCAGGCTCTCCATCATTTGTTTTTTCGACATAACGAAGGTACGTTACATATTCATGCAGCATGGCATTCTTTGGCTAACATACATGATCAAAAGATGTAAGACACGATGCATCATTTCAGTAGAGCACGTGAAGTACACAGATAACTGGAGTGATGGTAAAGATAATGATGGAATATGCAATAACAAAAAAAAGGGGGCTTCAAATCAATTTCACAAAACATTGAATAAGAGTGGCCTTTTAAGACTGGATTGTCGACTTGCCCTTGGCAAAGGCAGCAGCTGCTTCACTGGGAGGAACAACATACAACATCCTAAAAAATGAAATGTGAGAGAAGGATCATAGATAGCAAAATATTCCACCAATGAACTGGTCAATGGCAGCAATGACTGCAGCATAATCAGACCATGTCAAATTATCAGCATGTCCCCCTTCAGCAATCTTGAGTATGAGATATGGGCAATGTTGGGTGCCATTGCAATGAAGGTTTCAATTGAAAGAGACCAAGAACTCCAGATGCTTGGAATGCTCATCACTACTGGACACAAATACTGTGTGTTCACTAACATCAGCATTCCTAACAGGAACTTCAACATAGCCTGATTTCAAGCCCCATGAGCAAAGGCATGTGGTGATCAGTCTGTCAAGAGACATGGAGGGTTTGGGATAAACAAGGAGTTGGTACTGGTTGACACTAGAGAGGAATTGATGTTTGGTACTGATAAGGACCATGATGCATGAAAGTCTCCTGAAAAAATAGGGTGCTTAAAGAAAAAGAGTGCTTAGAAAACAGGGTGCTTAATGGATAGGGTGGATGATGAATAGGGTGCTGAAAGAATAGGGTGTTTAATGAATAGGAGGTTAATGCAGCTGCACAGTATCAATGATGAGCAGAATACGCTCATCGAGGATGAAATGAAGTCATAAATGTGCACAATGCAATGGATGTGGATGTGGATGATCTGGAAAATATCAATAGGACATTTCAGCTGATGAGGAATGACAAAATTGCATGAACTAAAGAGCCCATCTACTAAGATAAAAGGTGATCAAAAATAAATCAAAGAAAAAATATCGCCAGACCCCATCAGCAACTTCACCACATATCCAAAAGTCTGTCTAGCTCACAAGCTCCATACATTCACACTCCATGGACATTGACCCCCCCCCCCCCACTATGATAACTGCATTGAAGGGGGCCTCTATGATGAAGTAGTAAAGCAACTAATGGCACTACCCCAAGGTGTATCACTGGGGGATGCAACATACAAAGAACACTTCATCTGGGACACTAATGCACACACCAGCAATTTTGCATACAGGTGCAAGGACAATGGAGCTGAATATGAAACAGATCTGATCAGTGAGGTAATGCCTTGTCAGTGTGGTACAAGATTCAGTGCCATGGGAAACCATTACATTGGAATGGCAGACACAGTGAGGGTCACATCAATGTAACATATTGATGCTAACACTCATGTCAGCCCAATGTGATTGATGACAGAACACAGGTTAAAGGTGTTCTCGCTTTAGGGAAACCTACACAAGCGACTCAAATGATGTACGTCGCATTTGAGAATCAAATTGCTACCTTGGATGATGTCATCCAGAGCAACATTGAGGAACTCAAGTGAAAGAACAAGGATATCAACATGAAGGAGTGGACTGCACACACAGACACAGACACCTCTAGCACGCCAGAATTTATTGTGGTCAGTACTGAGCAATTTTATGTGGTAAGAAAAACTCACTATATGAAATGAGATGAATGGCTAACATATCTCAAGGTGCCCAAAACTACACAGCAAGCTATGCAAGGCAAGTGCACAAGAATCATGAAAAAAGTACTAAGTAGGGAAAAAGAAGATGAAGATGGTCAAACAGCCAATGGTTCATCCTCTACAGAAGTTGGGCCAAGCAACAACAGTGGGGAGAAAGGCATCACAACTAACAATTTCTACAAGCCGACCGTGCTCACAGATCATGGAGGTGACTTGTTCCAACACGTGAATGCCAAACTTCACCAGTTGGACATACAGGATGTCAACAGTGACCTTATCCAACCCCAAAAGTGGTATTCAGAACTTAGGCACAGAACTTTGGTCATGGTTAGGGCCACAATGTACACTTTCAATTGGAAGGAGCAATGGGTAAGACTCAAAAACTTGACAAAAAAAGTAACTTACCATAAAATTGAAGGTCTATCAACTCAATGCACACACTATCTGCATCCTGGATGAGTCAAAGCTGGACATCAAACCATTGAGTCCACAGCTGAATGGTTTCAACTTGGAAGCCTTGCATTCCAAATTGCATGCATCAAATGCAATGGCAGGGGTCCAATTGGGCAAAAGAACGAGGGAAGAATGATAGTAAAGTGCAGAATTCAGCTATGATGCAGCCTGGTTGATGTGATTGTCCTTACTAGATGTACCCACGAGTTCATGCTCACCTAGTGTTTGTGCTTCATCAGTAAACCACAACTTTTCCCACAGGAAGTACAACATTTGCATTCCTGTCCAGCCAGCTACAGACTCCACAGTTCCCCAAGTTCCCAGCACACTTGTGACTACAAGGTATCCAGTTGCTCACAGTTCTATATGCCCTACAGGACTTTACACCTTACTAGTACTATACTGCCAGTGTATTACATCCTACTAGTAGCGCTATTAGTATACTTCGATTCAATTACAATGGGTTTCAAAATTTTATCAAGTGCAAACTCGGAACCAGAAATTCAGAATTCAAACACAACCTGCAATCATCATTGCAATGACATCTATTGTACTGATATACTTAAAGTTACATTAATATATACATGCGAAAAATGCGAAAAATGCGGTAAACAGTAGTTTCAGGCAGTGTGTGATTGCAAAAGGGATGAAGAAAAAAGAGAGAAAACGAAACAGACTGAGTGGGTGGTGTATGTCGACATTAATATAGCTGGACCATGATGTGATGACATTTGAGTGATTCTAAATATATAACATTAGCGTTGTAGCACTGTAGGGTAGTATGGAATTGTAAGAACTTACCTTGCAAAACACTCTGTGTGGGTCTGTGGTGAGAGAGACCATGTTTTTGAAATGTTATCCGCATGTGAGCTATTCCTACATCCACCTTGGCGAGCTTCTGCTTCAAAATATCAGATTTGTGCTTGGAGAGATTTGCCAAGACTTTGTGTTTGTGGACCACACAGTCAGCAAGCACTTTCTCTGCATTGACAACATCCTGTCTTGCCCTTGTGAGGTCCAGGATGAGGTTCACTTCAAGATTATTGGCATCACTGATTGTCTGTGAAAATGTTAAGGAGTATTGTTTACAACGTAAGGTATGAGTTACTTACCATTGACCTGAGAGCATCGACTATGTCATACAAGTCCAAAATACCACTACCAGAGTGACACATAGTATTATTAAGGCTGGCATGCCAGTGAACAGGGCAATGTGAAGTTGATGGTAAATCACTGATATTCAGCTTGACTGATGCATTTGTTGACATGGCATGTTAGAAAAACAATTTTATTGGTTCCGAGAATGTAACTCTCACCTCTATAACTAATATGTCCAACTCATACCAGTGTCCTTTGTGCAGCAAAGACAACTTCAAAGACCATGGTGCTGTTGCCCAACACATGAGTCAGCCTCGCTCTGGCTGTAGTACTTGGCTACAGGATCTCATTCATTTACATTCAGTGTCCATCTGTACTGCAGACTCAGACTCCATGGATGTCGACCACGCACCAAATATTCCTGATGTTGACCCAGAGCTTGATGGGGCTGGATTTGGAGACTGGGATGGGGTATTTCAGGGTAGAAGTGATGAGGGTGATGATCAAGTCCATGAGGAGGTGACACCGACTGACTCAGACTTCATTGACTGGCATCCCAAACCCCCTTAAACATATGGCAGGGGTCACACTTTCCTCAACTCATTTCATTCTGACGAGAACAACATGTATTGCAAAGAAAATCACTATTACCTGTTTAGTGGCTGGAAAGATTGGGAGGTTGCATTGTGGTTACTGCATTTGGGGTTGAGCATGGTGAAGGTCGACAGCTTTCTTTCACTCGAGATGGTCGGTTTTAGACTTATTCATTGTGTTTACTATCCTGACAAGTGTCTTGTTAAGATCAAGAGTCTTCCATTATCTTTTTGTTCAGCCAAGGAACTATGTGGTCGAGTGGAAATGCTGCCTGGTGGCCCACCCTGGATGTCCCAAGTAATCCCTACTGTACATCCAACAAAATCACCTGTCATTTTGTATTGGCGTGATCCCCTGGAATGTATCGTGAGCCTTTTAAATCACCCTTTCTTTCATGATCGAATGGATTTTACACCTCGCAGGGTGTATGCTACTGCGCAGCGACTGTGCTGCATATACTCTGAATGGATGACTGGTGACGACACCTGGAACATGCAGGTACATTTTTCTTTCTTTCTGCGAGTTATTGTACTTACTTGTTTTCAAACAGTCAGCCCTCCCAAGAGGTGCAATGCTCCTTGGGACAATTTTGTCATCTGACAAGACCAATATCTCTATGATGACCGGTGACAGAGTCGCACATCCCCTCCTCATCAGCCTCACCAATATACACATGTCTACACGACTTAAATCGTCATCTAACACCTTCGTTCTTACTGCCCTCCTCCCTGTGCTGAAGTTTATTCACAAAAAAAACATATGCAAGGCATACTTGAGGATTGGCTAATCCATGAATGCTTGAACATCGTGCTACATCCCCTCAAGCAGGCTGCTCGTGAAGGAGTTATGTTATCCAATCCTATCAGGCACAGTCGATACTGCTTCACACTGCTCATAAGCTATATTGTTGACACTCCGGAGGTCATGATGCTGGCTACTGTTGGGGGAAAAACCTCCCCAGTCACTATGGCAATGTACAAACAGTTTGGAGACCCTTTCCGCCACAAGCCTCGCACAAAATCAACTACACTTGCCCAGCTGCGCATTGCCCGAGTAAGGGCTGATCCCAATGATATTGAAGCATTCTTTTGTGAAGCTCAGAAGTTTCATTTGAATGGTGTATCCGACCCTTTCTTTGCAGACTGGATCCTTTCTGAACCATCCCATTTTCTCACTCCTGAAACTCTCCACCACATTCATCGGGAGTTTTATGATCACAATGTGAAATGGCTCGTTTGTGCAGTTGGGGACATAGAGCTTGATTTTCGCTTTTCTGTGTTGCAGCCCATCACAGGGTTTCGCCATTTTCATGGGGGCATTTCGAAGCTCAAACAGGTCACAGGACACGCTCAGCATGATATCCAGCGCTCAATCATTGCAGTTAGCACAGATGCAGCACCTAGTGCCGTGATCACTGCCATCCAAGCTTTGATGGACTTTTGCTATCTTGTGCAGTCACCTTGGATTGACGACAATGTTCTCAGACACATTTCTGCAGCGCTCGATGAATTTCACGCCAACAAACATGCAATCATAGCTGGTGGATTTGTTGCAGTCAGCGTAATAGAGTCATCGATAACTGGTTTATCCTGAAGATTGAGCTTATGCAGAGTATAGTTCCAAGTATTTGAAACAGTGGAGTTATCATGCAATGGACCACTGACACTACAGAACACGCACACATCACCGAAATCAAAGATCCCGCATGCTCGAGCAACAATAACAATTACAATTCACAAGTCTGTTGTCATCTGGACCACGCTGATAAATGTTGTCACTTCAACCTCACAACGAGTCTGCTGGAAAACATCCCAGGCTCAAATCAGCAGACTACAGATCATGGTGATCCTGATTCTGATGATGTCAACAATGATGACAATGATGATATCCCAGCAGAACTTCTTGCAACCATCACATCTCCTGGCCATTCATGCCCCATCACCAATCACTTTGCAATTGCAAAGCTCCTCCAGGACAGGGAGGTGGGGACAGTTCCTGTGCCATTGTGCTCATTCTCTGTCAGACATACATCATTTCATCTTGCCCATGTCCCATCCATTAGATCCATTTCTGTTGACGACACAGCTCTCAAGTTTGATGTTCCAGACCTGTGACCAGCTATTGCTGACTTTCTTAGTCGCGAAGCTGCTCATGGGCAGGATTATGTTCATACTATTGGGGGGGCTAGGAGAGCTAAACCCACCGCTTCACTGCCATTCAAAAAGCTCCAAGTCTGGTTCAAGCTTCGATTGCAGGATACAGATCTGCATGATATTAGTGTCATGCAGCCTGCTCAGACCCTGAATTGTTCACCACCTTCTGGTGTCTGGACTTGCAGCTGGTATGATCCAGTCATTGTAAACGACAATGTGAGATGGTCATGGCCTGCCAATGGTCTTCATGGTACATTTTTCTCTCCTCCTGTGCTTATTATTCTCATTATTAAATCTCAGGGCACACCATTGGTGAAATTAGGCTGATTCTGCGTCCTGTTGGAAAAGCTGGCACATATTGGTCATGGAAGGACCACTTCCTCACCTATGTCTATCACTTTGACATCATTCCACAAGGTGGAAGTAATCATGAACCGAGTACTCAACTGCACATACTTAAATGAGTGAAGTGCTCAAATGGTACTCGGGTGGGTGATGTCATACCAGTTACACAGCTCAGGGCACCTGTCAACCTTGTACCTTGCTTTGGTGCAAGTGCAGACAATCATCTCACCCAATGTAACAGTATGGAACATGCTTCAGAATTTTGGCTCAATAAATATTGGGACAAAAACACATTCTTCCCTCTTTCCATGTAGCTTTCACAGATTGGTTTTTTTTAACTCATGTATACTAGTAAGATAATTGCTTTGGGTGAGAAGCTGTTTTATTATTAGTTCTTGGAATGCTGTGCTTTGCAGCACATGATAGCACTGTCTGAAACAATCCTACCATTGTCATACTAGTGCAAACCAAACAAAAAATGGCTTCCTTTTTCAGAACAGTTGACAATGGAATCAAACTTTCCTCCTTGTTGTCCATCCCTGATGTCAGCGATGTCCATACCATGAACAAAATCACTTCTGATGAACTCAATTGTTTGGTTATGCATGAGGACACACCAGAGGCATCGCAACTGCTGGGGCACTTGCTGTCTCATATTTTTAAACCTTTCAAGGTCCCTCTCCCTCATGTATCTGAACTCCAAATTCCTCTAAAAAAAATCATCCATCCCAATGAACACATCAGATTGTAATATCATGGCTTATCGCCAGATTCTCTCATGCCACTATACAACATCGAAACAAGTACTTGGAACTGGGATCTTCCAGTTAATCCCCCTGGAGGTGGCTCGGACTCAGACACTAGTGGTGGTAGTAGCCACAGTGCTCCAGTGAGTCAGGACCCAGAGGTTGCAGAGAGTGCAACTTACGAAGAAATTTTCACATCCTTTATGAATGCTCTTGCTGGCTGTTTATCAGCATCACAACCCCTCCTAGAATGTGAGTGTTATGCAACTTGCACATGGAGTGCAGCCAATGCTCACAAGGCATTGCCCAGGAGTGAGATAAAGCGCAAACCTGACCTTGTTCTATCTGATGACATCACAGCAAAGTGGGGAAATATCAGGGTATCTGGTGAGCTGACACATAGTCTGTGCAAGCCTGCAATGTGGCTTGGGGAGGCTGCAGACACCCATGCCTACCTCATGATGAGCAAACAGCCCTGGAGGCACTTTGTGCTCATATTATCATTCACTAATGCCTATCGTCATCTCCGAGTCCTCCTGTATGATCACTCTGGTGGTGTGGTATCTACCTGCTTCAACATATATCGGCAACCCGACTTATTTTCTCATATAATCACTATTATCAATTTCGGCAATCTAGAATGTGTCGGGTATGATTCAATGGTTTCGTTCACAAAACTTGTTTCACCACTCCCCTCCAAAAATATCCATGAATATCGCCCAATCAAGAACATACCCTGATGTAGCAGTTCAGCAGACCCTGCCACATCCACTTCTGAATTCCTCGATGAACTGGGCTCTCAGGACCCATCCTCTGATGATGATCTCAAGTCTGTAGTCTCTGATGACTCTGGCTCTGAGGAATGCTTAACTGACTCAGAGGATGCACCTGAAGGAAATTCAATTGAATCTACTATGCAAATGGAAGAATTCCCCCCATCCCTCCCTCCAGTGCAACCCACTATGGTGTCCAGTGCCCCCCTCCTCAGCCTCACATCCCAAACTCCCCAGGACTTGACAGAGAGTATATCTTCCATCATGCTTTATCCTTCCCAATTTCCCTACTCTGTGCACTCACCTGAACCTTGTGGCAAGATCTGTGTAGGGGATGATGTGTACATTATCAAGTGAATTCTTTCTGCAAGCCAGGGGCTTGTTGGTTGTGGATGTACAGTGGCTCAAAAAACTGTCCACATGTTTTGACATTTTTCACTATCTATAATATTGTGTGAGAATGAACAAATGCCTCAAGAAAATGGTTATACCACATTGTAGTATGGCTTCAGGGCTTTCATTTGAGCCCTACACCGTGGGAATCGATGGAGATATGGTGGAGATACAAGGCTCACAAAATGGTGACTCATGCAGACAGTTTTTTGACTCAAGTATTTTACAATAATAACCAGGTATTCTAGTATTTTGTATGACCTCCCTTGGCTTTAATTACTGCCTCTATCCTTCTAGGCATACTCTCAATTAATTCCTGGCAATCCTCAGCTGTGATCCTCCCCCATTCCACTGCTACTCTCTCCCAAAGCTCCCATACTCCTTTAGGGGGGTTTTCATAGGCTTGAAGCTTTTTCTTGAGTGTTCCCCAGAGATGTTCAATGACATTGACATCAGGAGACTGTGCTGGCCAGTCAAGAACATTGATGTTATGTTCTTCAAACCATTCCTTAGCTCTTCTGGATGTGTGCTTGGGATCATTATCCTGTTGGAAAATGATATCTTCTTCATCAATCCCTGATTCTGCCAAGCTAGGCAGCAAGTGGTCATTTAAAATGTCCACATACTGCTCAGCATTCATCTTCCCCTCAACCTCAGCAAGCATTCCCACACCATTCCATCCCATACAGCCCCATACCATTAAAGAACCTCCTCCAAACTTGACAGTCTCATTAACCTCTCTGTCTGTTAGGCCATCTCCCTTCTTTTTCCATACATATACCTTCCCATCTGACCCAATCCTATTGATTTTGGTCTCATCTGACCATATAACATGCTTCCAGTCCTCTACAGTCCAGTATTGATGAGCTAAGGCAAAGGCTAGTCTTCTCTGCCTATGTTTGATGGAGAGAAGAGGCTTTTTCTTCTTTGTTACTGCCTTGAGATGAGCTGCCTTGAGAACATTCCTCACAGTTTGTTAAGAGACAGGGGTAGTGATGGTGGAATTGATATAATGGGTGGCTTGGACAGCATTATCAGCCTTTCCTGTAGTGATATGTTGGATAATAGCCCTTTTGTCAGTAGAGGTAAGCTTGGATGGACATCCTCCACAAGAGTTTTCCTTGTCTGGGTGGCTTTCTTTGATAAACTTGGCCACAGTGGACTTGCATACTCCAGTTCTAGAGGAAATTTGGTGAGCAGAGAGGCCAGCATAAGACAGAGAGAGGATATTATCTCTTTGAGCAGAGGAGATGGCTTTCATGGTGATTATGACTATGATACATGAGATATTCTGGTTTATATAGTTAGATATAGTCATAAAATAACATAATGACACCACTTCATAATTTATATAATAGCGGCATGATTTTTGTGGTGTCATAAATAATGATTTATATAGTTTTAATATACACTCAAAAAACTGTCCACATGAGTCATCAATTTATAAGCCTTATGTCTCCACCATGTCTCCACCAATTCCCACAGTGTAGGGCTCAAATGAAAGCCCTGAAGCCATACTACAATGTGGTATAAGCATGTCCTTGAGGCATTTGTTCATTCTCACACAATATCATAGATAGTGAAAAATGTCAAAACATGTGGACAGTTTTTTGAGCCACTGTATCTGCTATCTGGCCAGTCTGGGCGATGAAGATTTTATCATCAAGGACCACTGGGTTCTCGGCAAGCGGGAAGATGTCATTTTGAATGAGATAGAGATGTTGAAATTAATGCAAGGTGTCCCTGGCATTCCCAAGCTAGTAGATTATTGGCTCATCATGACATCAGAAGGTGAGGTCGACGTCACTCAAAGTTATCGCAAAAGAGAATGCCAGAGTACCAAGGGCACCAGTCGCACTCATGTCCACCTTGTCCTAAAGCTGTGTGCTCGCCCCCTCCACATATTTCAAATGCTGAAAGAGTTTGTGAGAGCATTAAGGGACATTGTGATCAGTAAGTGTCTACTAGTTGAGTTGTGTAAGAGCATTGAACTGAGGTCTCTTGTAGTCCAGAGAACGGCAGTGGAGGAGCACAGGATCCTGCATTGCAATTGTAGTCTGAATAATGCGATGATCCTGGATGATCTAGACCTCAGCAAGGGGTTCCTTATTGACTGGGAATTTGCAGTACACATTGCTGCAGACAATAAATATCCCATCGGTGGTATGGTAAGTACATTCATTTCATATTGAGTTTCAAATATTGATTCATTTTCCAGGGCACAGTCCCCTTCATGTCACGCATGCTTCTCAGCCAGGTTTCGCTTTTGCAGCAACAGGTGGTTGCAGATGTTGAGCAGAAAAAGCTGATGAAAGCAAACAAATCAAAATCAAAATCGAAGAATGCTCCTGCCCTGAAAACACCAAAAACCTCCTCAGATTCTTTAGTGCTGCCCATTTCTCATGTGGTCCAAGGTTACTCTGATGATCTTGAATCTCTTTTCTTCATATTCACTTGGGTTTGCATCAAGTTCTGCAGTCCCAATGGCATGGTCCATCAGGAGCACATGCCCAATTCCTTACTCAATCGCTGGACCAGCCTTGACCTGGCATCGTGTGCTGCCTTCAAGATCACCTTTTTTGCGAATCCATTGGATGAACAGCATCTCATAAACGAATTTCACCCATACTTCAAACCCCTCATCCCCCTCACAAAGGATTGGTGTGCAGCATTGAAGGATAACATGGTTAACCCTGTTACCTTTGATGCCATTCTTCACATACTCAACTTTCATCTTGAGGAGCTTTCCAATGATGAGGAGCTCCAATCCACTGTGACAATGCTCAAGAAAACTGCCACTGCTCTTAATGGCTTGAAATGTGCTGCTTCACTGTCTTTGCCCATGCCAAAGTGGAGGAAGTCGGACAACTCGCTGGAGACATCCGAACAGGTGTAACATATTGCATATCATATGCATTTTCTTATTAGTAGTTATCACACTGACTCGGATGGGTGTCACATATTTCCTGACATGTATATGACTACTTGTAGATCTACTCTGAGTCATGTACAACTGACATCAGTATTGTTTGCCTTATAGTTTACATTTTGCTTACATAATGATATGTTGACTTGGATATGCGACGCCAACAGCACACTTACAAATTGATTGCACATAATAACACAGCTGTGCATTGACTCAAAGGTGCAAATTTTATGTCTTTCTATCGGTGCACAGTCTTTGATTACCTCCATCAGCACTGCGTCCTGCATACAGTTGAGGCAAATACTGTAGCAGTACTCTGATAAGCATCACAATAACCATCAAGGCTATATGAGTCCTTCCACCAAGATTTGTATAAAATGGTGAGTCTGATTTGTAAATTACCTGTCTTGCTGCTTTCTTCATTGCAACATGCCTCCTCGTGCAGTAGCCAGTCCCAAGAAGAAAAGGTCCAAGCGCAAAGCTTCTGATGCTTCAAAGGCTAGCTTACTGAAGAAGCCCCATGCAGCAAATCCCATTGAAATTCCTAGCATGCCGCTTGTATCTCTTGGTCTTACCAAAGTTGATGCAGCGGACGCTGCTCCTCGACATTCTGGCCACCCCAATGCAGGAACAGGGGGTAGGAATGCCCAGCTGGAGAAAATTGGGGTAGTGTTAGAGGCTAAGTCCTGGAATCAGAAACCCAAGGGCACCACATCTCTTGGTATGGTCAATCCCATGAACCCTCAGGCTCCAGAACCACATCGTAAAGGCCAAAAGAATCGTCAGAAGGTATAACACACAGTCTTCATTGTCAGTGGTGTTGATTGTGCATTTAGGTGCTCCCCCCGCCATACAGTCCTGACCCCTTGGACTTCAGTGCCAGCCCCCAGGTGCCTTATTTTTTATTGCAGCAAAATGGCAGGAGGTTTGGTTTTGTGGCTTCAACCACCACTCGTGTTGTCCCTCCTGGCACAGAGCCCAATCCTCAAGTCTTGAATAACCCATATCTTGAGCAGCACAATCAGAATACTTTCACTGATCACTCCTGCAGTTCACAACCTCAAACAACTGCTACCTTGTCAGATTACAATATAGACCCGGCCCTGCATAAGGAGGGTGACATCGCTAGGCAAGGACTTCATGCAAGGCTGGTAGGATCCGATCTGGAGGACAGCGACTCTAGCGGTAGCAGTACCGACACTGACATTGACAAAGACAATGACAAAGAGGGTAAGGACAAGGGCAAGGGTGAGGACAAGGACAAGGACAAGGACAAAGGAGACAAAGGAGACAAAGGAGAGAATAATGAATCCCAGTTTGGTTGGGGGGAAGCTCACCAACGGCAGAAGGGACATCCAGGTAAGAATTTCATGTTAGGAGTACCCTCACTGACTCAATTTACAGGATTTTCGGCTGAAGGACTCCCTACTCAGGCTCGAGTTGCTCACCCTCTGACACCAGACTTTGAATTTCAATACTCATGCAATGAAGATGAAGACTCTGCCCGGATGCATCTCAACAACAGCAACCAGGTATTATTTTCATTATTTGTTTGCATCATGCTCACAGTTTCTCACCTTTTAAGCCTCTGGGCACCTTACCAGGAGTGCAGCAGGAACAATCAGATCCTCAGGTGAGAGAGTAGTTCTGTTTTAGATGAGGCTCACAATATTTCAAAGACTAACACCTCAAAGGCTGAGGATGTATTGAAGCACCACCATAAGAAAAATGGTCAGCCTCACCTTCCCAACCCTGAAATGCTCCAGCTGTTGAATCAAGTGGCGGAGTCTGTTGACCAAGTTCAGCACCAGTCAAAATCCAAGAAACCCAAGGGATCTGATGGGCTGAGGCCTGATCAACTGGCTTGGTATGGACCACACTGGAAAAGTTTTCTCGAGGAGGCCAAAGGAGAGTGTCACAGGCAGCATGCCCTGGAAAACCCATTCCCACCTTTAGTCAAGGAGATGCCAGGAACCATCTCCGAGGTTCTACTTTCAGTTCTGGTCACATGGGACAAGAACAGTAGACAGTTTGAAGCTGGTACATACTTGTTTGTTCCTGAACTAATATCCTGAACTAATCTGTTTCATATCATGATGCAGGGATCTGGCCAGAGCAGCAATATAACATGATGCGATTGGTGTGTGATTTACTTACATTCATAATTCCTTGTTGACACATCTCACATTTGTACTACAGTTGTATGACGACCTGTCAACTTGGCAGTCTGATCTGAAGAAGACTGCAATAAACATTGTGCCACTATCATACTTGCTTTTGCCTCCACCTTCAGTTCCTCCTCAACAACATGCAACTTGGGTTGAAAATGCTGCTAAAAATTTACTCCAGGGTGGTTTGTATTTACAGTTTGGAATAGACAAGAATGTAAGTGATTTTGCGCTAAATATGCCCATACTCATGGCAAGATCAACAGGGGCAAACAAGGAACTTGGCTAATCCTGCCCTCCACAATGCATCCATTGCTTGTTTTTTACACAGGACCTTACCGGATTGCATGGAGGCAGCCAGATCATTTTCACACACAATTGCCAATATCATGCTTAGCCTTAGTTGCCACAGTGGTGATGTGTTCTCCTCCCCTTGATGTCATGCTCATGTACTGATTTTTCTATCTATAGTTCCACTGCGTCTTTGATGGTCTTGAGAAGAATGGTAATGGTAAACATTATCCGAATTTCTCCTCGAAGAAATACTTGCCGATCTACCAGAAAATGCTCGACATCATCAAAAATACCCTCAAGGACAAATATCATGGCCCTAGATTGTCAGCACAACTTCAAGAATGGGCTGAAGCCGGATGGTAAGTTCTTTTCATATGAAAAACCTCAACTGATTTCATTCATACAGGGCCGAAAATCTCAAGCTTGATGGTGGCACTATGGAGGCAAGACATGACCACCTCCAGGTTATTCTGGACTAAATCTTTGTATTCCACACTTTTCACTTACCCTGTAGTCGCATTTCTTTTGATTCATCATTTACTACTACTGTTATGTGCTTTTGTGTTTCCATGATCTGAGATTCAATATATGTCATTTGTGGCTATGCTACTGTATTGAGTGAAAAAATATGTACAATGAGCAATGTCTGCACAACTCCCATTTTCTGAGTGGTCTGTGAGTGTCTGTACAGCCATAGACAGAGGAAACCAGTGCTATTTAGTCCTCACTGGGTGTGTCTGTGGGCATCTGTACAGGGATTGACAGAAAGGTCTGCTACTGTAGTAAGCTAGGTAGTAGGGACCAAGCTATATGGCTGGGATGCTGTACAGCTCTGTACAGCTCTGTACAGAACATTATAGTTTACTGATGTTTTGAGCTAGCACATGCAAATCATCATGAATCATTTTGGTCTATAGTAATTAAATGGTCCTGCATTGTCAACAAGTATTTCTATGTCTTTTATTTTTTGAATGATTGTGTTGTGCAAATGTTATGATACAATATATACCGTTTGGAGACAATTTGGCACACTGATCAGTGTTGGGAAGGCAAACTCACACCAATTTTGGCCTCAGAAGTGCTTGGAACATTAGTTCTGACAGATATCTAGCTAAAATGACAACATCCGAGGTTGATTTGCCAGACTACTGATGCACAAGTGAAGGATATGTTATCTGGTGTGATAATCTACCACAAGACATTACATCATTTTAAAATCCCGCCATTCCACAACAGATTTTTCATGGCACCACGTAAAGCACTGGACATGCATGGTCAAGTCGAAAGTTGCACGCAAAGGCAAAGAGGAGAAACTCCAAAAAGCCTGCAAAAAACTTCAGGGACGATAAATGTTGGTGCAAGGGGGCTGACCTCACAGGCAGGAATTCAGGCTTGGGAGGCTGATAAAGCCCAATGTGCAGAGAAGGCAAGGAAAAAGGCTGATGCAACTCAGTGGCAAGAAGAGCAGGAAACTGCTCACATCACTGCTCATGCTGCCCATGGACCAACCACAGTGTTTAGCAGCGCACTTTCAAGTAAAAGCAAGGCTGACCTGCTTGAGCAAGCTCAAGCACTTGGCATTTCCCTGGAAAATGCTTGGAACAATGGAGATCAGTGTGAGTGCATTCAGGCACACCTCAATAACAATCCTGCCCTCAAGACTGATCCTAAATTTGCTGGATTGTATGGGCACACACGTGGACAAAAATGCGCACATCCCACCAGCATGATGGCATCAAATGAGAACATTCCACCAGATGTTGAGTTCTCTATGCATCCACCTGCAATGTGCCAAAGACTTGATGTTGATGGTCACTGGCAGCCTTTGAATGATGCTACAGAGATGAATCAACCAATTGCAGGACCTTCACGCATACCTATTGCGACTCACGGTACAAATGAAGACAATTTACTCACTTCTAATGATGCTAATCATGACGTCTGTGGTAACATACTACCCCATTATCCATCTAATCATCACTTTTACATGTTTCCATATCATCACACAGATTAATTCACGCACATACTACATTCTCATACTCGCACACACTGTAGCATCACCACACATAGAACACATATTCAAACCAATAATATACATACATGTTATCATTTCTACTGTCATCGAGCGGGCACCTTGAACTTGAACTTGCGTGTTGTGCAGCGGACTTTTAACCGGCAACGTCGGCAACGTGTGACGCAGTGTGACAAATGCACGAACACTAGGTGAGATAGACTAAGGGTGCTCGGTCATGCTGCAGTAACACAACTCATCAACTTTTTTGTATAAAAAAATTTGGGCCATATTATTGAGATGGTAATCTATCTACCTATAACTATCCGATATTGATTTTGTGTTGTGGGTCGAGAGCAATACGTGAAACTGTCAAAAACGCACGAACACTCGGGCACATAGGCTTATAAAAATACTGTGGGCAGCCTAAATATAGTCTTACGGCTAAATATATACTTGGATAACCTACCGGTTATATTCAAGGTTTGTTTTCCTAGCAGTCACTGCTGAGTGCTGCGGAACTCTCTGAAGCGCTGCAGTAGAGGTGAACGCCCCTAGTAACTTAGTAAGAAACATCGAATTACATCACTGTTACTAGTTGGTAACAGTTAGGGTGACACACAGGTGGTTCACTGATGGAAGTATCTGTCGCTTGAACAAACACAGCACAGACACGGATAATCATGATTCACCGCCGACATTATTTTCATGAGGTACGCCCAACTAGACAAGGCATATGTTTCATTGCAGGTGGGCCAATTTTGTTGAATTACCTTTTGTAGGCACGAGTTGAGGCCGCATCATGACATGCTGTATGTCATTATTAGTCCATCGATAGCCCTGTTGTAGTGCCTTTGGTGGTAAATTGGAACTTTGATTGGATTTCAGGACAAGTAATTCTAACTATTCCCTTGTTCAAAGAATTAGCTTGGTATGTTCCCGTGATTAATGTTAGAGAGGTCTTTGCTGATTTTTTCGCTGTCCTTAGCCTGATTTCTACCCCCTCAAAGTGTACTGGGCCATATTCTATCAAGACAGTTGAACTATCTAAGCGCTGGTACGTTGCAGACGCTTGTACAGCAATCTGATCCGACTTATTGAGACCTCGTTGTACTTTCTATAAAGGCACTCTTACCAAGCACGGAACAAGGTGGAAACATGTTGGCCATGACAGCCATGAGAGGAACCTAGCCAAGGTGCAACAGCCATTTGGAGTGATGTCTGCTCATTCATGGCTAACTACTGAGAATAGCAATTCGCGATGCCGACGAGAGGTTCGGGAAAACTCGGTACGATGTGTACAACTTTAATTCGACCATCACAGCCCTCAAGACGCAAGAGAACCCTACACCTTATAAGTATCGTATGTGAGTCATCAGCGATTAGCGGCTCATCAATCTATTCAGATCCCCCATTCAATCTGCGCAATCTCATGTCGGAACAAGAAGTCGCTGGTCTCCTCTGGAATAACTATATTTCCGGTTCGTCAGTTCCTTATAACCGATGTGTAAGCGAACCATCGTGTTGAAACATCGGTTTTAGTGCCAATGTTTACCCTGATGTCCTATGAGTACCGTTAGTAACCTTCCGGAGCCTTGCACTGCCGCTGAACGAAATATTTTCCAGTCCTTCTGTTGGACAAGGAGGTAATAAAGATCTTCTCTTCTGTCAGTCAAGTGCTTATCATTGTTATAATCGGCGTAGGTTAAATATGTCTGGGTCAGCCTTACACCACATCTGCACAATCATATCAGGCCGGAGATTAACTGAATCTCTAGGAACGACCATGGTCAATAATGTCACTCCTGTACCTCATTGTAAGTTTTGTCGTGTCAAGGGCGTTTTGTTTTGTGTTATTTATTTGCCACGCTAGGTTCGATATTTTGGTCTTTTCCTGGCACTGTACGTCGTTGTGGCTTCTTGACATGGTGCATATACATACTAACACTCGCATAAGGCTGTGCGGTTCATGTATGTAACCCTGTGCCTACAGAGCTATTATCAACTGACTAATGCCAGGGGGAGGGCTGCTGTATATGCCTGAATCAGTCAGTGTATCAATGCTTTCTATCTAAAGAGTTTGTGACTGACACACATTCTAGCCGTAAGTCCCAAGTTCGTCTTAGAGCCAATTCTCACTCGTCGTTGTCCTCTTATATAGCTGCAAGTATATCGTTTTCAAGCTGATGCGCATCCACTTACCATTAAGGTAAATTAGGTTACGGTCTTATCGTTCTAATTGAATGGGGGTTTTCAGTGTATTTTTGCTTTGCGGAAGGTAAGTTACACATTCTCGCATCTCGGTACGCATCCCAATCTTACATCCGCAGCCATTCTCATATGGCGCCTTTACGCACTATGCAACCAATCTAAGCTCCTGCTTTATGTTCTAGTGGGATTGTTTTTGCCCATTGTCGCCCTCTCGATCGGGACGGACATTTATTTATACAGTCGACCTAACGTGTTCTCAGGTGAATTTTTACTCGGATGGAGTTTGCTGCAAGCTGACCCCGTCTCATTGGATAGTGAAAGAAATCATAACTCCGCACGCCAAGTACTGCACTCTTTCCCGCAACACGGGGCCTATGCCTGCGATCTATACTTCCATCCCCATTGTGTGCTATGATGTCTTATTAGTGATTCTCGCGGCTGCCATCCTCGTGAGGCACCTTAAGGAACGGAGGGAAATCCAAATGAGGGCTAATACCTATATGGTCATGATCGTCCGGTATCATATCATGTACTTTGCCCTGTAAGTCCTCTTCATCTAGTGAGTCCTAGAAGTACCCATTGATTCCCGCTAGGAATTTGACAAACCAAATCTTACTGGTTATATTATGGGCTCATATTCCGGTATGATGCTTTCAAAGGATTATACAGAGAGATCAGCTAAACATTTACACTGTTAGACCTCGGTGACGAGTCTCTCGGAGCTTTTCAACGACACCGCGCCATTTATTCTCGCTCCCCGTCTCATCATCAGTATTTGGGATACACATGCCCAAGATGATTGCGTAGAAGTCAGTAAACTGTTCGAGGATTGTACATGTTGGACTTTTCCTCCGGGTTCCGAACAGCACGAGATGGACTCCGTTGTCGTATAATTATGGCATGCTGATTCCTCAGTATGAAGAAAAGTGATCGGGGTTGAATGAGGCATATTTATGAATGAATAACTTATAGTCGTGTAGCGCCTGATAGCGTGGTAGTTATGTACGTATCATATCCCTTCCGGTGCAACAAGCACCCCACAGGAGTCGACGCTTTCATAAAACTTGTATTTCTAGCTACTTAAACAAAAAATTCCCAACATAGATAGCATTCTCTCAAGTTTTGATACAACTCATCGAGGTTGAACGACGAGGCAGAATCGAGTGAGATAGTTGAAAGTGCCGAAGTCACGCAGCGGAGTTTCAATATGTAACTACATTTCGGAAGCGCCGACAGCTTGTGCTGGATGTTCTCTGCGCTCGCCGCTAACCCAGCTCTCCACGTCCTACAATGCAATATGACAATTTACCTGGCGGTCCTGTTGCATCATCATCGAACTTACGTAGACAACCTCATCCATACAATGTACATGGTCCGAGTCTCACTACATCCCGCTCAAGTTTACAACTACAGCACTACTGGTTACCCTCATAAATATTTAATACTAAATAATAAATTCAGTACTTGCTTAGCGACTGGCTTGGATAAGCGAAGCCCAAGCCAGAGCATCCAGCAGAGCGTCGCGAGGCAGACCATGTTCTCAGCACCCGCTGCAGTCACCTGTCTTCGAGGATAAGGGTCTGTTAGCTAGGGCAAGAGGATGCTAGGATGCCAGTGGCAGGGATGGCAGTGTTTTCGAACCTGCGAAAGTTCTCATCATTGGGCTAGTCACCGCCACCCCAACCGCGCCGACCTTATTCTGTATAGGATAATACTGAACTTATATACCTAGTAGGAGTAAAGGTTTCGTTGCACGACTGAAACCACATCCGATGACCAGCCAGCTGCATACAGTAACTGTGACCCACCGACGCAGTAGTTTACAGGTAGGAAGCTTCAGACCCCAGGCCTCTTGGCCTTTAGGACATCGGGGCCCCATTTCAGTTGTTTCTGAACTGAATGGAATTGGTCTCTCTGTGCAGAAATGATGCTGGACCCACATTGATTGCACCGGCAGAGATAATACCCTGTTATCATTCAGATCTTACTCAGTTCCTTCACTTAATGGATAGTGAACACTCAAGCTTGAGGAACTGAACAGTAGATTCAGAGGCAACTTGGGTCTTTCAACTGCTTAAACACATTTAAGTAGCTGTTCTCAATCCCCCAGGCCATGTCGTGGATGTGTTACTAGCTACTGCATACTGACCCCAGGATGTCCTTCCCTCGCCTTATTGGATATGGTGTGCTTACCCTTGCAGTATGGAAGCTCGTTTGGAGGCTGGCCTCCAGAAAGGCAAATGTCCTAGATGTTGCAGGCCCAGAAAGCAATCACTGGTGGAAAGGTTAGGTTTCTCCTGCATTCAGCCACAGATTGCTGCATATTGGATGCTCATGGACATCAATGCAGGCAACATGGAGTCAGTATTTGTGGACAGTTTTGAATGCTGCTTGAAGATTGCAGCTGACTATGGTGGAGCTATCAAAATCCATGCCTTGTTTGGCATGTGTGGTATGCATCCCTGCAAAAGGCATATTATTGATGCATGGCCCATAGGAGGAATGGCTGTTTGTATCAGATCCACGTGCACTCCACCATATCCTTGTTGGAGTGGGCTATGCCCGAAGACTCTGCTATCGAAGGACAATGAAGACCTGAAGCCTGCTACTGCATCTGAAGGCTCTATGACTCTCTCCTTGGCTAAACCCGGCTCAAACACCGCCAAATGCTCCTCTACTCTCACCCTCTGCCTAGGGGTCCCCTACTCCATGTGCCCCCCTTTGAAAACAGCGATGCTCTTGTTGCTATCACTTCTGCTTCATCTTCAACGTCTCTGCTTTTTTACTCTTCCCCTTCACTTTCTTCTTCACTCTCTTTGTCTTCTTATGTTGTTTCTGTATCTTCTTCATCTTGTTCTTCGTCTGCACACTGGTCTTGACTTTCTTCATTTATGTTTATGTTTTCTTCATTCTGCTGCCCTGACTCTCTTCTTTTCTGTTCTTCTGCTAGCTTGGTGCCTTCCCTTGGGTGGAAGGCTCTTAGATGTCGTATGTGGAATTCACCTGATAACAATTTGCTGTTAATTGTTTCTATGCAATATGAGTTCTGTATCCATTCTGTTATGCAGTGTGGGGGGGACCATTTCAGTATCACTTTGCATTTCGCTTCGAGCATGTTATGCTGATTGCTATAAAAGAATTGAATGAGCTGTCCTGCTGCGAATATGACTTCCCTTGGTGAGCAGGCTAGTACTCTTTTATCAAATGCAGCTTTCCTTTTTACAGCGTGTTGGACTATAGCCTTGTAGCCATTGAGGTGCTGTTGTGTGATGTATGCCATGTGAACGTTGGCATCTGACAGCTGTAGCGCTGAAGTGCAGTTAGCTAGATTGGTTCATGGGGTGTTGATTACTTGGCCTAGTAATAACTCCTTTGGCAAAAACTTCAGTGCCAGTAGTATACAGTGGTTCAATGCTACTACTGCTTCTTCTAGATGGTTTGGCCATGTTTTCGGTAGCTTGTCCCATGAGATTGCTTCATAGTCATCTTCACCGAGATTTGGTGTGCACAATCTCTTGAGTACGTGTAGCAGAATCTTATTTGTGCCTTCTACCAGCCCATTGACCCATGGTGAGTATGCTGCTACAATATGAGTTTTGCAGGACCACTTAGCACAATAGTTTCGGACTTCTTCGTTATTGAAGTGTTTTCCTCCATTGCTCATGAAGGTCTCTGAAGACATGAAGTTGTAGAATATTTTGGATAAGCTGTCAATCGTTGTGCATGCTGTCCCTGCTGATTTGTATTTGAAGACCCAGACATGTTGTGAGAAGGTATCAAGGTAGACACCTAGGTGTGGTATCCTCTTCCTTTTGGGAGGGTCAGGTAGTCTCTGACTAGCAATTCAAATGGGTGTCTGTGGGTGATCGGTTCCAAGAGTGAGTGCAAGTGTTGTGTTCTGAAATTTTTACACTTAGTGCAGTTTCCTATTGCTTCTAGAATTGATGCATCGAGTCCTGTGCTGTAAATTTGGTCAGTTAATACAATCTTGATAGCATCTCTTCCCCAATGTCCTTTGTTTTCGTGCTGTTCCTTTACTAATTGCTTTGCTTCTTCTTTAGTGACACACTCTACCTTGCTGTGAGCTTGTACTGCTGTTCCTCCTCGTAAATGCCATAACTTACCCTCCTCTATCAGATACTGTGATGCTTGGTGTCTTGCCCATTTCCGGTCGCATAAGGGTCTTGTTTCATCCATTTCTAATATTGATTCCACTACTTCTAGAAAAACTGGCTCGTTAGCGAATTGTTCTTGTAATGGACTTACCATTTTTTGCTGCATTGTTGGCTCGGTGAGTAGAATGTTGTTGGTTAGTCCTGAATTTGCTTCCCAATCTTCACTAACCATCCATTCACTTCTGTCGTTTAGCCCTGCATCTCTTGGTTGGCCTTCCCACTGTCGGCTGAGTCCATCTGCGATGACATTTAGCTTGCCTGGAACGTGGTGTACATCTACGATCCTGTGCGCTATGATTCCGTCTCTCCACCTTGCATGTGCTGCATTGAGCTGTTCACTCATCAAGACATCTCATAGGGCCTGGCAATCCATTTCTATCTCTGTGGGGAATCCCCAGATGATATCTGCAAACTTGTCAAGTCCGAACTTCAATGCTGTGAACTCAAGGATAAATGGTTTGTATTTCTGTTCTGCTCTTGATGTGCATTTGGATGCAAAGCCAATAGGAAGTAGGTGTTCTGTCCATTTGTCTGATGGCTTCTGTAGCCATACTCATTGGCTTAGTACAGCTGCAAATCCTTCCTGGCATCTGTCCGATGTGACTACAAAATTTGATCCGTCATATTTCAGTGCTTGCAATATGGGCCTTGCTACTAAAGCTGCCTTTAAGTCTAGGAATGCTGTTGTGTGTGCTTCTGTCCAGTGCTCATCAAGCTTGAAGTCCTGTAAGGTGCATCGATAAGTGCTCTTTGAGTATGGTATCTTGAGTGGTGCTGCTTTGACTAGGTCTCTTAATGGTCCTTCCTGTCAGGCATACGCTTGTATTAGGTCTCAGAAGTGACTTGTCAGTCCTAGGAAGGATTCTAAATTAAGCACATCAGTGGGTTGTTTCCAGTTAACGATAGCGGTAAGCTTCTCTAAGTCTGGTTGAACTCCTTTTGGTCCTACAGTAGCTCCTGCGAACATAGTTTCCGTCATGAATAGGCAACATTTTGTTGGGGATAATGATAGTTTGCGTTCTCAGCATCTCTGAAAGATCTGTTCTAGTTTTCTCAGCATCCCATCAAATGTGTTATCTGCACATCCTCCATCGTCTATGAAGAGTTCCATTATGCTGCTTGCTAGTAAGTCATGTAAATGGTTAGCCATCATTTCACAAAACGTAGATGGTGCTCCTGTGAGGCCCATTGGCATCCTTTTATACCAAAAATACCCCCTTCCTTCAACATAAAATGCTGTGTATGGCCTTGATTCCTGTGGTATTTCAACAGCATAGAATCCTGAGGCAAAATCGAACACTGAGACATACCTATGTCCACTTAGGTGCTGTTGCTTTGTTCTTATGTCTCCTTGGGGCATCAGTGCGATCACTGTGTGTTTATTTATCTCATTGAAATTCTGACATATATGCCATTTCTGTGGGGCTGGTGGTGGCTTTGGTGGTTCTTCTGTTTCGATATCCCATTCCAGTAATGTAAATGCCAGTGGCTTCCCGTGCTGCTTACATTGTTCATTAACCCAGTGTTGCAGCTCCTCAAGTGTCAATCTGCCTTGTTCATGAGCTTTTTGGGCGAGAACTGTTGTGGCGCAGCACTTGACCGCTTCTGGGGGTGCTTTCTCTATAATACCTGCCGTTAGCATCTCATCGATCTTGCTATGTAGAAATTGGGTCTGGGGTGGTGTTAGTGCTTTTTGATGGACTCAGGTGCAAAACATGGTGTCTTGAGGTATGTCAAGTTGATGTTCTGCTCCTGGAACTGGCAATACTTCTGACAACAAACATGCAAAGATGTCAGCATATTGGGAGACGAGTTCCTTAACTTTTTCTCGTTCCTCGGGACTAAGGTCGTCTCCGATTTGTACTGACTTCACTATGTACTCCACTCTTTTTGGATTTCCAGGATCCATGGTTCTTGTGAAAGTGTCTGCGTCGTTGAGGAAGTTCATTGGAGTGTTGTCATGTGATGCTTCATTGTCATTGCTTGGTGGTTCCATTGGTGTGTCTTGCTTTGTCATAGTCTCTCAAACTTCATTCTGATTGCTGATGGTCGTTGAGATCCCATTTCCTGTTATAAGGACTGTGTCAGTTTCATACTCATGTATAGCTTTAAATACCTGTAGCATTGGTTTCCCGAGCAAGAACTTCCATCCTCCTCCACTATCAAAGACTTTGAACTCTCCTTGTGCTTCAACTCCTGCTATTGTGACTTCACCTTTCCACATTCCCTTTGATGGGACCAGTGCACCATTGGCCATTCTTAGTTTCTTTACTGACGCCTTCCAGTTCCCTAGGCGGTGCTTGATGCTGTCGAAGACCATCGTGCACATTGCGCTAATCATTGTGCCTTTGTCGAAGAGCGCTTTGACTTGTACAATCTCTCCTTTTGGTCCTGTGAATGCGATGTAGTGCAAAAAGGGTTGGCAGTTCCAGTGCATTCCTTCCTCATTCATCAAATACAGATCAATAACATCGCATTGTTCACTAGCAGGCTGCATAACAACATGGTTTGTAAGATGAATGTGTTTGACGGGGAAGGTATGTCAGTCCTCGTGTGTCTCCTCCTCACACACGAGGACTGGTTGTCCAGACGGATGAGGTGCTAATTGTTCTCAGGTCATTCAGCTATCCTCTATGCCAATGACCCATTCCCATTTCCCTGCTCCAGAGTCTCTTCCATCACAAGATTGACTTGGGGGGCTGTGGCTCTGTTGAATGTGCCAAGAATTTGTGTGCAGTTGCTGTGCCATATGCTCTCGTTCTTCGGGAGTTGAGCATCTGCTGGGATAGGGCATCTTGGCCTGATGTGTCCATGTGCGCCACATCTAAAACATTCACCAGAGCATATTTGTGCTGTTCCTGGGGTTAGTGGGTATGGTGTTTTCTCTGTGCACCTTGCTCTTTCTCCCCATTTTACTGACCACTGCCTTAACTGCTCTCCATATGCTGTATGTCCTGTATCCGTATCTGCATGGTGCTGCAGCTTGTTGACATACGTGCATAGTGTGTCTTTCTCTTCTTGTGTGGGTGGTTGTCCTCTGGGATACTGATTGGTTGTTGGTTGGTTGGCTGTGACATAGTGTACTGCTCTTCATGGTGTCATGACACTGGAAGGTGCATTTCCTATAGTTCTTGAAGGCATTGTTGCTTTTGGTGTTAGTGTGTTAGATCCAATCATTGTTTGTTGCATCTGTAGACATAACACCTTGATAGGGTCTTGTCGACTTTCCAGCCACACGATGTGTGCATTCTGAGCTCTTTCTGCCTCCTTCCTCTCCTTGACTCTCTTTGCCTTTTCTTGTAAGGTATTGATATTGATGCTTTTGATTTTGTTTAGGAAGGCATCCCAGTCTGCGGGCACTGCTGATGTTAGGTCTCTGAGAGCTTGCGGGAGTGCCTCCCAGACTGGTTGAATTAGAATGGGTACGTGTTCTACTCCTGCATCCTTTACCAGCATCTTTAACTTGTTGTGGAACTGGATATGCGCCCATGTTGCAATGCCTGCTACCGTGACTCGTTCTCTGACTTCTTCCTCTTTGAACTGCAACTCCAGTAAGTCTTTCTGGTGCTCCCTTTGCGTCTTTCCTGTGACAACTATTGCTGGCCACTTTGCCAGGAATGCTGCTTTGGCTTGCGTCCATGTGGCTTTCTGTGATGTTCCTAGGCCCGTCCACCATATGTCCGTGTCTGAACCTGCTGATATGAATGTGCCAAGCAGTAAGATCATTATCGCTTCATCTGAGATATGATTGACCATGATGTACGCTTCAAGACTTCATACAAAGTTAGCTGAGTTTTCGTTGTCACATCCGTGGAACAATGGTGGGGAGTTGGCTGATGTCGTTGACATTGTAGCTTTGGTTGTCTGTATCTGTTTTGGTATAACAGTAGGTTTTATATTAGACTTTGTTGGCACTACTGTTGGCTGTGCTGATGGGACAGTTTGGATGTTTGGCTCTCTAGGGATGGCTGGTGGGACACCTGTATCCCACTGGAAAGCTGGGAGGAGTATTGCATTAGACTTTGGTGCACCAGATAACGACTCTTCATCATCTTCTCTTAAATCCTCACTAACTTCATGATCTGGGACCTCACAATCTTCCGATTCTTCCTCGTCTGGCATAAGTTGCTGTTTGTTGGTCTCTGGCATGTTGAGAGGTGATGAAGCGGTCAAGGTGAACATGCTACTAGAGTTTTCAGTGTCCGAAAGGGACTTGTGCAGGAATCTGCCTCCTGGTCCTCTGAGAGGTAAATTCTTTCTCTTAGGCAGCTTGGCTAAAGGGACTTGTTTATTGTCAGTATTGTTTCTCAGTTCATGAATGAGGATGCTATGCTTTGTAATGTGTTCTCCTCGTGTTTCTTGACTTTTTTGCGCTTGACTAGTTAGGTTGTTTGCTCATGTATTCCATGAGGCTTCTGGTTTCTGCATCTGGACTCTGGGCTCTAAAACTCTATGCTCTAAGCTCTGGACTCTGGGCTCTATGGGGAAGACCAAATGCGAAGCTTTGGTTGAGGCGAACCTGCTCTGTTCACCAGTTGGAGTGGGCTATGCCCGAAGACTCTGCTATCGAAGGACAACGAAGACCTGAAGCCTGCTACTGCATCCGAAGGCTCTATGACTCTCTCCTCGGCTAAACCCGGCTCAAACACCGCCAAATGCTCCTCTACTCTCACCCTCTGCCTAGGGGTCCCCTACTCCATTGTCAAGGAGCAGCATATCTTTGAGGAAGTTGATAATTTTATACTGTGAGCGTCAAGTATTGTTCGAACATTCCTCATTGACCCTTCTCAAGTTCTAACAAGCTCGTCTTCAGCGATGGTCTTATTTCTACGCTAGGTAAACCTTGGTCAATTACCACCAACCTGTTCTCATCGCTGCGCAGGGGAACAGCACCGAAAGCAACGCAAAATGCTCAATCCGGTGTTTTCCATCTCTAATATGCGGGAGCTTCTGCCCATTATTCAAACCATCTCCCATCAGCTAAAATCCATTCTCGTGTCTAATCTTGCTACCCACTGTGAGCATGGTCATGCACGCCGTCATCCATAACTTCACTGTTGGCACGTACAGATCCAGTAGAACTCGACGTGTTACCTTGGCTCTCTCGCAGTTCTCTGGATTGCATCTGTGAGGGCATGCTGGGCTACCATTCAGCTGCATTAGACACAGGAAATAAGAATGAATATACAGAGGCACTACGGATGCTAGGGTGCGTACACTAGTCTGCTGGTGAATTATCCTTTGACATGTTTGGTCTCGCAGCCCATCCATCAGTAAAACCATGTTCTTTCGATCCATCGTTCCGGTAGTTATGTGCAATTTCTCTCTTTACTGGTGTAAAAAGATAGCAGACTGGCTCACAATAAGTTGGTTGCCGACACAAACAATGAGGGATTTTAGAGAACTACGCCACATAGTTGAAATCATGGACTCAGGCAGTAGAAACATTTTTCAAGAGAAGAAGGCTGCGCTGTCGATACCCTCCCCCATGTCCTCACAGTCCCATGACACGTCGGGAGGAACGAGGGGAAAAGATATCATGTCTATCATGCGTACGTAACCACCAACCATGGAATACCCATTTTCACGTGGGACATGCGCAGTCAAAGCAAATGCCTCATCTGCCGAAGGGGATAGACTGAGTGACATTGAGCTCCTTGGACAGATGAAGTCAGTCCTGATGACTTCTCTGCGGCGCAACTAATTTTTCTGTGCAATAGCGTAATGATTTTTGCTGGTCTCGAGACAATGACAGCAGCAGTGGCCTGTGCATTGTACATGCTCGCTAAGCATCCTCACGTCCAGCAACAATTACGAGCAGAGATCTGTGATGCCGCGACTGCACACCAGGCCGTTGACAATGACCATTCGCACGCCAAAGATGGCTTCAGGTCCGTCAGACTGTCATACGATTCATTAATGAATCTTCCTTTCCTGGGCGCAGTCGTCCGAGAGACGTTAAGGCTCTATCCGTCACTTCCTGTCCTCGGTCGACGGTTAGTTTTTTGAGGAGAGATATTATTTTCTGACTCACTCTTCCGAAAAACGACATCAGCAACGTCAGTGCCATTACAGTTCCCCGTTCGATCTGTATCTGGCGAAGAGATCAATACCATTTCTGTGGCTAAGCGCCAGGCATTGGTCATATCCATCCTTAATGCGAATCATAACCAAGCTGTCTGGGGCGAAGATGCATCGGAATGGAAACCTGAGTGATGGCTCAACTCGGCCCAAGGTCAGCTTTTGTGCATACAAAAGAGGTAGTTATTTATCAAGATTCTTTTAGCTGGAGTCAAGGATGGAGTGAGATACACAGGTGTTTACTCATCCATGTGTGTCACAGCGATCATTTTGTTTCATATGTCTGACTGCACATCCTTCAGGATGACGTTCCTTGCGGGCAATCGTTCTTGCATGTACGACGTCAATCTTCTGAGGCTGAATCTGTTTTAACGATCCACTTCCCTAACAGAGGCTTGAAATTCGCCGAAATAGAAATAAGTGAGTCACTCAAGCTGTCGGCCATTCTTCACAACGACAAGTATTCTCTTCACCAGAGGACGTATTAGCAACTCTTGTGCCAGACATACATTTCGCTCTGCCATCAGAACCAGACGAAAATGGGCACGTGAAGGAAATCTACTGGAAAATGTCCGGTTTCCACACACCAGTAGTTAAGGCGCCTGCAGGAGATAGTGAAACGCCTCACCTGCCCTTGAGCTTGCGGCTCGTTCAGGAGTGATTGTTTTTCGTGATAATGTAAGGTCACTATGTTCTCTACGCCCCGACCAGCGCTTCAAACAAACGCACACGCAGTTCGCGTATCTCACCGATGCGAAGCTCTTCGCATCCGAGATACGTGGGTACATTTCTTTATTTCCTTGTGTGACATCTACTTTGTACCATAGACGCCTCATTTCCCTTATCTATCGCGCCACCAAACGACTTCGATGTCGTTCGATCTTAAGTTTCCTTTCATCATCGTACCCTTCTCCCTTTGTCTTAAACACCCCCTTTCAGTTTCATGTATATTCAACCAAACTACCTTGCTTTGATTCTCTTATGCTCATTCTGGCGCTCGCGAACGTATATATGCAGCTATGTACACTCAATTTCGATACCAATGTTTTCCCCGCTCCAGGCACGTCCTAAAGTCCTAATGAAAGTTTCTGTCTCTAAACGCTTGTCATAACTCGTTCTCGTATTCTCATTACAGAACGTCTTTTATCTACTTGTCTCGAAACCATTCCCCGTCGAACTCATTACCAACCTTACAGGGGATTGTTGGTTACGTGCAATTCATTATGTGGCTATGTAGACGTTATGGCTTGATGATTTTACACGTTCGCAGCGGTCACTGGTGAGCATTAGTGAATTCCTGAGTCCATGATATGGTACTAGTGCCATACCCCTTCACATACAAATTATGATGACTTAGCACTTGAGTGAGGTGGATAGATCCAACCGGACTCGGCTGGACCCGGAAGTCCGAATTCCCAGGCGCCTACCATGTGACATTCTGTGACTTATAAGCATCTGCGTGACTCCCGACTTCTCCAGAAAGGATAGTACCCCTACATAATCGATTTAATTTCTAGTGAGAAGTTGAGAACAGTAGTTCGTGATGCCGATAGCAAGTTCAGGTAACTTACTCGGTAGCGCCGTGTGGTACAGTTTCAATTCGAGCATCACAGCCCTCAAGACGCACTGAGGAAATCCTATCACGAATTGTAGTATACTTATCAGTACTAATCAACGATTAGTGGCTCATCAGGTCCCATTCGATCTCATGTCAGAGCAAGAAGTTGTCGCTGGTCTCCGCTGGAACAACAGTGCAGGTGGTTCGTCAGCGTATTTTAACTGATTTGTGACCATTGTGCTGAACATCGGTTTTAGTGCCAATCATTACCCTGATGTTATATGAGTATTGTTAGTGGCCTTCGGGAACCTTGTCACTGGTGCTGCTGAACGAAAGATTGTCTAGTTCTTCTGTTAGACAAAGAGGTAAATCAAGGTCACGGTCTTCTCTTCTATCGGTTGAGTACTTGTTGTCGGCATAGGTTGATTATGTCTGGGTGAGTGTTCAACTCAGATCTGCACGATCATATCAGCCCGGAGATTGACTGAATTTCCAGAAACGACCCTGGTCGGTAATGTCATGCCTGTACCTCGTTGTGAGTTTCGCCCTGCTTGAAAACGTTTATTCGGAATCCTATTTTCTACGCTAGGTTCGATATTTTGGTATTTTCCTAGCACTGTACGTCGTCGTGGCTCCTTGACACGGCACTTTACATCACTTTACATACTGACACTCACACCAGGCTGTGCGGCTTCTGTGCGTAATTCTGTGTCTACCCGACCCATTATCAACTGACTCGCACTAGGGGGAGGTCTGTTATACATACCTGAATCAGTCAGTGTATCAATACTTTCCATTTAGAAAGTTTGGGGCTAACCCACGTCCTAGCCGTACGTGCCAAGTATGTATCAAGAGTCAAGTCTCAAGAGTCGTTGTCCTCTCATCATTATAGCTGCAAGTATATCGTTTTCAAGCTGATGTGCATTCACTTATCATTAAGGTAAATTAGGTTACGGTCTTATCGTTCTAATTGAATGGGGATTTTCAGTATATTTTTGGTTTGCGGAGGGTATGAGATACACTCTCGCATCTCTCTATGAATTTAAATCTTGCGTCCGCAGCCATTCTCATCTGGCGCCTTTATGCCATATACAACCAATCCAAGCTCCTGCTTTATGTTCTGGTGGAATTGTTTTTGCCTGTCGTCGCCCTCTCAATCGCAACGGACATCTATCTATACAGTCGACGCAATGTGTTCTCAGGTGAATTTTCACTCGGATGAAGTCGGCTTCAAGCTGACCCCGCCTCACTGTATAGTGAAAGAAATCATAACTCCGCACGCTAAGTACTGCACTCTTTCCTTCAACACAGGGCCTATGCCTACGATCTATACTTCCATCCCCATTGTGTGCTATGATATCTTACTAGTTGCTCTCGCAGCTGCCATCCTCGCGAGGCACTTCAAGGAACGGAGGGAAATCCAAATGAGGGCTAATACCTATATGGTTATGATCGTCCGGTATCATATCCTGTATTTTGCCCTGTAAGTTCCCCTTCATCGAGTGGGTTGTGAAAGTGCTCATCGATTCCCGCTAGGAATTTGACAAACCAAATCTTACTGGTTATATTATGGGCTCATATTCCGGTATGTTGCTTCTAAAGGGTTATACAGAGATCAACTAACATGTACGCTTCTGCTATGTAGACACCAGCGATGAGTCTCTCAGAGCTTTTCAGCGATACTGCGCCATTTATTCTCGCTCCCCGTCTCATCATCAGTATTTGGGATACGCATGCCCATGATGACTGCGTAGAAGTCAGTACGACGTTCGAGGACTGTGTATGTTGGACTTCTCCACCGAGGTTCGAGCAGCACGAGATGGACTCCGTCGTATAATTCTGGCTTGCTGGTTCCTCAGCATGAAGACAGAAATGACCGGGAAAGAGCAAGGCGGCCAATTTTTTTTGGCGCCTGGTGGTGTGCATAGTAGTCACACCTTGATCTGTTGAAAATATAATATAGACCGAATGATGCAACATCAGCACGGTTCCCTGCGGGTGCCAGTGCATAACCTTTGACGAACACTGATAACTTGACCATCGTCGTTCATGGATGCTATCGGCTTGTTTTAGCAATACTTACAACAAAGCAAGGGGTACGTCAATGAGTCTGATATGCACCAACCCGAAAATACACAGATATAAAGCAAGGTACGATCGCTACATATTGAAAGCATCAAATATAACAGCCTTCTATGCTGGTGGCGGCGGTGGAGGTGCACTATCGTTTGGTGCGGGAGCGGCTGTTTGCCCAGCGTATGCTTGGTAATACTGCGCTTGCTGACTCGCAGCCCACTCCTTGAACTGCGCTGAGTTGACATCGTAGCCGTATTGTGCCCTACCGTCATGTTAGGACAAATGTGGGAGAATATTCGAAGAAAGATTACCAGTATGCCGCATATGCATCTTGAGTCTCTGGCCCTGGGGCGCCGGTTGGTGTACCTGGATATGGTGGGGGTGCACTGCCATCTGGAGGCGGGGGAGGCTGCTCCCCAGGTGGTGGCGGTGGAGGTGCGTTTTCAGGTGCAGGTGGTGGAACACCGTACCCGCCCTAGGAACCAATGTCGGCTGCTAAATATTAAGATGTAGGACTGGACGTACCGCAGGGTATTGTGCAAATTGCATTTGTGCTTGGTGTAACTCCATTTGTTGTTGCATCATTGCTGACTGTGCTTTAGCATGCTCAGAGCGTACAACTTCGAGCAAGTCTTCCGTGAGCACTTTAGCGCGGGCCACTTGGTTTTCATCTGGTCCGCTATTAAAGTGTCAGTCATACGAGTAGTCAAATGCATGAAACCTCACGTAATGTGTATGTGCATAGGTTCATCTGACTCCCGGCCGGTTTCTTGTTCTACGAAGCCTGAACCTTGACCCTTTATCTGCACACGTGTACTTGTTTCTTGTTGGATGTATTTCACGAACATTCCCTGGCACAAGCGCTAGTTCTTAAATGTTCAAAACGAAGGAAATTCAGACATACCTGTGGCCCAACAACTTTGGCACGAACGTTGAAATTGCGAATAGTTTCGAGGCCCACAGGCATTTTCTCTTCGGGCCATTTACGCTGGGAGAAGAGTAAGCCAACAGTGAAACATCAGAACAATTATACAACCTTTTCGCGCAATCGATCCTTCTTATCCTCTACCAGTGGACCGAGGTCAATTGCTATTAGGTCGTTAACCTTGTCAATTGCCTTTTGCAACATTTCCTTGCTTGAAGCCGAAAGATGAAGGTATAATGGAGGGTCCTTCTCCGTTGCCTTTGATCGATCTGGGTACCACACACCCTTGGTACTGACTGACGCGCCCGTATCTTCATGAATCTATTTGCAAGATTAGAAGACAGCTGGCCATACAACCACCATTCAGAACACATACCTCGGTCTGTGTAGAACCTTTCGTCAACATATACCGGTTCCGGACATCGTTGATATCAATGTCATGGGTAAAATCTCCATCATGCGGGTCCTTCTGTCCAATCTGTATGCTCCCGGCGATGCCACCGCCAGCACTAAATTGTGCGGCAATTTTGGCAGCAATGGCAGCAGCAGCGGCCGCAGCTTCAGAGGCAGTCTTCCCCTCATCTGTTTTTGGCGCCTTTACAGGATGGTCCAATTCTGGAGGTGTTGATTCAGGGGCAGCCTGGTCCCATTTGCGTTTTGACGACATTGCAAGACACTGAACAGGGCTCTGAATGTGGAGGGGAAAGAAACGTGACCAAACACACACGTCACGCGCGTGACACATTTAATTTCGATCTCCGCGGCGTCACCTTCCTGATCGAGTGACATTCTCCTGGTGCTTGCAACGAGGTGGGGAAGACGTAAAAAGACGCAAATGTCCTCCAACAAACGCCAACGTACGCTTTCGGGTTCGCGACTATCGCTTCCATCTCAATCCACATCGACATCGCCATTACAAGAACCTGAACCCATGTATAAGTCTAGTCGTACCGCAGAGAAGGCAACGGGGGATCGCCATTTGCTCTGCACACTCCCCCCGACGTGTAATCCGCCGCATAACCGCCCGACACCGATCGCAAACTCGAGAGATCTGGAGGCGCATTATGGAAAATACCATGCACAAGTCTGTGAGCAGAAGGGATGTGGTTTCGTGTTTCCCGATGCGAGGTTGCTAGAGCTCGTGAGTGGATTACGCACCACTGGGGTCGTCTGCGAGTGTGCTGACATTGATTATCGATGATTGATAGCACCAAACAGAATGCCATGATCCACTTGCTGCTGTTCGGAAAGATAGAGGGGATAAAATTGTGCGCTTTACTTCACTGCAGTGTCTTGCATGCTCTCACCTCCTCATCCGTCTCACAGTTTGCTTGCCATCTTGTATCATGTCCACGATTATTCCAGACGCCAAAAGCACGTCGATTACATCTTATTCAAGCACACTCATACCCAAAAGAGTACTTTTTCGCTGTGACAAACAAAGGTGTTGGTGGTCTACTTAAACGCTGGGGAGATGGCGCCAGCATGATCAGAGGAACCTGGAAGCCCAGGGATAATAAAAACGATAGGAACTCCGAAGATGACGAAATGGTCGTAGATGAGGATGAAGAAGAAGATAGCGATGAAAGTGAAGATGAAGAGTCAAGCAGTGGTGACGAACAAAACGGAGAAGCAACACCAAAAATACGTCACCATCAAGAGCTGGAGGAAATACCCAGACGAACCGCTATCTCACCACCACGGCGAGGAAATGGTGCAGTGCAGACTGCAACTGACCATGACGTAGACAAATTGGCAAACTCGATAAACTCTCTATCTTTGGTCCCACCATCCATACGGTTCGGAAGAGGTGGAAAGAATGGAGGATTTGTTCATCCAGAGATGCACAATCCGCAGGTCAGCAAATTTAACCCTCACACGTTCGGTCCAAGAGGCGGTAGAGGGAGAGCGAGGATAGCAACTGCGGTTCATCCCCGTGCTGGATCCCATAATGTGCAGATTGGTGCGCCTCACCCCTCCACAGAATCTGACGTACAGCATGTGATAGGGCCTGTATCGAGGGGTAGACCGCCTCGTGGAAGAGCGGGCGTCATCCATGTCGGGAGAGGTTTCAGAGGTCGTGGTCGCGGGTCATAGAGGGGAGGTATGGAGATTAATCGGGGGGGGAAGTGCTGATAGGGGCAAATATCACAGACCGATTTCTGATGGAAACAACGTGCACGTGTATTCCAAGCAATGTACATCACCTCTTTTGTTTTATCGTTCATCACTTGCATTCTATAAGGTTGTAAGCGATGGGGCTGTTTCCGGCAATCATTTTCTGTCCTCGGGTATGTTGACATTGTTGAGCGAGTCAGCGGAGGCCAGCAAGTGTGGAAAAATTGGTAGCTATGGAAGGTCACACACCTGTGTCAGGGAGCGAGAATAACAAAACAATATAGGAGAGCATTTCTCTCCTTTCTAATTGTCTAACCAGTTGCTAATCGCTTAGCTAGTCGAGTTTTCCCTAAAACAAAGTACAGTAGTGCTGGCATTGACCTGCCTTATTAGGCAAGTATTGTATTAGCAGACACCCTGATTACTCGTGTTAGCCAATGTGGAATTTCAAGGAGCCTCGCTGATGTGCTGTTGTGCCAGTGAAGGTTGGGCGTCATACTAACTTGAATGCACGTTTTCATTGACCATGGAGCAAATACATTAAAGTCAGGACAATGAGGGACGGAAATAGCCGATGTGAACAGAGTTTATGGGGTCCTGGAAGACAATGCGGATTACCCTTGTTGTGTGGGTCCGAGTTTGTACAATACAAGCCAAGGACTATTTGCAACCACAGTACTTGGTTGGTTTATAGGCCACAACGATACTATTGTCCAAATGGTGGCTACAGTCTTTGTGGCCTACAGTCTTTTGTCCAAGCAATCCCTCAAAAGCAGGCGCTTGTGCAGTTACCAACCCCATAGTACCGTTGAGCTAGCCTCGCGTCTGCTAATTAGAATCATCATCATCCAACTCTTTCAACACTCTCTTGCAACATTTTCATTTTTCTACTAATTCTTTGCAACACTACCAAGTTACTGCATATCCCATCCGGCATAGACCATCTACTTTGTGATAACTGTATCCCTCATTTTTTTTGTCTTTGTTTACTATTCAAGAGACTATAACGTCCCTCAATTGTCTTTCCACGTCACTTGTAAGTCCCATATCTTGTCTCTGTTCTCGACAATGCCAAACTTATGTGCGCCCTACACAGAATAGACGGATACTTCCAATTCATTAAAAACCATGTCTACTAGTACTATCCCGTTCCAAGCTGTGCCACAGGATATCGCTATTAAAGCAGATCGTCCTCCGAAATACGCCTTCCTGGCTTATCCCCCGCCCCCTAAAAAGCGACCTACACAGCCGCTGCCTTCCCCACCTTCGTATGCCAGGGCAGTTACCCCTCAAGCCCCCTTATACATTCGTCCTCGCTCGAATACTTTTTCCACAATCACCGCTTGGGTAGCCCACGTCCAGCCAGGATCCCCTGCCTCTCTTTCTCCGCGTTCTCCGCGTCGCCGTCCCTCGATCGGCCGCGGTCGCAGAGCATCCATTACGTCCGTCCGCGTCTCATCAGGCTCCTTAAACGCTTCAGACACCCATCGCAACGCCGCAACTCCCTCGATACAGAATTTTAAAGCTGACCTCACGTCCGTAGGCTATAATTCTGTTTTTTTGCAGTTCCCTAAGACTCCTATCACTGCGACACTTCCTATTGCGGTCAAGCCTGGCACTGCTGAGGCCGGGTACCGAATCCCAATACCTCCTGTGCCCGCATCACCGACGCGCAAGCCTCGCGGGCTTACACGCTTACGAACCTTGTCCGTACTCAAGTCCCGCGGCAGGTCCAAGTCCGCGGCGCCCTCGTCTCCCACAAAGATGAAGGCCAAGGCGGCAGCGTCATCTGCTGCCGTAGTCAAGCGCAAGAGGGCGAAGTACGCTGGCATGCGCCCTGCACCACTTGCCAACGAGCTCGCACTTATGCAGTTTGTTGATGGCGGCAGCATGGAATCCAACATCAAGCGTGTCATGGAGGCTCAGGCAAAAGCCGGCGCTGCCGGTGTCGGAGATGTCTACCGCGATGGCGAAGGCGGTATCTGGTGGGATCAGGAAGAGGAGTGGGAGTACGCCCATCTCCTCGCGGATGGTGCCGTGAGCGGCGCCATGGGTGACCTTCAGTGGGTTACTTTTGGCGGGGACAAATCGTTCTCTGCTAACCCTGACGTTGACGAAGATCGTCGCGGCAGCGTTTCAACCCAAGACTCTGACTTGGATCCGCGCTACATCGTCCAGCCAACTGATCATCTTGACACGGATGATCTCGCTGTCTTCGGAAGCGCTCTTGCTCCCCTCGCTACTCGCAAGCCAGCAATGTCTGTCCTCGCGCTTCCCTCCCGCCCTCGGCGCGCTGCCAAGCACCTCCGCAAACCCGACTACCTTTTGAACGTGGCGTTCACCAGGGTTCTGCATCCCCTAAGGGCCCCAAGTTTGCGCTGTCGGCGTGTACAAGTGGTGTCGCTAAGCCCAAGGGCAAGGCGCGCAGACGTCCCACGCCACTGACGCTCACCCCTCCCAGCCCTGCACACAAGCGGCCGTCAAACTCTCCCGTGGATGCTGAGCGGACCCGCAAGGACTTCCTTGAGTCTTCGTTCGAGCCTGCGGTTCCTACTATCCCTGTTGTTCCAGCCATGTCCAGGGACGATCGTGGCGAACTTGCCACGCACCTCGGCCTCTCCTTGCAGCCCAACAGCAGCAGCTCGCTGAGCCTTCCCTCCAAGAAGACTCTGGCAAAGAAGCCGGCGAGGCTTAACATGATGGGCCTCTTCAAGTCCTCCAAAAAGTAGGAGGCGAAATACACAGTCCATTCATTAATTTTCTTCGTTTCCTCTGCCTATTCAACATAAATTCGAACGCTTATTAACGGCGAGTATCTTGCTGTGTGTTTTTGGTTACGAGTTGTAGCGCTAGTGGTTATATGGCTAAATGTGCAGGGGAATCATGATAGTTAATCTTGCTGTCTTGTATACGTATAATATCTGTCGCACGTAATCCGAATATCTGTTTCTGTTCTTTTGGTTGCCTGACTTGAGACTGGAACTTATCCTGGCAGGACATGGTCGATTGGTATTGGTCTGATTGAAACACTACGGCGACGAACCTCCACGAATCCGGCGTAGTTCAGCGGCTTATACTTACAGCACACGTTCCATATCATCTACTGCGTGTCACGGAAGGCGATCCTAATTATTAATATTTAGCCTTTGAGTCTAAGCTGAAAAAATCCAACTATCAGAGACTTAGCTATTTGAATCCACTCATCGGGAGATCTAAGTTGCGAGTCCAAATATGGGAAGTAGTCAAGAAGGAGAAGCGGCGTAACCGTGATCTCCTTTCGACCCGAATTCCTCAAAGCTTCGTACATATCTCAACATTCCTGATGGCTGGCGATAAGGAAACACTACTCAGCATGGGATTCGACCCAGCCCGTGTCGACTGTTCGTATTCTCTTGTCTCACCGGTCCGCATTCCCTGGCTGATTGAGGCGCCACCGTGGACGCGTGATACGTAGGGGCATTAAGAGCGACTAATAATCGCGGTTTGCAGCCTGCTATGGATCACATTCTAGAGAACGAAGGAAAGCCTATTCCAGATCCGAGCGTTGCTGCTCCTACAACTGCATCGGGCAGCGTGGGCCAGCCTATGGACGTCGATGTGGACGACGAAGATGAAGATACCCTGCGGCGCTTGATAGGAACGCAAGCTGGTGCCACATCGAGCGCTGAAGCAGAGGCCAAGGTACGTTTATTCCAATCGCGGCTTTGAAACCTCTATCTTTAACACGCACACTTATTAGAGTATCAAATGCTCAGAATGTGGCAAGGTATTTAAGAACACGGCATTGGCTAATTACCATGCCGAGAAGAGTGGTCATGATCAGTTTGAGGAGTCCACGGAAGAGGTTTGTACCCCATGACGCGTGTGCCGTATCTCTCACCTCAGATGACCCTCAGTTAAAGCCACTTACGGAGGAAGAGAAGCAGCAGAAGTTGGCCGACCTCCGAGAAAAATAGCTGCAAAGCGCAGCGTAAAGGCTCAACAAGAAGCCGCAGAAGCACGTGCGAATGAAACTATTCGTCGCAAGACTGGCAAGGTGAGTTTAGTGGCGTACTTAGTGGCGTTTGTGTTTCAAGTTAAATCAAACAAGGACATCGGCAAACTGAAAGACGAGTTGAAGGCTAAGGAGCTCGTGAAAGAAGCTGAGCAGAAGCGTAGAGGTAATTGCCATGCGCATGGATTCTATGCATATTAATCCGATCTAACCGCGCGCGGCAGAGAAGCTTGAGGATGCCAAAGCCAAAGCCGCTGTAAAGGCCCAGATTGAAGCAGATAAGAAAGCCCGTGCAGAGAGGACTGCAAGGGAGAAAGCCTTACGTGATGGCCAACCAATTATTGACGCACCAGCCAGTGCGTCAACGACTCCAGCGGTGACAGCATCCTCATCCAGCGGCGGCACAAGCGGGAAGGACTTCAAAGAGACTCGTCTCCAAATCCGCATGGCAACTGGGGGAACGCCTTACACGACCACCCTGCCAAGTGACGCAAGTATGTCCCACCGCTTCCCTGCATACACGACTGTCTTGTGAACTGACACATTTTGCAAGCATTACGTGAAGTCGCTGAATTTTTGGCTGCCCAAACGCTTGTCATCGACGTGGAAACGGTCACATTCGCCCAGCATTTCCCAAGGTCAGTCCGTCTCTTGTTGCGACGTGTACCCTGTACCCAGGATCCATGATTTTTCCAATAGGAAAACATTCTCTCGTGATCAATTTAGCAAAACACTGAGGGAACTCGGATTGACGCCGTCAGCGGTACGTACTTTTCGAGCATGGGATTATGACATGGTATATATTGGTTTTTTAGGTCCTCATTGCGTCCTAAGGCGATATATCGGCTGTGACTTGGAATAGTTGTGATATTTTCGGAATAGAAAACCTAGCAGGAATGAAACACGCAGTTGTACACCACCGCAATGAATTTACCTTTGTGTATCATGTCCAATGGATATAAAGTGACAAGGATGAGAAAAAAAATGGTGAAACATGCTAAATGTAAGTATGGAGAAGGATGTCCATGTCAAAAGACGGTAATCAAAATAAAAACAAATGAAGAAACCAAGTTAAGAATATTCGAAGAGTGTTATCGAGCCATTCACATAACCAACCGCAATTCTCCCAGACTCCTCATCAATCGCTACCTTGTTCCACAAGTCGTCGTCTCGTACGCGAAATACCATGGAAGCACGTGAGCCAGATTGGCTAGTGGAGGATTCTCCCGTAGCCATCAGTATCCGTCCTGCAAGTCGCTGCCCGCAGTCGCTAGGCCCCAGCCAGTCTTCAGTATGGCTGTCAAGCCAGAGAGCAGTACCATATCGTCCAAGGGCAATGGATGATGGAGCAAACAAACGCACTGGAGAGCCTATCGTCTGCACTGGGGTGGGCTGCGTCAAGTATGGAAGGTTGTATTGAGAAGTCTCCCGCCCTGGAACGTACGCGGGGTTTGGGGTGAGCACGAAATGATGCAACATGTTCACTGGCCAGGGATAGATGCTTCCAAATCGAATGAGAACGTTGATCGGCGAGGGGCGGTGCGAGCACGCAGCATGCCAGCTGACTTGCTCTGACATATTGACGGTCTCTGTGCACCATTGGAACCTGTGCTGTGCGAGTGGGTACGAGATTGGCGCTCCCGGTGTTGCGATAATGTTGGGCCGAAGAATGGTGGAGTAGAACTCGATAGTCTGTTGGCGGACGATTACCATGTAATCGTCGTGAAGATGCACCACTTGGCAGCGATCGTTCTGCCAAACCATAGAACTCAGCGACGTGCGGAATTACATGGAAATCAAGCCAACCTGTAATAGTGAGGGGTTCACCAACTGGATTTTTTCACAAGGTTGATCGTTGATGTCCCAGATGCTCACTTCTCCGCCATTTTCTGGACGCCGAGTGACGAGTGTGTTCCCACTGAGTAGGTGAATCTCCCTAATTCCGTCAATGGTGTTGAGCGGAACGAATGCTGACTCGGGGTCTTCTTCTTCGAAGTCGATGGTGAGTATTTCCGTTCTATGATAAACAATCAGCAAGAACGTTAAATCGGGTGTTACTATTTTCACTCACAGTGCTGACTGCATCGCTATTATGGCTGGAGAAGAGGGATCATCATTGATAATAACACCGCCATATGGCCCCTCCATGTGCGTCAGCTCTGCTATGCATATGGGTTGCAGGACAGCAACATTCCAGCACTGGATAACATATTTTCTCGGTTGCGCAGTCATCGTGACAGAAATCAGCCAACGATTTCCTCTGCCAGGGAGAAACTGCATAAAGATAATGCGCGAATCCGGTTCGGTGGGCTTGTAAAAATCAACTTCTCTCTTCGCATCCGGATCAGGGTTAGTCCAGTTGCTGCGAAGAGCAAGTGCATAACATGTAAGCTGCTCGAGCTCTAAGGCTGATAAAAAGTCAAGGGATTTCCCATCGAAGTAGGGTATAGGGATGTTTTTCTCCTGGACAAGAGTTCGCAGAAGGAGAGCCCAGAGACTGCGCAGACGCGTGATAGCATAAAAACTTTTACTAGTCTAGAAAATAAAAATCAGATTGAAAAATCCCACGAAACGAAACAGGGGTGCAAACCTGCCGCAGCGCCAGGATGCTTTGGATGGGGAGATGCTGAATTACATCGAAAAGTATGTCGAGGGGAATAGGAAGGGATGGTGAGAGATCCCATGAGCCAATACCAAATTTATCCATAGTAGACAAACGTTGCTTTACAGTGGGTCAGATGAGGGTTGCTTTGTTGTATTTAAGTGGAGAATGCGGTGATTGACGCGTAGGTGAAAGTAAAGCAGGAATGTGTGTGAGAGTGAGCAGCTGGAGGCGCGTTTTTCAGTCCGATTCAATTGAAACGAACAAATTATATTTGATGAAGTTCGGGTCTGCCAGTTGCAACGTGTAGGCTCTGCTGAAGGGTTCAATGGGAAATATAAACGTGGCAAACGTACAAGTAGTGTAAGACATGTGCATGAGGGTCATACTTATACGATGGGCAAGGATGTTGGAATTATTGGCGGTGGTGATAATTGTCACCGATGCTGCAATGAATAGTATGTTTGTATTAGTAGGCTGAACGAATGGAGTCAGCTTCTTGAATCACGATCACAAAGAAACCCACGATGTTTTCTCTCTTTTCTTGAGCCGTATTCCGCGTGCCTCGCTCTTTCCGTGAGAGACAAAAGAGGGAAGTATGAATACCTTCGCAACGGCGACGGGGAAATGTATTTCTCGTTACAACCTGAATATGCCGTAGTAGGTTCATTCATTATGTTCGAAGTCAGTTTATGACCCTGGAGTAACTTAATGGGCGATATAATATTGCGTCACGAGCGACTAAAGCGCCTTATGGGCCTCACGAACTTGTGTTGGACGAGTTAAACCGTTGAAGGAAGGTAACAAAACGTTTCCCTAGATGCGAAATTCGCGGCCTTGCATTTGACCAATAATTTACGCAAAAAAAATATATCAAATTTTTTTATCAGAAATTGCCTTTTCGGCATCACTACAGCCAATGGAATGAACAAAGTCGCGACACGGCCGATGAGCGTATTGCTGACGCGGTCAAAGTTTATCTTACAGGTACGGGAACGGTGGCAATCCAGGGGAGTACAGAATTTTCCTGTGGATATGAAACCACTGATTAGATTAGATTCATGCATCCGTTTACATTTTAATTTTACTTCGGGTCCCATCGACATACGGCAGCATCAAGGGCCAGCGGTTATAATTGGGGTTTGGTCATGCCACATGCCATGTGCCCAAGCCTGTGTTCGACCGCCTCAACGCCTACTATTATAACAGTTGCTGACTTTTTTTAACATACAGATAATTACCAGCCATCTGGTTCCATTATCGTGTGTGCGACTGCTCATATGAATCTGATCCCATCAGATTTTGAATCTCCCCGTCGCCCTTCACTCGTGCGCGACCGTCCTTTTCGGCCTCCGCTACCAAACGGGCCACGCTTGCGTTCACCCACAAAAAATTCGGTCGATATGAGCAGTCCCCTCGGAAGCTCTAGTACCGACAAAGGCTCTCCTGTCGTTACCTCCGGGTTGGCATCACCTGTCTTCACCTCTCCCTTCCTCCGTCCAGGCTCTCCTCCAGGCCTGCTGGATGAGAGCCAATCATTTCCCCTGGATTCCTCGCTCCCGCAATTCAGCGCTTCTTTACACACACGCGCGACATCAGACATTGGTGTTCAAGTTTCGCAGAATTTCTCCTCGCACCCTCCATCTCCCTCGTTGTCGCCTGCAGCGACACCTCCAGCTCAAAAGCCAAAAGTAAATCTCAAGTCACAGCCATCGGTAACGACATTCCTTGCTCCTCCTCCTCTTGCGCCCCCGCCTACAGTGTCATTTGAATCCATACAGATTCCATGGAAGGGCCTTCCCTATGAGGCCGCTCAATGGACATTCACCTCATCCGAACTGCAGGAGATAGTCTCACGCGCTATCAGGTTGAGCGCAAAAGAGTCTTTCATACGCCTCCTATCTCTCCAAGCGCTCGATACAGACATGGTAAAAGAAGCAGAACGTCTCGAAGAGGAGCGCCTAGCAATGCAGGTCAAATGGAGATTCGAAATGAACAGACGAACCATGCAGATGCAGGCGCTCAACTCCTGTGCGACTGTGTTTGCCAACTCGGGAGAAGGTGATAAAGAGAATGTATTGGGAGGCTTGATATCTCAAGTTGCAACTTCTATCGCTTCGTGCGATTCTATTCTTGCGTCCATTCTGCAAATATCAGACCAACAGGCGCAAATTTCGGTGGTTCAGCACCGACATTGGGCGTCAGCTCTTGGGATCGCAGTTCGCAAGCTAAACAAAGCATTCGAGCGTCAGGGAGAAGAGATGAAACGCGCCGTAATACGTATCCAGACCCTCGAGGATGAGCTCGATGAAGCCTGGAGAGAAGCGGAGGGCATGGCTGCCGAGATTGATGAGATGGAACAGAGCGACGAGGAGGAAGTTGATATCGATGACAACCAAACACTAGGAGACGTTACCATCAACACCGATATCGCACAAGTCATGGGTGTCACCGCTAAAGCTGTTTTATCCAAAGCCACTCTCATCTCCCAAGTGAAGCATGTGCCATCCGACGCCAAGTCCATCAAGTCTTCGAAATCCGTAAAATCCTCCCGCAGCAAACGATCCAAAGATGGCCCCAACCGGCTTTCACGTCTATCTGCAGCAAAGACACGTTCACGCACCGCATCCAATGCCAGTCTCCGTTTACCCAAGGGGTTGCGCACCCCGACAGCAGCTTATATGCCACAGGATGAGCCGCCGCCCATGCCTGCACTTCCAGACGCCTTACAAGGATGCTCGTTCCTTGATATGGACACCAGCGGCGCAGAGTATTCACGCCCGCTGAGAAAACAACTACCTAACCGTGCGCATCTTAATCATGTTTCCATCGCTCTCTAACATTTACAATTTACAGGCGCTCCAGAGCCAACAGTCTGCCTTCCTGAACCTCCCCATACAGCAGGTCTTCCTCGAACTTCCATTCCCTCGATTTGGATAGACGCCGACTCAGGCCCCGGTTTGCGACCGAACGGCCTCGATCGTTCACACTCCATGCAGATCTCCTCCTCTTTTCGTCAGGGCCGGAGAAGCGAACTCGTGATGAGCATGTCACGGTCCGATGCCGGACACTCACCTGTGGAGAAGGTTGAACCTGTTCTGGGCAGCACGGGTGCTGTAGCTGTAGTGGATAAACCACCTCCTGTGGACACACCTGTACCTGTACCTGTTATCGATCGGCCACTATCAGCCGTAGATAGGTTAGTATCTGGTGCGATGGATCGCCCGCGCCCGAGTATAGACAGGAGGAGTTCTGGCTCTCACAAGTTGATGCCACTGCTTGAAAGGTCGACAGGAATCCCTGCGACTCTTATCTCCGGTGGGAGGTATTACTCTCGGGGATTACCCAACTACCGCTCAACGGAAACCATCTCCGAGGGCAGGACCCCGCCGCGTGTAGGAACGCCAAATAATGGTTATGCCGGGGCATAACCCATGTCATCGGTCCAGCTACGCACAGTCTAGGCATGTATGCTTTCATCGAATGGACCAACCAACTGAATCTATTCAATTAGATATCATTCACATTCCATTTTTATGCACATATGTTCCTTCACTCATCTACTGATATCATTGACCTAGATATTCGCATGCATAATTATACTTGCTGTATAACACACTACCGGCTTATAATCTTTTCTTGTTGTCTGTTACTGTTTGCACGGTACATGTGCCTAAATAATCATCCAATCCAACAGAACATTCATAACACTGAAACCAGAAGGATCTCTGCATTGTCGCAACTATAAATCACTCCTACCCAAGAACGAGCGCGCCTTTGTTCCCTATTAAAGTAAACCACGCATCTTCCTGTCCTGCTTTAGTGGCACCCACAGCGGGTGTTAGGCCGGATGAACCCAGAATGCCTGTTTTCATGATGGCTTTGGCGAGAACGGAAACGTGAATCTCCGCGTTGGACGTAAAATGCGACGCGGCGCCAGTCACGTAGCTTGATTAATTAGCCAAATCAACATTGAAATAGAATTTGAGGGGAGGAAAAGCGCACCCATATATGGTCTCTGCGAGTCTTTTATCAGCACGTTGTGCTCCTTTGAGGAAACCTGGGCGGAAGACGATGGTGTCCGCATATCCAAGGCGTGCTATGCCTAGTTCTGTGAGACCTTTTGATCTGAAGGAAAGAAAGTCAGATAGGGATGAAGGAAGAGCGTGTTGTGGTGATGTTTGCGAACCTCGCATATAGGAAGTGAGAGGACGGGTCAGCACCAGAAGACTATTTCGCATCAATTCACATCGCGTGCATCACATGTTTTGTGTTAAACCCACCGAAAGATATACGACGCGCTGTTTGTGTTCCGGGTCATCTGTTTTCGCAGCCTCGCAGGCGTTCACCACATACCTGCGTACGATACATGAGATGGAATCGAGTATGACAAACAAACTCAGCTCACTCTCTGTCAATCTTCTCGAACATCTCTGTGCTCCCTGCATTCGCGCGAGTCGTTCCGAGGGTGACGAACACGACATCCCACCGTCCATCCTTCAGCCCTGCCGCTTCCAGGTTCTCAAAGTTGACTGTTTTCTGCTCTAGTTTGCCCCTATTCTGAGGGAGATCGGCTTCTGGTGTTACTCGTCTGCCATATTCGCCAACTTTAGACCATTGATCGTTTGAAAGAAGCTCGCGAAGGAGATGTCTGCCTGTCGCGCCTGTTGCGCCTAGAATGAGAGCTGTCGACATGGTGTGCAGTGGCCAAGCTATCTCAGACGCGAACACAATTTAAACCTGAGCTCGCTAACACACGCGGTGCTTCGGCATACTGCCAAACACTACATAACATCACCAACCTCAGTACTCAGTTGCACTTGCAGCAACCAGTTGTGCTCGAGTTTCAAGCTATCATGTTGATCCAAAGTTGATCCGCACATCAGGAAACCCTTCCGATGCTAACCTAGACTAAGTATGTCAAATTTTGAAAAAAATAGATAAGTTAAACAAACTAGTGCTAGATTCAATAAGCTGTTCAAAATGATATAGGCTCGCTGCTCTGGGCTTGTGGTTGTCACATGCATGTGCAAAGTTTGTCAAAAATTCAAATTCCAGGTCTGAGCTGACAACCAAATCCATGAGAGCATACATCTAGAAAGTGAGTATAACTACATGTTGAAGTCTGAATGATCTGAAGAGAGAGAGATTGAGGAAGCTGAAGGATGTGACATGATAGGTATGAGTGGGAGAGAGAGGTCTGAGTGCATGAGCCAGATGGGCCAATAGGCTGCGCCTAAATGACATTGGCTTGCACCCTGCAATATACATATGTCAGAAAACTTCTCCTTTGCATTCCTTACTTACCTACTATAAAACCAAGCACCCATCAGATGCACACAACTCAGTTCTAGTTGAAACTGAGATGTGAGTACCTAAAAATGTGTGTGTCAGCATTAGCTGACCAAAACCATAGCATACCTTTGTGTTCTAGCTCCCTCTCCCATCGTTCGTGCACCTGTTATTGCAACACTACAATCATAAATGCATGTGATATCTACTAATAGAGTGCTGGGGTTATCATGAAGTCCAATTGAGCTAATATGTTAGTAGATTGAGGCTGTGGTTATTGTAACTGGCTGTGAGATATTGGGGGCCATTGTCACAGAGGGTGAGGGTTGACAATGTGACACAACTCCAGGATCTGGTACAAAATAGGGTACAGAGGGGGGAGGTTGACCATACTGGATTCTCTCAGGACAAGATGGTCCTGCTAGTGATTGGGAAAATTTTAAGGGATAAAATGCATTGAATTCCTGTGATTGAGAAAGTAGATGGATGCTACTACCTCAATGATACTGTTTTGAGTTGAACATCCCATAAGAAACCTGTGTGAACCATGGAAGGAGTGAATGGTTGATCCTTTAGCAGTTCCCATATAGTGCCTAAATTTTCTGAAAGATCATATATGTCTTGCAAGTTGAAGGTGAAGAGCTTGTCATGCTCTGATCTTGGCAAGTTGCCCAATAAGTCTTTCAGTGGTTTTGAGCAGTCTTCATTTGACTCTTCTAACTTTCCTGTTTCTTGACACAGTTCTCCAAACCAAATGCATCTGCCTGTTTGGTGCATTCCTTCTCTTATAAAGGACAGGTTCCAATCTTTTCTCCATTTGTTATATTGATGTAGAAATTCTCATTTGATCCTGATGAAAAGGTGGTCATCTACCCATTTGTCTAGCAGTCCAATTCCATTGTTTTGGAAAATCTCAGCTCTGGAATCTGTGATGTGCTCATAGATTCTGGCTGAGGGTGTTGCTCCAAGTCATCAGGAAATCAACCTGAAGTTGATATGACCAGATATAATTGGTAATCAAAAAACATTATTACATGTCATGTTTTAGCCTTAGATATTATTATCATGGTATCATACATATCTAACCTATGATATGACCATGCCAGAAAAATATCACCCTGATGCATGTCTTGGAAGCAGATAACAGTGTGATGCTGTTGTGTTTTAGCCTTGGATATCATTATCATGGTGTCACACATATCTAACATATGATATGACCATGCCAGAAAAATATCACCCTGATGCTGTTGTGTTTTAGCCTTAGATACCATTATCATGATGTCACACATATCTAACATATGATATAACCATGCCAGAAAAATATCACCCTGATGCTGTTGTGTTTTAGCCTTAGATATCATTGTCATGATGTCACACATATCTGACATACAATATGACCATGTCAGAAAAATATCACCCTGATGCGTGTCTTGGAAGCAGACAATAGTGTGATGCTGTTATGTTTTAGCCTTAGACATCATTATCATGGTGTCACATATATCTAACATATGATATGACCATGTCAGAAAAATATCACCCTGATGCTGTTGTGTTTTAGCCTTAGATATCATTATCATGATGTCACACATATCTAACACTTGATATGACCATGCCAGACAAATATCACCTTGATGTGTACCTTGGAAACAGATAACAGTGTGATAACTGGGCTGTCCATGTGTTGTAATTGAGTGGCTGCAGATTATCATACTTCTAGTAGACTCATAACATCTTTTAAATAGTAGGATATATCTTATCTGGATTGCACAGAAGCTGCAAAACTACAATATTAATTGATATTTTGCTTGCATTTACCCATCTGGCTATCACCAATATGGGCAACATCAACCAAGCTTAACAAGCATGGATTACTTCAGACTAAATTTGCAAGAGAAGAATCAATAGTGGAGAGTGCAGATAGACTGGAATTGATGTGTGTGCATGGTGAATGATAAAGGGGAGCTGTGATATTCATCATAACTTGTAGATTGGTCACATTCTTTTGACAGTGGGAAAGTGATGCACAGGTGTTGACAGATACAGCAGGCTCAACATTTACACACTGGCATGCAAGAACCCCACTCCAAGATCATCACAAGAGTACATATTGTGGAATGATATATAAATAACCTGTCAACAGTGGGGACACTAAGCACATGGTAATTGGTACTCAAAGTAATAAAAAAACTATGGCAGGGCCAGCACAGACAATGTGGATCAAGTCTGCATACAAGAAGTGAAATACCATTACAACAACCCCACATCAAAGAGGAAAGGTGCAACTAAGAGAGCATCAAAAAAGTGTCACAAGAATGCAGAAGTGTTACAGTGACACATGCCCCTATTCATTTTCCTCATTATACTTGTATTACATCATGACCACACAATGCCATGCCATCATTAGACCTGCTTTCTATATTTGTATTACATTTGTCATATCCGCATATCTGGATCTCAGATCTGACCCTTATCTCAGATCCACATCTTATCTCTGATGCTATCCACATCTTATCCCCCTCCAACATCTCGTCATTCAATCTGTCCACTCGTCTGGTCTGGTCCACAACTCATCTGAATCCACAACCAGTGCTTGTCTCTTTTCAGTAACCCCCTAACTCCGGTATTTTGGTTATCTGTATATCCGTCCTGCTCCCTTATCTGCTACCTATGTTTCATTTCTGTTTCATGATTTGTGATCCGTTTCTACTTACCAATAGACTATCCACATGCTTCATACATAGCCTCGGACTCTGCTGATTGATCATTCTGTTAGATACCTATGGTATATAACCTCCTGTAACTTTCTGTAGTACCTCAGTTTGAATATCATCTTAGTTCTGCTCATTCCTGTCCTCCGGACTTGAGTACCTCTACTCTCATCACCCTCCGAGACTTAGGATTGATTCCTATAGTCTATCTGTATCTGCCTCTGTCCCTGACAGTCCACTACCATTAGTTTCTAGTCTGGACTCGTCCAGATTAGCCATACGATACTTATCCCTCATCCGGAAGTCATCTGGATCTGCTACACTACTTGTCCGACCTTCTGGACGCGCTAGTCTTGCCTTCCTGAAATAAGGGGCAATACTTGGGTAAGGGGCACAGTGCATGAGCTGAGGCTGAAGCCCTTCAGATCCAG